CACATGACAGCATTCCTCTACTCGTTGGCTCGGAGATGTGTATATAAGACAACTCACACACACACACACACACACACACACACATACACACACGCACGCACGCACAGATGCACAGCTAGCTTGCTTTGGGTAATTGAAAAAAGAAGAGCAGGCACAAAGGGACATTGTTTTGCACGATTACTTAGGTACCAATGATTTACCTGAATGCAATGCAATGCCTTGGGTGTGGTGATGCCACGAGAATTAACATACACATACACACACGCACACATCCCAAATGACTCTTTCGACAGCTCTCCATCGTTCCCTCCCTTACACAACTCTCAGGATCTCGTTTCGCCCTTTTTACAGAGCGAGAACAGCGACGGCGCCTGCAATGACCAGGCCTGCGGCGCTGTAGCCGACTCGTCCGGCGCCGCCGTCAAAGGCGGATGCGCTGGCGGCGGGGCCCGAGGCGGTTCCGGTGCTCTCGGCTGCGACGGTCGAGCCACCGCTGGGCGCGCTGGTCAGGGTGCTCTCCGTAGAGATGATGGTGGTGCCGGGGAGGGTGCTGTAGCTGCCCCAGCCCGAGGAGACGGGGGTGGATGTCGCGCCGCCGTTCCAGCCGTTGCTGCCGGTCGGGGTCGCGGTGGTGGCCCACGACGAGTTGCCCGATGCGCCCCACGTGTTGGTGCCGGTCTGGTATGCCGGGGGTCCTAGGATGATGGAGGTGCCGGTGACGGTGGTTGCGGAGACGGAGTTCTTGGAAGAGGAAGAGCTCGGGCCGGAGCTGGAACTGGAGCTGGACCCGGAGCCAGAGCAGCTCTTGCCCTCGAGGACGGAGAATTGAGTCGAATCTATTGTGTCACGCCGGAAATGTCAGCCTGTTTTGTTCGCTTCCATGTCTTTTGTGATGAATTTGAACCGGGAGACGATGCGATTCGCCGAAAAGGGGGGGGGGTTGTTCTGGGTCTTCTTACATTGGAATTCTCCCGTGCCGTCTACGATGACCAGCATGCCATATCCGGTCGGAGTGTTCTGAGTGCCGGCCTCCAAGTCGCAAGGAACGTCCCAATCAAAGGACTTCTGTGCCGCCGGAAGTCCCTCCGCAATGGCCGTGTCTTGGAGTACGCAGTTGGTGCTGGGTCCGTGGCAGAGAACGAGACTGACAGTGACGCCGTCGGTTGGGTGCTTCTCAGGATCCCAGGTCACAGTGAATTGTTCGCCTTGAGTGACTGGCTGCATTATCTTGTCAGATCCCAATCCCCAACTACGCCCTCAGACGTGATGAAAAAGACATACAGATGACACATCTGGGGTGAGCAGAGGGCCCCAGGTTTGTGCACCAGGGGCGGTAAATGCCTGGGCCAAGGTTGCCAGGCCGGCGGCGAAGAGCGAAGTAGAGAGCGAAGGCATTTTTGAATCGGTTCGACGTCTCTTTGCAAAGATTTCGATTTCAATTTACCTGCAAGGCGTGCAAGTCGTAGAAAAGGCCGTAAAGAGTGACTGTAGTGAGCACGGATATACGTCTCGAGCAAGTGAGTGACGAGGAATGACAAACTCCCAAACAACAGGCCAGCTGGAGGTGGTGTGAGAAGTAATGACCAAAACGAGTGTAAAGAAGGAGAAACCTTCAAGTTCTTTTTCAAAGAGGCGGAGCAAAGCAGAATAAAAGGTTCTAGACAGGAGTCTGTGGTGGCATGTCCACCATGTCGTAGTAGTCGATGGCGGTTGAGTTTTTCGCTCAGCCTCACGGCCTCCGCTTTCGACCCCGTGTTTCATCGGTTTGGGAAATTGGCTGCGCGACAATACGATACTTTTCCCCTGGCACGCCCTGGATTGCCAGGCAGGCCACAGAGGCTAGTCTGGAGGGCCTTATTAATAATTTGACTCCCCGTTGGCGCCGTTCCCAGGCGAAAGCCAACAGTCGATACCCGAGCTGGCCAGGTAACATTCGCCTGGGGTAGTAAATGAGAGGCTTGCCTGGGTACTTGGAACAGGAGCTGAAACCAAGAGCAGGAGAAGGGGAGGGCAAGACATTCGAGCTGTCGATTCGTGCGAGAACACGAGCATTGGTCTCATTCCTGTCTATACGTGAATAGTAGTGAGGTTATTCTGGACGAGGAGAACCGGGTGATAGTCAGAGGAAGCTGCTTGATGATCACATTGGCTCATACTCGTCCCTGCTCATCCCCTGGTACCTGGCAAGATCATCTCAAAATGTGGAGAAACGAAATGCGACGGGAAATTTTGCTCCGAGATTCAGTTCAGGCCCACCATTAGGGGACAAGACGGTGTCTCCTTTTTCTAAAGGTGTGGAAGTAGTAGTGCGGTTCAACGCCAAAGAATCTCCTCGGTGCCGCGTGATGAGCCTATGGTGGACGGATGACGCAGCACAAGGTAGATACTTCCCGCTATACTCGGTACAAGAGTGGTATACCAAGTACACAATCCAGACCTTCACAAGGCTGGCACCGGCAGGATGAGGAACAGCATTCTGAGCCCCTCCGGAAGACTTTCCCTGGGCTTCTCCAGGGACTCGGCAGACGGCAAATGGCCGATGATCCCCCGCAGCCCTCACCGATAACGCTGACACCACAAGCCAGAGCTACACCCAGAGCTACGAAGGACTAGCTACTCGTACCACTCCAAAGTTGCTACGAGGTACGAGGCACAGTGGTAGAAATCAACAAACCACACAAGCCGACATGTTCCAGTGCAGGCGTCCTGAAGCCCCGGAAGCCTGATTTGACTCGTTTCACATCCAATGGAGACTCCCAAGCACCCAAACAAGCCTATGCGATAGCAGCGCTGGTGCCACTGCGTGCACAGTCATGTCCTCGTCGGCTACCACACCCAACGAGCGACCTTTGAGCTCAAGACATACCCTAGCCTCTGCAATCCCCGGCCCAGAGGCTATTCGCGACGACACATCCGTTGCGCAGACTCGTACGTCTCGCGAGATCGAGTCAGAGGGCGTCGAGCTGCGAAAACTGCACCACGCTCCTCCACAGACAGAAGATGTAGGGACAGAGGATGAGTTCTCTGACAGAGACAGCGACTCGGACGAGGAAGATGATGGATATTCCAAACGTCGCTTGCGGAGGACCGTAACACACTCCAAAGATTACACAGTCGAGGAAGAGACGGCTCTGGTGCGCAAGCTGGACCGCAAATTGGTCTTCTTCCTGGGCTTTCTCTACATGCTGAGCTTCCTGGACCGCTCTAATATCGGCAACGCTCGAATCGCGGGGTTGGAAAAGGACCTTTCTCTCTCGTCGGCGCAGTACGACTGGCTCCTCACGGCATTCTATATCACGTATATTGGATTTGAGTGGATGATCTTGCTTTACCGGATACTTCCCGCTCACATCTACATACCACTGTGTGTGCTGTCATGGGGCCTCGTTGCGAGTCTACAAAGTCTGACCACATCGTTTGGCCAATTGCTCGTCCTCCGTGGTATCCTGGGCATCACAGAAGCCGCCTTTGGACCGGGTGTCCCCTTCTACATGACGTACTTTTACAAGCGCTCCGAACTGGCCTACCGAGTCGGACTGCAAATCTCCGCTGCGCCGCTGGCGACAAGCTTCGCCGGGTCCCTAGCATGGGTGATTGTCAAGCTGAGCCAGAATGGACCTATTGCCCCCTGGAGGGCGTTGTTCTTAGTTGAAGGGTTTCCGTCCATCATCACGGCCGTGGCAGCGTGGTATTGGATTCCAGACTCGCCATCGAAGGCCCGGTATTTGACGGCGCGGGAGAGGAAAGTGGCGGTCATGAGACTACGAGCCGAAGACAGTCATGGATCTCACTCTCACGAGCCATCCCACGCCTCGGGGACCATGTCATTGGCCCAACGGATCAACGCCAAAGAAATCGTCACCACAATCCTCGATCCAAAATCGTACCTGACAGCCCTCATGTTCCTCAGCGTGAACGTCTCATTCAGCTCCCTCCCGGTCTTCCTACCTACCATTATCAACAGCATGTCGTTTTCCCCTCTGACCTCCCAGGCCCTAGCCGCTCCGCCGTACCTGTTCGCCTTCTTCTTTGTCCTTTTGGTGGGGAAATACAGCGATAAAATCCACGACTCGAGGTCCCTGTTTCTCATGGGTGTCTCTCTGCTCAGCGCCATCTCGTACGCCGGGATCGCCATCGCGGGATACTTGCACGAGTCCCTGGGGGAGGCTGGGAGTATCACAATCCGCTACGTGAGCGTGTACGGGGCGGCGATGGGACTCTTCTCCTCCGTCACCCTCATCATCACGTGGACGCTGAACAACCAAGCCACAGCCACGGGGAAGGGCACCGGCCTGACCATTCTGAACGTCATCGGTCAGTGCGGCCCGCTGATCGGGGTGCATTTGTTCCCCAAGAGCCAGGGCCCTCTGTACGTTCAAGGCATGGCTGTATGTGCCGCGTTCATGGCCGTCGGCGTCGCCGGTTTAGCCGGGGTATTGAGACTGGTGCTGCAGCGCGAGAACAGGAGGAATGGGTTTGCGAACAAGGAGCCCGGGCTGGGCGGGGAGTATGAGATGGTGAGTAGTAAAGAGGACGAGGACACGGGGGCCGGACCCGGAGGAGACGAAGACGCCCAAGAGACGTTGATTGGTGGAGCGAGAAAGATTGGAGGCGGCGAGGGTGGTTCGGGTTTCAGGTACATGCTCTAACGACGGACGATTGATGACGGGATTGACGAAGGGTTGGACCAACTACTCGTATATTGCTGTAGATACACAGCTAGATATGTAGGTATGATGCCTGGGTAATATCTACGATGGTAAGACTGGTCATCAGATCACGGATTGATGCAACCATTTTGGAAATATGATCATAAAACGGATTCAGTTCAAGATGCAGTGTCAGGATGGAGAAGTTTTTTTAATTCTGGGACATTGTTGAAAGTCAATATGTACAAATTATCGACGCCAGAGCGCTCGTCTGTTGGGTTTGGATGATGTGGTTCTGCTTTGCCTCTCCAGAAGACTTCAACTCTCTCACTTTTTGATGTCGCAGTTTGGACTCTCTACGACCAGCTGAACGATCTTTTCTCTTTTCCCTCGCGAGGCATCGAACTCGAACTCGGCCTCGTAATACAGTATTCACCTCCACCACTTGACCCTTGTGGCTCTTCCCGTCCACCTCATTTTATTTTTCTTTTCCCTCCTGCTCGCCCTTCTCCTTGGCCAACTTTTGCATTTGCTCCATTGTCAGGTTATGTTTGTCACCACGTGTAGCCTGTTCGCTTGAAGAGGCCAGCTCGGGCTTCCATTCCCCTCGACCAGTCTTGGCTTTCTCGACGCTGTCGGATTTGTGGCGTTCAATGTCGGCAGCTCGTCCTTCGTTGTCTGTGGTCGTTTCCCCGGTTAGCAGACCGCAGTCGTCAATAATAGAGGGTCGAGAAACATACGAGCATGGTCTTCACTCAACGCCAAACGCGCCGACGAGGTGTGGATGGCCGCAGTTGACCTGATAGAGACTGTTCTTCCAGCACTCCGCAAGGGAGCTGATGCCCGAGTCAGGTATGACATGTCCTCGGAAGGGAATCTAGCTCTGAGAGACCGAAGTATGGGGGGGCGTGCAAAGATATCTTTGAGCGGACCTGGAGTCGGTCTGAACGTGGGTTTCGTGAAACGTTGAAACGTGTGTGAATTTCTCCCAACAAGATGGGAAGTTAGCCAGAGAGGGTGTTTAGCAAAGCTTTATTGGGAGGGCCTCGGCGAAGACTTCCATCGCCTTTGCCAATTGAAGTCCTTCGTGCCGGGTTGCACATCTCGTTCGCCATGATGACGTAGAGACTGGACAATCAGTAAGAAACGTGACTATCCGTCATTCAGCACAGTTTGGCAGTCACGACCATCATCGCGAATGTCTAAGTAATGCCATTCGGACAAATCGTCATTGGTGGGGCCCCCACACAAGCAGCCCCTCTTTGAAGTGTGTCTGCCGCTGCTTTTACCTCGCCCTTTGACCGTCCAGCATTTGACAATTTAATGCCAACGACGACCGATCTGGAAACCCTTCTGACGAATTGAGATCACGGACCCGGTTGTCTGGTTGCGCTGTGTCAGGCCTGTGTGTGTTCGACAAAAACGAGAATAAGGCGGCGAGCATGGATAAACAGGGGATACCAGCTCCTTGAGAATGGTAGAATGGGCACCAGTGGCTGTCTACATCAATGGCCCCCAGTCTTGGAGCTTGGTCTAGCCATTCTGCAAAATATAAAACATAATCACAGAATAGTTTACACCTCTACAGGGGCTGCAAAAATGTGAGGAGGAAACAGACAAACATAATCGTACCCTGTGCTTGGATCCTTGGGGCGCAAAAACAAACCCTACACCGTGCCCTATCTTGGCACAGGCATCAGCCCTCTACTACTGCACAAGGCTTGAACATTACAAGACTTCGCATGTTCAACCACTCTTAACACGCCATCTTTGGAGAGCCTTCTGCTGTGTCTTGTACAGACCGCAAAGTGATCGAGAAATAGGCCATCTTGGCAGCCGCTGCTTGATCCATTTGAGCCATCCGGGGAAAGAACTAGCGATGACCAACCATATCAGTCAATGACGTTCCTGCTAGGGCCAAGGCCACCCCACTTGGCTCTTCGGATGGAAGACTTGCAAGCTCCGCAAACAGCCCAATTGGGCCAATAACAGCAAAACTAGAGCAGTGAGGCTTCCTTGGCAAAGGGCGGTTTCAGGAGAAACTCCCACAGAAACCACCGCTTCCACTTCAACCTGGACGAAGCTCACGACCTTGGCGCCACCACCATGGCGGATTCAAGCCACAGGGAAAGTCGGCCTGACGCTGAGGTGCCTACCGGTAGGCAATCATCATATCCAGCCCACTGGCGTCCTGGACATGTAGCTTCTGCAGTTCCAGCCTGAAAATAGCAACAGATACATACCAGCCTTACTGCAATGCAAGCACCATTCTCTCCTGCAAAGACCTCTCTGTCCCTTGCATGAACTCCTGCGAATGGCACACAACCTAGAGCATCCAAAAACCCCCTTTATCCATAGCACTGGCAAGCCCTCAGAGTGGAAGAAGAAAGAGCAAGTGCGTCGCCAACATCAACATGCTGCTAGTGTGGCACATCAACGTGGACAGAGGAAGAGATTGCCACGGTCGCAAACTCGCCTTGTCCCTGCGGACCACTCTCCCCTCTCGACAACTCCAGTGCCTCGAGTAGATCTCAGTGGGAGCCGGTTCGATCCCTTCGATGTCTTTTTTGTGAACAATCTATCTACGCATGCGCAGGAGATGTTTCAATCCGGTATGTTTGTCGTCTTCTACATCCGCAGTCTCGATCTGATTTACAGCCATTATCGATCAATGGCCGTGCTTTGCGTTGTCCAGCAGAAAACAAGACATCGACAGATGGCGGTCCGTCACGGTAAAATATGCGCTTGAGTCCCCCTACCTGGTGCCGGCAATCACCTACGCGGGGTCTTCCTATCGCTATTTCTTCGGCACTCAAGACTCCGTGGCAAAATTCCATCGCATCAATTTCTACCATGAAACTTTGAGACAACTTCGAGAGGCCATGCTCAAGCCAAACGGGCAACATGGGGATGCCATGCTCCTCGCAATTGCCATACTAACCATTCACGGCCCTCCTAACGACCTGCAAGGTCGCACTCTGGTAGGCTCACAGCAGTTGAGAGACTACGAGTATTACGGCAGCAAAGTCTGGGAACCGACTCATTTCCAAGCGCTATTCTCCCTTGTGAAACAAAGGGGTGGATTGCACAAACTCGGGATTGACTCCTTAGCCGGCATCATCATGACGTGCGTAATATTCCACCATGCGTTGGGTGCTTGCTCACAAGTTAGGATTGACATTGTTGATTCGCTCTCGGTCCTCAGAGCACCTGCTTTCCCGCTCTTCTTCCCTCCAAGCCCCGTACTGGAGGCTCTTCGCCAGTGCCGCAAACCAGACAAGAGCAATTCATGCCAGGGATTTCGCTTCTTAAGGGGCAGACACCTTGGCCGACGGCTCCTAACCATGATCGAGGACGTTGATGCCTTACTTGATGCTTACGACACTTTTCTGAAAGGCTCTGGTCCTAGCATAGATTTTGGGCAACTAGTTGCGGCGTGGCGCATCTTGCAGCACCAGGCACTGTCGTTGCCGAGTGGCGAGGATCTCCTGTTCAGTCTCTGTCGGGTTGCTGTCATAGTCTTTCTAGTCGAGTGCCTCGAACCCTTGCCTGTTGTTGGTGCCTTCCACCAAACTGGCTCACGGCGGCTGATGCTGTTACTTGACGAGTGTGATAAGCGGGATTATTGGCAGACGTCCCCTGATACAATGCTCTGGGCAACAATTGTCGGTGGCTTCGTCAGCCGCGAGACATCGCTTCGCTTGTGGTACATCGAACAGCTTCGCGGAAGTGCAATATCGACAAATGAAGAGGATTGGGAGAAGGTTTTGCACTTGTCAGAGTCCTATCTCCCATTCAGACACCGGCAAGCGCAAGGATGCCAACAATTCTGGAGCGAAGGGTGCAGTTGGCTGGCCGTTGCTAATCCCTACAAGAGAAGAAGCTAGGAATACGGATTGAGCGTGATAGAGGTGACGAGCTGCATGCAAACACGAATACCACACGTCCAATTGCACGGGCTGACTTTTTGGCCGACATGATAACGTGTCGGCACTCCACCCACACTACATGAGCATTGGTGGCAAACTCCTGGCACAGCCCTACCGACAGGTGGAGGGATGCGTCAATCAGGCTGAGAAGAAATACACCAGTGGGTACGGGGTACGGGGTAATAGAGGGCTGCCTTCGTTATCAACGGATCCATTGTATCCGCCCCCACTGGAAGAGTCTCAAGGCATTCTGGGTAAGGCAGAATCTTCTCTAGCGAGAGGGTTCTTGGTTGAGCTTGTGTAGAACAAGACCAGATCCGCGCAATGCCTTGTTCACGGAGCAATGTCTTGATTCTATTCTAGGTTTGCGAAGTACACCTACAATCTACGAATCACGATCTAGAACAGGGCCCGCCTCGACTAGCCCGAGGTCGAGACCTTTGAACTTTGGTATACTGCTCTTGCCCAAAGTGGTAACGTTAGTAACTAGAACTCCGTGTTCGCTTGTTGGCTTCGCTACTACTTTTCAGCCGTGAATGCACGACGGCACAATTGTCCATGTCAAACTCTCAAGAGAAGTCCCTGGGGACCCTTGCAGGAAGTAGTGTGGCCGCAAATACGGTCCATGTGCTGCCAGCCATGCCAGACATTGTTAAGATGTCCAGGTCATCATCTGGCTCAAGTGTCATGAGCATTGACTGTCTTCGCCCGCCCTATCCACCATGTTCAGGCATGAAGAGAGCCACGGAAAGTATGCGGTGGTGTCAGAGGCTGCCTGGAGTAGGTCTGGTTATTCGATTCACGAAAACAAGGCTGACAGAAGACAAGGCTCTCCACCAAAGAAACAATTGAAAGCCCCCAAATACTATACGCCATTCTCGACCAGATGGCCTGCTTTGACCCTGATCTTCCTGATCATACTGGCTTGTATTGCCGTGCTGGAGTATGGCGTTCGCTCTGGCTTGACGCTGGAAGAGAAGGACCAGCAACAGAATCACAGAAGGCTGAAGAGGCAGGACGCAGGGGTTTCAAGCTCGCCAACAACCGCAATAAGTACAACAGTAATCGACGACTCGAGCTCTTCTACGTCCACGCAAGCACTGACTGTGAGCACCTCGAGTGGTGTCTACATTGACCCAGCGACGACATCAGCTTCGGGTCCATCCTCTACATCAATCACTTCCACCATGCTCCCAGTTTCGTCTTCCACAACAGCATATATCAATCCCATCACCAGCCAGACGCCAACAATACCATCGACCGTCTCGACAGCATACGTCGCACCCGTCACCAGTCCAACAAAAACATCTGGCGGAGTGACGACAACCATGACCACCACGAGCAGCACTGGTGCGTATATTGCGCAATCAGCAACCGACCCCGACATCTCTGCAACACCCGTCATGACCAGCGGCACGACTCCCTACATTGTGCAATCCCAGAGTACAAGCACTACCCCGATGATGGCTACAACGACGGTGGGGAGCGGCACTACTCCATACATCGTCCCATCAACCACCTCGCCTGGGACTTCTGCCACCCCATTGAAGGTGAGCAGCAGCACCACTGCATATATAGCGCAGTCTACGGCTGCTACTAGTGCCTCAGGGAAAGGGACAACCAGCACCACCACCACCTGGTACGAGACGACCACGGGATATGTAAAACAATCGACGACGACAAAATCCACTAATCCCTATACTGTGCCCTCTAACAGCGCGACTTCACGTACGCACACCACGACACCTATAGCATTGACTGGTTTGGGGACCGTAAGCACTACAGACGTTGACTCTGCATCTCAAACCAGCTCTTTCGGAATATTCGGGTTGTCTTCTGGACAAATCTACACAGCATCCACCCCACCATCATCGGCCAAAACAAGCTACCAACAACTCACTGCATTGATTACCTACACCACGGAGGATGCGTCGGGCAATACAGTAACGGCCGTGGCAACAGAGACATACGGCGTCGCTGTAATGACTGAAACAGTCCTCGACGCTTCTGGCAGTCTATCAACCATCACCGCAACGTTGACCTCCTACAGTGGCACCATAGCCCCGACAGTCCTCGCCGAAAGTACCTCTGTCCCAACCACTCCTCCCGATCATCAGAGGGCAAATGAGGTCGAGCTTGGCCTGGCCGTGAGCAACCTTCAATACTTTCGCGCCATATACCTACCTGTCCTGGTAGCAGTCGTCCTCAAGCTGATTTGGGCCATTGTATTCACTTCTACCAAGATGATGGAGCCATTTCATCTCCTGTCCCGGGAGAAGGGTGCCTCTGCCACGGAATCCCTTTTGGCCGACTATCTGGCCACCAGTCTGTCGATTGAGGATATATGGAACATGTTTCTATGTCATCCTGTTGTCACCCTGGTTGGTGTCGTCTACCTTTGCCTGAGCGCTCTTCCTGCCATTGCAACTCAATCTACGACTGTGAGAGCGATTGCATGGTGCAGGAGCCCCACGCTCATTGTGGAACGGTGCAATCCCATGTGGTACCTCAAGGTCGACTATGCGAGAGCTCTTCAAGCGATCCTTGCTCTTATTGGGGTCATCATTCTTCTAGTCATCGCACTGTCTAGTCGCCGTCGCAGTGGGGTATTCTCCAATCCGTCCTCGATTGCTACAATGGCTTCACTCCTCAACAGCGAAGACTTCATGGAGGACTTGCGGAAAATTGACCAAAGATCGAGCCGTTCGTCCGCGAAACAAATCCTCAAACCTTACAGATACATGCTGCGCCAACATCAGACAACGACGGGTTATATCAGGTATGGGATTGTAAAGGCGCCTGAACAATCGCCAGAGCACTCAGTCAGATACACCAAACAGCCGAAATATTCTGCTCTGACACCGCGCCCGGGTGAGAGCGAAATGCACACCCCCAAAAGTACGCTTTCAAACAGATTCCTCATCGATACAATCTTCCTGCTTTGCATTCTAGCACTTCTCGGTGTACTTGTAGGGTACTATATGGATGGGCACGATGATCCCTTCAACAACTATTTCAACCACAACCCGACGAGTCAACTTGTCCTCACAGCAGCTGCCAGTCTACTTGACATTCGCTGGAAACAGTTGGAGCGAGAAGTCCGACTTCTGACACCTTATCGACGACTATTCCAGGGGTCTTCAAAGCCAGAGGCCACGATCCTGGTGTCCCAGAACTCGACGCCTCTAACAAGCATCTTCCAGGCGCTCTGGAGGGGCAACTTCTTCCACGTTTTTGTGGCCTTTGTAGCCATTCTGTCGGATGTTTTGATCATTGCCATCGGTGGCGTGCCGTTCAACTCTGCCCAGATCTGGCTCGATTTCCTCGTCAGTATATACACCAGCTGGGCCATCCTGGCCCTGATGGTGCTGACCGTTTTCGCAATTTTCCGCTGGCGGGCGTTGAACGAGAAAATGATGATGCCGTGCGAACCCACAAGGCCGCTTACCGTATGGCTGATGCTGTGCAATCGGGACAATCACCTCCGCGAGGACATGCAAGGGTACGAAACCATGGCGCCAAGGGAGAGAGACGACAAGGTCAAAATGAGAGGCGGGCTGTACTGGGCCGGGTGGCTCACGCAGCCGGACGGGTCCAGGCGCTGGTGTTTGGAAAAGGAGAATGGGCAGGCGTCGGGGATGAACATGATGTATGATCATCACTAGTGATAATGTGTAATACAATGAACATACCTTTGACACTCGATGGCTGGGACATTCGCTGCGGAATAAAAGGTGCTCTTCGCACCAACGGCTTTGCCTGTCTCGCGGTGTATACATAGAAGCAATATCGGGTTAGATCAATCCGAAATTGATACTCTCATGGTGCCACTTTTACTCGACCACAATTATTGCTTCTTAGTTGGCCCAGTCGATGTATATTATCAGGGCGGCATCATATTTTTCCCATAAGAGGTTAGAGCACGACTAATGACCCTTGTTTCCGCCCGTCGCGTCCAGGGGCGCGCCTTCCTCCTCCCCCAAAATCCAGAAACAGAGCCCTCAATCGGGCGACATCGTCCACGACGGCAACGACGCGCCCACAATGCTGCAGTCTCCGGCAAAGAGACGAAAGATCGAACCGAGTCTGTCGCAGCCAACGAGTGCCACCTCGGCAGCCAACGGACAGCCAACGACTCCTACCAGAGCCTCCTACCGCTCTCCCACCAAAAGTTCCTTGGCACGTTCCCATCCGCACCTCATCACTCGATCTGCCCGCCGCTCAGCCACCGAACCAAGGGGAAGGCTCTTGAGGGACGAAATCCTGGGGAGACATGAGCATGTTCCCGAACCGCCCAAGACGGCATCCCAGGTTCCTAGCCAGAAGAGCCTCGACGGTGCACCCGACCCATCTACCACACAAGCGAACGAAAACCTGTCGGTTCAAGATTCCACTGCGTCGCTCAAGGAGGCCACGACCACAAGAACAGACCAAGTCACCGACATTGACCGGCCGGCGCTGAAAGAGCGGCAGCCCGCACAACATCCAGCCTGGGAGAGATCTGCATCTAGTGAAGAGGCTGCTCCACCATCAATCCTGCCCAAGCTGGTCACTAGAAAAGACACGGATGCTAGACCTGTTGCGCGAGGCGTGAGTGGCGAACCCGAGCTACCTCCCACGCCTGTTGAGCTAGGTCTGAGCCCTGCACCGGAACGGCCTCGTGGTTTGGCATCCAGCAGCAGCCCAAGGAGCTCAAAGATGAGTGGCAGATCAGGTAGATGGAGAGATGAATCACGGATGCCCGTCACAAGCAGTCCTCTCAAGCCTAGAGCCCCTCCAATCGATGAAGCCTCCGACGGACAGAGCGTCAGTGGGCAGGACGATGCGCAGGAAGCACCAGAAAGTGAGCTTGAAGAGGCACAAGAAGACATCGAGGCACCTTCTGAACCACGTGGAGAACAAGCATCGACATTGGAGACGCTGAGAGGGAAATTACAGCAATTAGAAGGAGAGAACGAGAAATTGCAGGCAGCTCTTGTTGATGACAAGAATGTGAGCGAGGAAACTGTTTCTATGCTACAGCAATCACTCTTGGAGGACAGATCTCTCCGAGGCCTCGGGTCTACTGATGGCGGCGGAGCAATGTCCGCTCACTTATCGTTGTTTGCACCTGCTAACCTGCAACTGACTGCTCGAACGGAGACTAAGGTAATCAGAGATCGTACGAAGATTGTCCACTTGTTGAAAATTGACGCTCCACCCCCGTGGCTCCCAGATGCACTCTCCTGCGCTTTTGAAGTGGTCGTTGATGCGGAAAATGTCCAGGTTGAACACATTGAATTGAAGGAAGTAATGAGCAGAGCGCGCCGTACCAAGACAACGAAAGCCGAGATCTTCAAATGGGTTAATGGCCGTCTGGAGCATCCTTTACACCGGCTTGATGTCGGTGGACTGATCTGGGGAATCGGGCGATGGTTCAATGCTGCAATTGAACGTGCCAAAGTATTCCAGTGGCTGGATATCAAATACAACAGCTCTTTGTCCGATGATGAGCATCAGATCAAAGAAGAAAAGGATCAACAGCTGACTCAGGACAAGGCTATTGAACTGGCACGCTACTTGGATATGACGCAGAATGCGGCAGTCGACGCAGAAATGAATACCACAGCAGGCGGCAAGAAATTCAGGAGGAAGGTCATGCTCTCATGGGCCATCAATATTGACTGGGCTGGCGGACCTACATCTGACATCCAGATCTCTGTTTGTGGGATTCCCCAGAAAGCAGAGCCTGGATTGAGGACGGTCTTCTGCAGCTTGATCCCAACGCTTGGTGTCAAGGGAGCATTCGAGAACATTTGGACATTGATCCATGGAGACAGCGACGAGTTCAAATTTACCAGTACGCTGAAGGGCAAGAAAAAGGCGTGACAGGGGATGAGGATGTGCTGAATCACGAAGACATGAATTGACGAATATTGTGAGATACCCCTCTAGCTCTGAGCAGGACCGTTGGGTTGTGAATGTCAGGAATAGAAGGACACGGCTCAAGAGTCTGCTGTTGGTCCGGGCTGGTTTGAGTTATCAGGCGTGACCAGCCAGAACAATGAAATTTGCCCATGAAAAGCTTGACAAGATCCCTTTTTACAGGAACCAAGGGCTTTATTGATTGGAAATGCGTCGTTGCTTTTACGGCTGTCACTGAATTTTCATTTTTCATTTTTCTATTGCGCCAATGCACTGCCTGGAATCCATGTTCGGGGACCATGTCAAGCCATACGAAGGTGGGAATGGATAGGAAAGACCTCCTGTGAATTGAAACACGACGATGTTTTTTTTTGGGGGTTCCGGATACTAGTATTGATCTCGCACGTTTGACTCATGCCCGAGCCTCGCATGCGCATGGCACATGATGGCAATCATGTTTTTGGGGGTATGACTTTCCTCCACTCAATGCATGTTCTCATCCCATTTGAACGCAATCCCTCGCCGAACACTCTCTCTCTGCGCACTCTCCCATCTCTCCGAGCGCTCTCCGCCCCCCAAACCGTAAGTTCATATCATAGGCCCTAGACACAGAACACCGAGTGCAGATCTTGGTGTAGTGTTGTCGTAGTTGTTGTTGTTGTTGTCGCAAAGTGGTCGAGGAGTTGAAGGGAAAAGAAAAGGTGGAAAATTGGTATTCTTTTCCCCCCGATCTTGTCTTCTTTGTTTATTTCTTCTTGGCCTCCTCTGCCTCCTCCTTGGCCTTGGCCCGCTTCTCGCGCGCGCCGACGAACCGGGCCTCGCTGCGAGCCTGTCTCAACTTCCGGTACGCGTCCTCCTCGCCCTCGGGCAGGTCGCCCTTCTTGATCTCGCTGAAGCCGTGCTTGAGGCCGACGCCGGCGTCGATGGCCATGACGTCCCGCACCGACGTGGCGATCTTGCCGTCCTTGTTCTCCGCCGATTCGGTCGCCAGCTTGACGTCAGCCTCGGACGAGTCGAGTTTCTTGTGCTGTCCGGACTTGCGCGGGAACAGGATCAGTCGGGCCTTGTACGCCTTCAAGCGCGACACGTTGAGCGCCAGGGTCTCTTGGTTGGTGTCCACGCGGCGGGCGTCGACGGCGATGCCGATCGTGGGTGCCAGTTTGCGGGGGATGCCGGCTTCCTGTGTAGCGGGCAAGATGTTAGTGAAATGGCTTCCATAGGGCTTTTTTTTGGCATTGGAGGGTAGATTTTGGTTGCAAAAAGGGAATGAAATATTTCCAGCTTTTGTGGGGTTGGCTTGTGAAGGCGCAGTGCAAATGTATCTTATTCCCGGAACCATTCTCTTTCTCACATTCCCCTTATTTCAATCCCATGTCCCTTCGATGACCAGACCCAATTGTAGGATGGAGATGAGGAGGGAAAATCGTACCTTGAGTTCCGTCAATGTGAACCCCCGACCGGCCCGGGCACGGCGGTTGTACTTGATCGTAGGACACCTCACGACGGGTCGGAGCTTGTCGACAGGTCTGGGGGCAACGGCAGCGGCTTTGGCCAGACGAGCTGCTCGGCGTCGAGACTTGCGGCCGGCCTGGTCAAAGTGCACGCGGACGCGGCGCTGCCAGTCCTTGTGGAAGTGGTTGTTGGGGAGTTGCTGGTTGTGCTTGATCGCCATTGTTGCGAGATGATCGAAAAAATGGACGAACAGAAACAGAAAAAAAAGGAGTGTCCCCTTGGGAGAGTTGTGGAAGAGAGGGGATAAGAGGTTTTGGGATCCCGAGCACACCACACACACACACACACAAAAGTCAAGGTCGAACTTTTGGTGGAGTGCGAGGATGCAATTTCGAGGCTTGGCAGAGATAATTTGGGCCAAGATTTGTGTAGTCACGTGGTATATTCGCTCTACTTTCGGACTAGCCTCTGAACTCAGCCTCGCGAATTTCTATGAGCACCACCTCAAGGCTGGGAATACTGACTGCTTCGTGCAGCGGACACGATTTGTTCCATCGAGTTCAGACCACATTTCTCGAGACTGGTACTCGTTCATAATAAAAATTGAGCATGTTCTCCATTGATATGACTGAGCATGAGCTACCACGGTAGAGCCTTCCTACTGTAACACTGCCAATTTGTAGCCTCCAATCTTAACGCCGGATTCGGGAGGGTATCATTACAAGCATATCTCCAATCATCATTCGTTCCATCATCTGCACCTGCCATTCAGGCTTGACTCCAAGACCCAATCCCAAGTCCAACTCCTTGAGAAAGCTTCGCCTTCTTCGCCTTGATGTCAGACTCTCCAAAACTCGCTCCTCGCTTTCTGAGCTGACCGGGTTTCTTGATGGTACCAAATATCTTGCTCTGAAGTAGATTACTTGAGCGCTCTGCACCTTGAGATAGCCTCAAGCTCTCCTGAGAGCCTGGATTTCGACGCAACATATCACTCGCCAATGAACTGGCCTGAGACTCTGGAATGCTGTCATCGTTGTTGCCCTCTTCGACATCAGAGATGGAAATGGTGCTATCTCGGTCATGGCGCTCTCTTTCAGCTGACTCCATGGCCAACTGGGAAGAGGGTGCGGAAAAGGGCACCACAGACCCTGGGTAGCCGTCATGGGTGGCAGGTTTGACTTGTATCGGTGTGGTCTGCAGTGACGACAGAGAATGAGCGCCACGGGTATGTCCATGCTTGAATTTGGAGGTGTGCGTTCGCGTGGGAGTCGAAGGGACGCTAAGAGACTCTCCACTGAGTACTTCACCTGCGGCTAGAAGGGCAGCAATGTTTGAATGGTTTGGTACAGGTGCAGATTCTGGGAAGCGAGGTACAGGCTTCCGGTGGGGAGTCGTGAAGGTGTCGCGAGGAGTGGTGTGCGATGGCGACAGACACTTGAACTTGGTGAAGTGCTCTCTGTTCTCACGAATTCGCCTCTTCAACAGGGCATTCTCCTCTTCAAGCAATTCGTTTCGATCATTCTGCAACTCGACAAGCTTCTTTGCTCGAGTCAGGCGCTTCTCTACTTCGTCACGCTCCTCCTCCAAAGCTTGACATGTTTTGGTCAAAGCCTCAATCTGCGGCTGGGGTGGAGGAACCGAGTTTCGTGACTGCATTGACGCACGGTGCCTATACTCGGCGGTTTGGAGAACCTCGATCTCCCGACGACTCATTTGTTGTTCAACTTCGGCTCGTTGCGCAGCCTGGTCCGCCTCCATAGCCAGAAGACTGTGTTGCAGTTTGAAATGAGCGGCCGACGTTCGCGCTTCTCGCACTGCTGCGACCAAATCGGTGGCCATGCTTCGCAATTCTTCAATGTCTGCTTTCGCGATCGCATCTTGTGTTGGCAAGGCGTTGAGGACATTCGATCTAATCGCTGTTGGTGGAGGTGAAGCAAGCAGGGCATCGATGGGAGCAGAGTTGATGCGATTGACGGGAGACTGAAAACGAGGAGGTTGTGTCGATGGAGGCGGGGTCATGGAGGCTGACATGGGTGGAGGGGATGCATACGAGGATTTGTTCATGCTGTCTGCGGAGCGAGTGCGGACGTAGGGAGGAGTAGCTGGAACTGTCGAGTCATCCACGGGGGATGGTGAGTTCGCCATATCGCTATCGACCTCAGACGGATGATCCAAATCGGTGGCCAGCTGGGTGCCAATTGTCCAAGAAATAGGTAGATGACGGCTTCACGCAGCGCAGGTTGCGCAGAAAGCCGCCGTTTAGAGGATGCGACCTTGGCGACTGAGATGGAATAGGGTGAAGCGGAACAGCGCTTCGGCACAGTGCGTTCAATGTCGAGAGTATGAGGTGAAATACGGACAAAAGAAAGACTGGGTCAGGGCGCGAGCCTGGAACTCTAGCTAGAGAATTCGGGTAAAGACAGAAAGATGCACAGAATGCAGGTTGGTATTTGACAGAATTTGAGGAGGATTGTGAGGGCAGGGAGAGGGGGAGGAGGGACAGAGATGGTAGAGGAGAGGCTGGGAAGAGGTTGAGGTCGAGGTCGAAGTGGTGGTGACGGTGGAGTGGGAACCCGGCGGCGCTGGAGGCACTGGAGCAGCTGGCGATGGAACAGTGCGCGTAAGAGGCAGGGTGGAGCGGACCCCGTCCAAGGCTAAACCCCTACAAGGACCAGTAGAGACCAGAACGGAGTACGTAGGTAGAGTTTTAGGCACCACGGCCGCCGGGGTGTCACCTGGAGGCTTGGGATTCGCGCATCCTCTTAACTGAACGCGGTTTGGGCCCTACTGGAGGCGCCGGACGCGTCAAATTGGCGTCACCGTGGCGTGGCCTAGCGCGGTCGTGTAGGACAACCACCAGCCTAGGATTTTTTCCTGCTCACCCTGTCACCCCTGACCAATGTCAACATCCCAGGGACCTTTTTACACAGGGTTCAGCTTCCTCGAAACTGATATCCTCTGAGCTTCTGAGTTCTACAGTACCCCCCAGCAGTTGTCTGCAACCAGAGCCAGATGATATTCCCATCGGAACCCATGTCCTCAGCGAAACTAGGCTCACCAACATCTCGTCTCTGAGAAAGCATGGACCACCATAATGAGCAGGGGTCCCATATCCCCGTGCGTGGTACCCTTCCACGGCTGTCCAAACTCCCAATGCCACGTGCAGTGGCCTCGAGTGACAACCTGAAGTTGTCGGCTCGCTCAGCAGCTATGTCAAACATGCACCATGAAGAAGTGCGGAAGACCTCGCACATTCCGCGGCCCCTCGGAGAGAATGTCAATCAGTCAATCCGGTCTCGATATGGCTGGTTGGATAAACCCGTAACCCCAAGGAGCGAGTCGCCCGTGAGAGACGCTCTTCGCGACGTGCAAATGACAGCCATGGACACGACTCCTCCTGGATCCAACCAAGACCATCCCGTGTTTGAGAACGGCAATGAGAATTCGACTGTAGCAACGGCCGGGGCAAAGGATATGCACCGACCTCAACAGATATCTCCAACTCCTTTGTCAATGGTACCTCGACCTGATTCACCCATCAAGAAACCGTTTCGACCTCCCGGGAGGATCTCGCCGACGAAGGACTTGATGGCCCTTCCTCCGGTCGTCTCCCCCGGCGAAATCTACACACCCCCAAAGGCGTTCGTCAAAGGTCAGCGATCACGGATTGCAAAGCCACTTCGAGAATCTAGGCGATCCTCCAGTTCAACTTTCGGTGTCCCTCATAAGGAATCTCCTGGAGTGCCACCATCAAAGCTGTCAGCTCAAACCTTGAAACATCGGCCAACATATGGGGACCGGGGGACAATGTCACCTACGCCAGCGTCAAAGCAGTCTCTTTCATCCCTTTTCAACGCCCCTTCTCCCCCACCGCGGCCCAGTGGGAAGCTGGCAGTTTCCGGCGTTGAATTGTCGCCAGCACTTCTCAAGCCTAGATCAAGAGGCGAGAACACTCTCGCGCCGTCGACTTCTCCCACCAAACCCGCAACAAAAGCCAAAAAAGCCGCCCCGCCCCAGCAAGATACCGCTGCGGCGCAAGAAGCCCAGGCAATGAACTCGGCAAAATCATCGGCCGCGTTACGAGAAACGATTGCAAAGGCAAAGGCTGCAAAAAGAAAAACTCGCGAGAGTGCCGGGACACCAAGCGCCCCGTCAGCTGGACCTGGCGACTGGCCTTTGGACTTTGTCGATGAAAGTGCACTTTCAAGCGGCGACAATAAAGGTCTCTTACGAAAACGAATACAACAAGCCGTGACGTCTGGTCAATTGAATATTGCGGCAATGAAATTGAAGCAGATGCCTTCAGAAGTGATGAAAATGTATGAATCAGAGAACAGCATGACGAATTGGGCTGAGATGGTGGATTTAATAAAACTCAATGCTGCAGACAACGAACTGGAGGAATTGGGAGACGACATTTTTCCTGATTTTGCCGACTCGGACCTAGCTGACGACGAAGTGAACAGGGGTCAATTTGGCGGCCTCGAAACATTGGACCTGCGCAGGAACCGATTGCATCAACTACCAACCGGGCTGCGAAAGCTGGAAAGACTCCAAGTGTTGAACTTGGCTGGCAACAAATTTGGCAACAATGCCCTTGAGGTTATCGGCCAGATTCCCAACCTAAAGGAGCTCATCCTCGCGGAAAATGTCATCGAAGGCACGTTGGAACTGGGTGGACGTATGAGCGAACAACTGCAAGTTCTGGACTTGCATGGCAATAAAATCCAGAGTTTTGGCGCGGAAGGGCTTTCACTGCTCCCAAACTTGAAGGTCTTGAACATCTCTGGCAATAAACTTTCAACAATTCCTTGGGAGAGTCTACCTACCTCAAGTCTGGTCGAACTCAACGTTTCGCGAAACCGCATTTCGGGAACCTTATTGTCCAGTGCGCTAGCCCTCCGCGACCTGCGTATCTTGGACGCATCCTTCAACGAGCTGGAGGAGCTCTCCGACAGCGAAAGTACCCCAGATCTCCCCAACCTGCGTTCCCTTGCCCTAAAGGGAAACAAGATCACCGTCCTCACATGCTTAGCGAATTGCAGCCAACTTAACACCTTGGACGTATCGGACAACCAGTTGAAAGAGATTCCCTCTGAATTTGCGCAGCTTGAAAACCTGAAGGCTGCAGATTTTGGCAACAACAACATCCGGCTCATTTTGCCTGAGATCGCGACGATGGGCAACCTGTCGAGCCTCAACATTGTTGGCAATCCACTTCGTGAAAAGAAATACCTCACCATGACTGCTTCTGAGCTCAAGACGGACCTCGAGAAGAAGCTTGAGCTGGACCACTCTGAGACGACTGGTGTGGAGCCGAGCGACAACCTTAGCAGCCTCGACTCCAAGGCAGAGTACCGTTACAGACCTTCCAATGGGACTCTCGATCTTTCGTCCCTCTCCCTTACCACCATTTCTGTTTCTGAAATCGACTTATCCTCACAAGTCCATACCCTCAAACTCTCCAACAACGAGCTGTCAGCCTTCCCCGCCGACCTTCTTTCACACCCCTCCCTCAAATACAGCCTCCAATCTCTCGACCTCTCTCACAACCCCCAACTCCATCCCACGGAGTACCTGGCGAGCGAACTGTTCCTCCCGAACCTGAAATCGCTCTACATTGTTTCCACTGGACTCACCTCTCTCGACGCGCTCACGACATACCTGAAAGCCCCGGTTCTGACGGAGTTGAACATCTCATGCCACCGCCTGACAGGTCACGTGCCGTGGGTTCGCGCGTGGTGGCCGAACGTCAACACCCTGTTGGCCACAGACAACTGGTTCTCCTCGATCGACGTCGAGGCAGTGCGCGGACTCGAGGTTCTCGACATTAGGAACAACGAGATTGAAAGCCTCCCGCCAAAGCTGGGCCTGTTTGGCAATATCCCGGGCGCCAAGGAACGAAGAGAGGGCCGACTGAGGGTGTTGGAGGTCAGTGGCAACAAATTCCGCGTCCCGAGGATCACGGTCGTCGAAAAGGGCACGGAGGCTGTCCTGAAGGACCTGAGGAGGATGGTCAGGGAAGAGGAACTGACCGACGAGTGGAGAGATGCGATATGATTTCTCGCTGGCTTTTGATACTGCCGGCTTTTTAATCCCGTCCGTGTCTCCAGCGTATGCGCCCCCAGCGAGCGGCCAGGCCTCTTTACTATTCCCTTTTTTTTCAGCGTCGAACATTTCCCCGTGCAGACCTTTGTTTTGGAGCCTTGGACCACAAAAGACTTTTTTTCTTTGCCGCGTTCAAGCCTTGCAAGTGTCTATCTCACTCATGCATGCATGCTTCCCCCCTTTTCCCCGATACCCCGACCTCCCCCCTGGTCCACGCACGCTACGATTGTGCCGCCCTTTGCACCGCATGCGCGGGTGGACGAGAGCCATCTGCCCTTCTGAACAGGCTGGCTGGCTCGCGGTGACACATCTGAATGTGTATGTGCATGTGCATGTTTTAATGGTTGATGTCATGGATCCCTCATTCACCTTTTTGTATATAGATAGCTAGAGAGAGGGCGAGAGCGAGAGAGAGAACCCTTTTGGATTGTGCATGACACGGCAGGACATGGCATAGCGGTGACTGATGGGTAATTACCTACCTACCTATATAGCATAGGTGCCTAGTGATATTAATTCTTTCCATTCCATTCACAAAGCAATTCACAAACAAAGGTTTCATTTACATTTACATTCAAAGTATGTAATTTGCATTCCTTGGTTCTTATCTGGTCTGGTCTGGTCTGGTCTGGCCTCGAGGCTTCTACTCCGTCCGGTCAGGTCATTGCATGTAGCCTCGAGGAGCTGCTGCGGTCTTGTACCGAGTACCGAGTATAAATAACCGATCCGTGCCGTCTGTCAGACTTCAAGGGAGAATGCTCCATGTATCTCTTTTTGACTGAAAATCGTCCGTCTGTCTCTCAGTAGCCATTTGATCAGTCATGCTCATTATGTCCCGTCACATTTGACCTTTCATGAATTGGCGCTTCTCATGCCTCAATCTCATTTCTCTTCATCTTCAATCTGTCTAACCGCTTTTGCGTACTTTTTCCCAGGCTTTGACTCCTCGATGTGAGTGTCATATCTTAAAGACTGCGGATTTACTCTTTATACCGTCAAAAACACAAGTCCCATCTACCGGGACATACTGCCTCGTAAGCAGTTTGATCGCCTCCTGCGCAACCATGCCTCCTGCTATACTGGAAATGTTATGCAGCTCACCACCGTCTGCACGTTCGATCTCCTCGATCGCATTTGCAATATTCTCCTGGATCTCCGGGTCGGATGACAGTGATTGTACATTGAGTGACACATCTGCCGAAAAGGCTTTATTATTAAGGGCGATGAACGCAGGGAATAGGGACTCCCAATCGTTTTCGATAATGGAAATAAGCCGGGAAGAGAGTTTGATGTCTGGGGACAGCAGGCGGAGCGAAGGAAGGGCTTCTCTGTTCTGGTTCGTCAAGACGCGTACATGAGAGGCGTTCTTGCAAAAGGCTTCAATCTCAGAGTCTGGGACTAGTGCAGTCGTCCTTGAGAGAGATGCTTCGATTTCTCGAACAAGCCTCGTCACTTCGGCGACGTCAGCTCGTGCTTTGCTCTTGTAGATAGTCTGAAGCTTGACGTAGTCTGCACTGGTGGCTTTCATATCTGGCAGAGTTCCAGGTAGAGGTAGAACGTTGTGGGTGTCGTAGAACTGTTTAATGGCGTTTGCGACAACCCAGAAGTTTGCAGAGTCTTTGGTCAGGTTGGTACAGGAAAGCATGGCCATCATCTCCTTACACCCACTGCCTATTGGTGGTGGGGTTATACTCTTGAGTACCGAAGCACAAGCTTCGTCAAAGTTCTCTTCTCCGCCCTCAGAATTGTTCGTTCTTGCGCCCGACTTGACGAGGTCCCGGAACTCGGTCTTTTCTTTGAAAGAGGACGGGTATTGATCATTGTGATCAAGCTTCCACCGTCTGAGGTAGTGTAAGAGAATGAGTATGTAGGGGATATGGCCATGTTCGTGATCTGACAACGATGAGAGATCCCCAAGAACATCGACTTCAGCGTCGAGTTCAGGCCAGGGTGCAAGGAGCCGGAGATCTTGGGTACTTTCAGGATCGGGATGAGTATCCACAATGGGAAATTCTGTAGGCAGTTGAATTGAGAAGGAGGCAAAGAACCCGACCGACTGGAGGTAAATTACTGGTATTGAGTTCTCCAAAGCATAACCACATATCCTCTCGAGCGGTTCCCGAGACACAGGACCCCCGAGAAGAATCAAATTGTATGGCTTGAGGGAGTCTTGCACAGGGAGCCATTCCATCAAGGGAGCCGAAATAGCGTGGCCTATGACATCGGGATTCAACTCCTGAAGCAGTCTTCTCATCTCATCCGCTCTTGATTTGTGAAGACTGTCCGCCTCGAGGAAGAAGTTGATTCCCAAATCTCTTTCAGTGACAGTCGCCGAGTCTGCAATTGTGAAGCTGCCCACACTAGGGAGGATGAGGTTCTTGAGGGCTTCAGCACCAGCAACGCTGCTGTTGGAGCCGTAGGCCTCGTCTCCCACAACCAGGAGAACATGGGATTGTTCTAGGGCGCGTTGTCCTGAGGCAGCCCATAATCGCAGTTGCCGGTCATATTTCCGTTCTTTGGCCGACGGTGGTTGGAGGACAGGCGGAGTGACCTCGCGGGGGGCGATCTCCGTCATGATTGCAGTGGTTTGGGTACGACAGAAGATCTCGACATCCCCGACAAGCTGGCTGCGGGTCTCTAGAGTTGACAGCAATCAAAGATGTGTGTAACTGAGTGAACGCAGGCACAAATACAGCCTGCGCCCGAGGGGAAACGAAATCCTGGCCGATCTTCGGGGAAACTCATCCGATCGACGTCACCAGAAATGCTCTAGTCGGTTGTGGCTAGTGCGACTAAGTGTGGCTGATACGTGGTTTTCGCACTGATATGAGATGTTCCCCCACCATAGCAAGTCCAGTCCCCGCCATGTGTATCTCAACTTGCTGCTTCACTGGTGAAACTTCCTCCCGACATCTTTGATCCATTCAGGATTCCGGTCATTACTCCAATTGCGGCAACGGCGGAGATGTCTCTTTTGAGATAAGTCATCTGTCGTTGTGTACGTAATCCGATTAGACTATTCCGATTGATGTTGATTCAAAAGACAACCTGATTTTTTTTTATGGTCGCACTCTGTAAGTGACGAGAGCCCAGTCCCCTCCCCAACCGTTCTGTCATGGTTCTAGTATTTATTCAGCTAATACCTCGTAGATAGAGAAGCTAGAATTCTTCTCCTGATTCCCCGCGGTAGACCTCTCTGTATCGTTCAGCTCCGTAACCTGCCGGCGTCGCGCAATCCCCAGAAACACCACTTCCATCGAACCCGCAGTCTCGCGAAAGCTAGCATGGCCGCCGAGATTGAAGCCGCCAAAAAGGCCGCCGCTATCGAAGCTGTCAAGAACCATTTCCCCCCAAATCCACGCTTTGTGGGAATCGGGTCTGGCACAACCATTGTCTACGTGGTGGATGCGATCAAAAACTGCGGCGTGGACGTCTCAAGAGTTGGCTTTGTGCCAACGGGATACCAGTCCAAACAACTCATCATAAACGCGGGTTTGGTGCCAATCGAGTTTGATGCTCTGCCGGACGATGCCGTGATCGATGTTAATTTCGACGGAGCAGATGAGGTGGACGAGGAGTTGAATTGCATCAAGGGTGGAGGTGCTTGTCTGTATCAGGAAAAGTTGGTGGCCATGAGATCAAAACAATTTATTTGTGTCGCTGGTATGTTGTCCCTCTCGCATCTGTACAGGGCAGTCTTAATAACTGGCCCAAGACTACCGCAAGCTCCAGCACCGTCTAGTCACCAAGTGGCCTACTATCCCTATAGAAGTCGAACCAAAGGCCGCACGGCAGGTCATGAAAAGGCTACGAATGCTGGGTAGTCGCAACGCAGCAGGCGCAGGTCCAATGATCAGAGAAGGCCACCTCGCGAAAGCCGGCCCTGTGAAGACGGATCAAGACTTCTTCATTGTCGACGCTCCTTTTCCCCATCCACTCCTCATCGCCGATGACCTCACACCCGAAAAACCCGGTGACGGTGAAAACGGCTATTGGGAGGTGGAACAACTCGCTCGAGCTATCAAGGACATCAATGGTGTGCTTGCCGTAGGCCTTTTCTGTGGTCCTACAGGTCCTGAGGCCGAGGCGGCTGGTGTAATTGGCGGCCAGAGACCGATCGCTTGCTATTTCGGTATGGCCGACGGCACTGTGTCGGTGCGAGCAGCTCGACATAAACGGGATTCCATTATTGCGAAATACCCGCCGTTAGTCCCTGTGCATAGCTCTGAGCCGGGCGTTGTGGCGACGGCACTTTGATAGATTGGGTCGGTCGCGGAGGCATATCGCAAATATCGCCTCGTGTGAACATCGTTGGCAATTAGACTCATTTTGCTTTCCTCTTGACCTCATTCTCGCTGAGTTCGCGAATGAAAATCCCGATAGACCCTTCGGTGATTTCATCCTTGCCGTCTTCGAAACCTGGGCTGATAGCAATGGCCAGATATTTTCCATTCGCGCTGAAAGACAGAGCAGCGACACTTGAGGCAAGCTTGGGGTAGATACGGATCCTTCGTTTTGCAACAGCGTCCCAGATGGCGACCACCCCATCACCGCCGCCAGTCGCGAATGTGCCATGGATGGGATGAAATGCAATGGCGTTGACCGGGTAAACAACATCGACTTCATCAATCGGCTGTCGATGACACTTGAATGCATACTTGCGAGCCTGTGAATCGTTGGACGGATCGAACCACTCCACTGCAACTCGGCCTTCGATACTTGATGATGCATAACCTTCATCATTTGGCATGCAGTCCACTGCCCGCGTCATAAACTTCAAACTGCTCTCTCTTCGTTGCCATGGTTCGATGTCGAGTCTGTTCTGTAATGAATTCGCCGAACTTCTGCACTCGCTCGCTAGAGTCTTGAGCTCGTAGATGTGAACTGCCCGATTAGCCATGGCTACCACCAGCTTCGAGGGTGAAACAGCCAGGGAGAACGGTTTTGACGGCAAATTGATCGTAGCGGTTGACCATCCTGCATCTCCACCGGGATGTATGTGCACCGTTGAGTCCCATGCTGCGGAGACAACCAGTGAATGCTCCTTGCTGTATACGATGGATCGAACTCCATTGTCGTGTGTGCTCAAGACGGTCTGTGTACCAGAGGGGACGTCGATTCTGCAAAGTATAGTCAATTCTTCAAGTTCCAAACCTCGGGTCGACTTCTATTCGCACCTCCTCACATCCCAGTCCAAACATGCCGTGTAGATTTCATCGTCACTATTACCGAAACACACATCAAGAACCGGTGCGCGGTGCTCAAACTTAGCGAGTTGGGTACACGTCTTGCCATCGGTCACTTCGTAAAGGTAGGCATGTTTATCCCATGAAGCAACCGCGAAGCGCTGTGAGTTTGGATGGGGTGAAAATCGAAGGGCCGCAATGGCGTCGGCAGGGAGGTCGGAGACGGGAAATTGGCCTGTCGAGAAATGAGCAAGACATTAACAAAGGCGCAGCCAGACACGTACCTGACATTTTGGAAGTGCTCTGCAGTAAGCGCAATTTCCTATTGTTTGCCGCGAATGCGACGGGCGAAGATTGTAGATGAGAGCAAAACAAATAGATCCGCTTGCAACACATTCTGCCGCCTGTCACCGCCTCGGTACCTGCAGCCTTCTTACCTCAGCCTCATGGCTTCAGCCTTGCCCCGCACATTCGATTCTCGCAGCCTCGTCGTCAACATCACCACCACGAACTTGTAAATAACGCCATCCAACTACCACACACTTGTCGTCTCTGGAGCACGATATGATCGAGTAAGTGCTTGTGAGACCTACTGACCTGTTTCCGATGCAATTCTTACCGAGCAGGCCTGTTGATGGTCTGGCCAACAGACATGACATCTCAATATCATGTCCATCCGTCATATTCCATCTGGCTGGTCAGCAACATCGACAGCCACCAACACACTGGCCTGTTACGTCATAGAAACATGGCGACATTGACAAACTTTTGATGCCACTTATCATACACAGGTCAATTGCACATGGCATTGGTGAAACTGTGTTGGAATTCGAGATGCCGTCGATATAAAAGGAACCTAGGATCGAAGCCCCAGGTAGGTTGATAATCGCATTTCCGTTGTAAGGTTGCAGAAGGGATCCAAGCCGGCCGATAAGCTTGTCTATCCCAGCCTCATACTCTTCAAGATGACTGGCTCCATAGAGACTTTCCTGTCAACGTTGTGTAGAACAGTACTTCCCTATGCACAGTTCTGCTTAACTGGAGCACTTCCAAGGTTGGATTCAGTCTCCAGCCTTGTGAACAGACAGGCCTTGATCTCCTAAACCCCCTCTGGTGTCTATACTCGCCCTTTCCTTCCAGCTCTCCTCTCGACCTCGACATAGACTTTAAGACGGCAATTGCTCACGGCCATGCTGGGTTCTAGTGCGATGGTACGCCCCGACGGACGCGTTGACGAATGGATCCTACGTCTATCCCAAGGTCGAGGCTGTGGCGCAAGTACAATATGCGCGTGGCGAGACACGAGAGCGATATGTAGTGAGTGTGAAGGATGAAAGAAGGCGGAGCAAATCAGTGAGTGCATGATGAGAACAGGACCGCGGAAACATGGAAACAAAATAACGGCTTTTCTTTGATATATCTTTTCAAGCGATATTAAACTCGTCCGCGGTGCCTCCCATCATCATCTTCCTGTTCATTCGGATCTTCTCCCTCATTTTCCGCGCCGCTTCATCCGCATCACCAGTGGTATCAATGTCGGCACCCACATCTCGCGTCTTTGCCCTATCGCCATTCTTTCCTCCTTCGCCGTTGACATGCCGCATGCCACCTCCGTCACTCGCGCCCCGTCCCCTCTTCGACGCGGTCTTTTTGTTCCTTCCCACGCCCATCCCGCTAGGCGTCTCTCTCAGGCCGAAACTCTTACAAAGATGGCCCAGGTGCAGCTCCTTGATGTCGAACCACTTTCGCTCGCTGGCAATGTGCGTCGCGTATGCCCTCATGTGGCTTTGGAAAGCTCGCTTCGCCAGGTCCTTGTTCTGCGGGGTGGACAAGATGAAGCGTTCGAGCGAGAGCTGTAGGTCGGTGGCGCGTGTCTGCCAATCCGCGCCCTGATCTTTCTTGTGATTCTTGTTCTTGGTCGGAATCACACCGTTGAGCGGCGAGAATCCCTTCTTGAGCACTTCCTCCGCGGGCATGGAGGAGACGTTCGCCACGGTATCAGATCCGGTTTTGTATGAGCTTTTCAATACCGAGACGTAGCCTTCTTCCTTTCCCGGCAGGAGAAAGATGATTGCCCTGCCATCTCGTCCCAGACGAGCCGTGCGCCCGATCCGGTGCAAGTGGTCTTCGGCACTGAACGCCGGATCATATTCAATCACGAGATCGAGGTTGGGCAGGTCAAGGCCGCGAGAGGCGACATCCGTCGCAATCAACAGGGATGGCGAAGTTGTAGAGGCAAAAGTTTTGACAATGTTGGTGCGAGTAATTTGAGGAAGAGACCCATGCAATTTGTAGAGTGTGACTTGATTATGCGAGGATGAAAGGGCAGGGGAGGGCAAGATTGAATCCGAGATAGATGGGTCGCGGGATGAGGGTGGCGAGGGTTTGCTTTTTTCAGGAGCTTCAGCGTCCGGATCTGTCTCAGCGTCTCCATGTACGGGTTGCTGATTCTCTGTGGGACCTTCTCCATCAAATGCAGTCGTGAAAGCCTTGAAATGGAATTCGACAGAGTCCGCACAGGAGACGAAGACGATGGCTTTCATGACAGAACCCTTTCGTGCAAAAGTTCGTTTTAGTAGGGCCGTCAGTGTGACGAATCTCAACTTTGCCGCTGCAACAATGTAGGACTGCTTGAGCTGTGCTGGAGCAAGGAATGCAGGATTGCTGATGCCGTTGCCATTCGCCAAAGCGTCGGCAGATTCATCTCCTCCTTCTGGGTTGTCGTCATCTCCGGCATCGCCCTTGATCAGGACGGCGTCTTTCAGGCTGATCTCCCCCAGCTTCTGTACGTTCATCTTCAGCGTCGCCGAACACAGCACCGTTGTTCGCTTCTCAGGCAGACCCGGCCACTTGCTGCTGCCTCTGGGCCTCTTTTTCTGATCCAAAGTCTTCACGATCTTCGTAATGTCCTCTTCAAAGCCCATATCCATCAACCGATCCCCTTCGTCTAGGACCAGCCAGCGCACATTACTCACGTCTAGCACCTTTGTGTTTTCCAAGTGATCGACCAATCGACCAGGGGTCGCCACCAAGATGTTGAGCCCTTTGCGCATACGGGCCTTTTCTGATTTTTTCTTTTCGCCGCCGATTACATGACCGGCGACGATATAGTGCGCGCAACCAAGCAAGCGCTCGAGTACGACTGAGATTTGTTTGCACAGCTCACGGGTTGGGGCCAGTACGATGGCGAACAGACCAGAGTCACGGTGCAACACCAACGAATCTTGTGTGTTTTTTGTGGTATCTTCTGCAGCTTGTTCGGACATGGTCATGATTCGCTGTACAAGAGGGAGGAGGTACGCCAGGGTCTTGCCGGAGCCGGTCTCCGACTGTATGAATGCGTCGCTGTCGTCCTTCAGCATTTGCGACACCGCTGCCTTTTGAATGGCCGTGGGGGTTTTCAGGTTCATCTTGGTCAAGAGGTGCGCAGCGATGGTGGAGGAAAGGCCGAGGGACGTAAAGGTGTCGATGCCGTCGATTAGAGGGGCATTGGAAGGCGCCGTTGGTTTCTCCTCTCCCTTGTCGTCCTTGGGTTCATCCTCAGTAGTCGTCGGCTTGGGGTTGTAGGTGAAAAGTGAAGAGATGACTTCGCGAGGCCCTGTCGGATGTGGTGGTCTCTGCTCATTATTTCGTTTCTGCGCGGCAAACCCTGCATCTGGCACATGTCCATTTTCTCGCCTCCTCTTTGCGGGCCGAGCGTCTAGAGACTCGTCAGAGTGACCTCCATGTATTTGTGTTCTCGTCCTGCCCTCGAAGCGGCCTTGCGCAACAGGGACTGTATTTGCATCATGTCGTCTCTTCTGGTCTGCGCCTCTTTCCCCTCTCTGGGCCGACCTTTTTGCTCTGAGACGGTCTCTCCACGACCCACCTTTGAACTTCTGGGGACTGTTCGCAGCGGCAGAGGCAATGCTGTCATCGACTGAGAAGTTCAAGAACATGCCATCGTCCGCCATTTCACCGGTGCTCTCGGTGCTCGTCTGGAGAATGTGCAAGCGTGCAGATCTCGAACTTTTTTTCGGTGGTCGACAGAAGGCGGAGAGAAGCCGGTCTCCGATTGGCTGGCCTTGTTTAGCCTCGTTCGGCTTTGGTCCAAGCAACTGCGGAACCTCGATTCACTTTCGTCGCTTCACTTTCTACGCTGCACATTGTATCATGCGCCCTCAAGAGACGGTAAAATCAAGGGCGTCAAAATGAGGTTGCTGTCTCTGCGACCTCGGATCAATTTTTCGTCTCATCAACCTCTCATCCATCCTTCCTCCACTCGAGTTGGTAGCTATGGATAAACTCGTACTGAGGTCGGCCAGGTTTGGAAGTTGGACAACACCGAAATCTCCATGGCAGCGATGCGCGCCTCCCTTTGTGGTTCTTCAGAGATCATACAGAGCACGATGGAACTCCACTTCCACTCCGCCTGATTCTCCCTTTCCTGTTTTTCGACACGTGAATCAACTCCGTGCCGTACGCAGGCAGCTCCTTCTTGAAGGGCGTACTGTGGGCTTCGTCCCAACTATGGGAGCTCTACACGAAGGCCACCTCTCCCTCGTACGCCACGCTCTTCAAGAGAACAGCGATGTCTTCATCTCTATTTTCGTCAACCCTACCCAATTTGCCGCACATGAGGATCTCGATTCCTACCCGGTCACCTGGAAGGAGGACATGAAAAAGTTGGAAGAGCTTCAACAGGAACACATCGAGACTGTCGATCAGTCACAGAAACCTGGAATGATCCGGGGGGTCTTTGCGCCCACAGTCAAGACAATGTACCCTACACTTCCGCCCACTTCAGACATCGCTGGGCCAGGCTCCTTCGTCACCATCACACCCCTTGGGTCACAACTCGAAGGAGCATCGCGGCCGATCTTTTTCCGCGGGGTCGCAACAGTCTGCACCAAGTTGTTCAATATCGTCCAAGCCGAACGCGTCTATTTCGGCCAGAAGGATATTCAACAGTCCATCCTCATCAAACGGATGGTCAAGGATTTCCATATCCCCACCGAGGTTCGTGTCGTACCCACACAGAGAGAAGCGGATGGATTAGCCATGAGCAGCCGGAATGTCTATCTGGGCGATAGGCGAAGGGAGGATGCTACCGTCCTATCCAGGGCTCTCTTTGCAACCCGTGACCTTTACAACGAGGGAGTGTTGGATGTCAGGCGCCTGCGCAAAGCAGCATTTAACGTCTTTGAGGAGGATGCCGCAAGAGTTAGAAGCGATGGGCGAGTAGGCCCTAGTGGTCGCCTTGAGATCGACTATATTGCCGTGAGCCATCCAGACACCATGGGCACCATTGTGGACGACGATAAACTCAATCCGCGCATCGGCGCCGTTGTCAGTGCCGCGATGATCGTCTCCCCGGTCGACAAGCCCAAAACTCAAGAAGAGCTGAATCAGCGCATCGTCAGACTCATCGACAATGTGATTCTTGAACCCCGCATAGATCCCCAAGATCGAAAGTACCTTAGACAGCATGCTGCGAACCCTGGAAAGTTTCGCAAAGTTCCGCAATTGAGCATTCGGAAAGTCCCTCAGGGGGCAAGAGAGGATCTGAAACCAGAGGAACAGGCTGGTGGAGTAGGAGGACAAGACGTCGAGGCACCGAAGCAATGAAATGCGCAGAGTGACTGAACTTGAATATTGAGAGCGCGCCGCATTGCAGTGGAGAGGCACTGTTAGTAGATATCCCACAATGAAATTTTGCCGTCTTTGCCGCCCGCAGCTAGCCAATGTGTCCGTCGAGCTTTCTCTTCGCGTTGCTGTTTGATCGTGTCGAGCGCGTTCATGGGTTTCGTGAGGTCTTTTGCAGCGGTATAAGTCGACAATATAGCCCCGTCGCCCATACTAGCAGGTGAAGCAGTAGTAGAAAGAACATTACCCGCGTCACCACCAGCCTCATGAGTAACGACAGGATCGATGACTGCGAAAGCGGTCGAATAGCATCCCACCTTGTGCCACTTCAGTATGGCCAATTCCTTCATCGTTTTGCACGAGTAGACGCGCACGCGCCCGTCCCAGCCCGCGGTGGCAAAGATCTTGCCGTCGGAGCGCACGCTGAGCCCTTGCTGGCCAGAATGTTTTGTGTTAATGCACTTTTCGCTCTGCAGGTCCTGTGCGTGCATATCGGCGAGGGACGAAGGCAGGCAGAATTTGGAGATCAGCGAGTCGGCGCCGGATGTAAAAAAGTGTGTTCTGGAACTGGAAGGGAGCATGGCGAGCGACAGGATGGGCTGTGTGTGTGCTCTGTCGCAGCTGGTGAGTTTCTGCCACCCTGGTGGTCCATCTGGGTCGCCCAGATTCCCCTGGTGGGTGTGGATCGCAATTCGTCCATCCTCGTAGCCCGATATAAGGACGAGTCGCAAGTCTGGTCCTGTCGTCTGGTGGAAAAGGCACACAGCCATCACCATCCCTGCTGGGCCGGCTGTGTCTGACCGGATCTGCGACACCCGTCTCTCCGATGGGAGTTGGAAGATGTCAATCCCGCCCGAGTCGAGGCCGTTGGGTGAGGCAATGAGTTGAGGCGCAGGTTCCTCGCTCGTAGGCTGTCGTGGATCCTGATGGCACATGGAGAAGGCGCAGAAGTTGAGGGCGTTGACCGACAAGGAATGAAGGAGCCATGGCTGAGGATGAGTTGATGCTGATGCTACCGCTTCTGATGTGGTATCATTCGAGTCGTTCGGCAATTTTGTACTGAGACCTGCGAAATCTTCCTGTCGAAGCTGCCAGACACGGAGTTTATGGTCTCTCCCGTGGCTTTATTATTTCGACACCACAACATGTTTTTGCATGTCAGCTAAGGTCTATTTCTTCTTACGGGGGAGTATGGTCAACGTCTGAGATTGTGACACTGTCCGCTTACCTTATTAATCGATTGGTTGTCCAGTGCTTGATTTGCAGGATGCCCCCGTCATGCGCCTTGAACACCGCCACGGGTCGTTTGGAAGAGAGACTCCATATGACCATCCACCCGTCGCTGTCTCCAGAGGCAAGTAGGGCGTTGCTAGCGTAGAAGTGAAGGGCATGGATGGCTGCTTCATGGCCTCGAAGTATGTAGGCAGGAACTGCAGGGCCAGGTTCCATGGTGGCGGGGGCAGGCCGTGAGATCATTCAGGTTGGCATAGTTGGGTAGGTTTGAGACTGGGTTAGATATACCAACGTGGGTTTCAGATTCATAGAGTCGGCAGGCTGATGTATCCAACAAGTCACGAAGAGAAGGTGCGATGTGGTTGATGCACAACCTGATGTCCGTGGTCTGACTGCGTCGAATATGTTCTTGGCAACGTGAAGAGTCGTTCGCTGTTGACCTGAAGGTCGCCGTCAATCTTGATGGAAGCTATTCGCACTTTTGGAAAAGGGGGATGACCTGGTTAGGAAACTGCGTCAACAGAAAGGTCTAGTACAGCGCCCACTACGATGTCATTGAGCACTTGATACGAGGTATATTTGGAGGCATTCTGTCTGCCGCGGTCTGACTGCCGGTTATTTCGCGAAGTGTGCAGTCTGACCTAGGATTTGACACCATCTATTTATTTATTTTTTGGTTGTTTTTGACTGCTTCCGGAGATGGTCAAGTGGTCAGGCTGGCGAGCAACGCAAAAATTGGGCAGTTTCAAAGCAGTACGTGGGCTATACGAAGTATAAAGCACTTTCTATTGCTACGAATGAACACCTACTGCTGATGGTGATAACGCTTTTCATGCTTCCTAATTGGGCACTTCGTGGGGACCGATCCTCAACTTGTCTCGGGTTTGGTGCGAGGGTGGGAGTTGGTCAAACACTCCACTTTATAACAGCGCCATTAGTCGGCCTCTTTCACACTGCCGTTGGAATAATGTCATCTGGAATTACAAGTCGAACCAGAACGAACTCCAGGATAAGTACCTCAACAGCGAACCAGTCTAACAGCGAGGAACAGAAAAAGCAAGGAGAGGAGGACAAAAAGGATGAGAAGGAGAGGAAGAAACAATTATGTCACAAAGGAATAGATATCACGAGCTATACACTCAGATAAGCTCCGCGTAGATTTCAGCTATACAGCAAAAGACAACACATCGACTCAAATCATACTATCAAGAACGAATGATCTTGTGCGTGACGCGTGAGAGAATCCGATATTTTTCTTAGAAAAAAAAAAAGGACAAAAATCTAAACCACACGGACTTCTTACTTTGCCTGCTCTGATAAATTGTTAGACATGGATATATATTATTGTGGAATGGGTGGACCTACGCTGGAATCGAACCAGCGATCTTCTCATTTCTAGCGACTGAAAAGTCTACGAGTGAGACGCTGTACCACTTAGCCAAGCAGGCTGGTTTGTGTGGAGCATTTGGGGGTAAAAACAGTGGCCATAAAATATAAAGGAGAGATTGGCGGATGTAGATTGGGGAGAGGAGGGATTCGATCGGGAGAATATCGTTCCGACCGTTCAAGAGGATTCCAAGGACTTGTTTGGACTTCCAGTGTCCAATAATGGCGCTGCGAATGTTCCCGAGACGAATTCGGGCGAAGTCGCTGCGGATTCTGGAATGTGGATTTCGGGTATACTACGGAGTGAGCCGTGTGTTGTTCGCTTGGCTTTTTCAGCTGCAAAGGCGTTTCAGGTAGTAAGTTGCGCGCTGAACCCAGTACCCACTGACCACCGCCCCCAGTCCCAGTCCCAAATCCTCAGCAGCTCCACGGGAGGTGATATTGACAGCAGCGCAAACACCCTAGCACCCGGTCTCGACAATACCAGAATCCACTGAACCATCACCTGCCTTCACGTAAAACGTGTCCCCCCTGCCAAAAGTCTAGATTCCACCGAGAAACAATCAGTCGGGACGGTCAGGCCCCTGTCCTCTTACAAAGAAACTTACGGCCCGCATGGGCGATGGAACCGGTTGTGGGATGTTGATGCGATGTGACCCGGCCGTCTGGTTGAGGCTGCCACGTTTTTTTGCTAACGATCACGCTACGAGGACGGGTGGAAGTCGTGGACGAACCTTAGAACGGGGGTGCGTTCATGCATGAGGCGATTCGTTCTGGAAGCGAGGGGAAACGGAGCCATCAGCCCGTCTTTCCTGCAAGGACTGAGTCGACGCGAGTTGACCGAGTTTTAAGTTGCGTAAGGGGGTTATGGTGAGACTGTAACAACCGAGATGGGATGGCGAGACTCTCGCGAGCAAGAAAGACGAGTTTGGGACGAGGGAATGGGTCTGACAAGGATGTCTGGCCATGTGGCTCTTGTGAGATCTATTGTTCTGCCCCTGATTGTGTACACGTAGGGTTGTCGGAACGTGCCATGTACCGTGGTACCTTATATGTACGGGCGTCAGACTAAGGATTTCATGCGTGGTGCATCGCAAGGTTTCAGAAGTGGCGAGATTTACATCCAGGCGTCTCAGCTCAGCCAGCGGCAGATTAAGCCACCATATCACTCGCATGAAAACCGACTACGATGCACTATTGCCACGTGGGAACAAGCCACACTAGCCACACTATGTCTTGATCCGGCCAGCAATCATCTCAAAGAACGAGGTGACTTTCGGCTGAGGAAGTCTGGGCGAGCGGGCTGAGGGATCCAGGGCTGTCCAGGGGGCTTGCTTGTCCGGACACTCCGAAGGCAAGGTCAGCCGGGGCAGTGGCCCAGAGAGGAAGATGTATGCAGACGAGGTGCCGAATTAGGTAATTGGAAAAAGCCACAGCACATGAATCTAGACTTTGGGCCATGGGGACTTCGTACTTGGGTTGGCAAAAGGCCAAAGGAGGGGCAGCCAGGGGGGGTGGTCAGGTGTGAGGGGATGGGAAAGGGGAGAGTTGGCACATGTGGGCAACTTAGACGAGGGCGGCCAGGGCCATGGCACGCATGGCTACTTTGTTTGGTGTGGGCAAAAACCATCCCCGGGTAGCCAAGTGGCCGCTGAGGGTTAGAGTTTCTTGGGCGCAGAAACTAACACTGGGTCGGAGCAAAGAGAGGAGGACGAATGTGGACAAAGCTTTACAAGTAGGCAGCGAGGGCGAAGGAACTGGGCTGGATGGAAGCAGGTGGAATGGGCCTGCAGAATGGCAGCACAAACCGATCTCCGGGGACTCAGGTAGCTGCAGCGAGCGGAAGCGATGCGTGAGAAATCATAGGCTGATTCAGTCTTGACCTCGGAGACTGTGCCCGGGGTTGTTGGATGAAAACAGCAAAGCAAGCGAATGAAGCCCGAGAGGCCAGGGGTCTGTTCGCCGATTTGGGGCTCGACAGATGAGACGACCCCCAAACAGGTGCATCTTAATTCCTTCCAAATGAGATTCACAGACGTCAGGGGACGCCGTGGTCGAGAACGTTCTGATGTGATGGACTGCACGAGCCAGGATCCATTTTGTGCGCGAGAGGTGACGGCGGATGAGGGCGCATTGATTGCGTTTTTGAGAGGGCGAGATCTCGGTGAGGTCGAAGTGTAACGAGTCGGAGGAAGTGGAGGAAGTGGAGGTCCAAGGTGGAGGAGGTTGGGCGACGGATGATGTTATTGATGAGGATGAGAGATGAGAGCGCACTCGTATGATGTTGAAATCCGTTTGATGGGTGATGGTGGTAATGATGATGTACCTGGTGGTGCAGGTGCTGAAGAGCAGAAAATCATTTCCCTTTCACCTCCTAGTCGACGCCAAGCCAGAAACCAACAGAAATCAAATCATCTACGGCGATCACCCAGAAACTCCAAACTCTGAAGCAAACAATTGTCCGTATTGCGCACTGTTCAGCTGCCCATGCAAACCTGAGTAGAGAAATCAGGGCCCGGTAATGAGGGGGTTTCCATGGCATTGGCCGCCCATAACGCCTGAAAGATCGAAAATCCCGCCTGAAAATCCCGCTCGAGTGACGGGGTGTCACAGTCATTCACTGAGTAATAGGTACAGTCCCTCCAAGTATGCATGAGTACCTTGCACCTACGACGAAAACAACTCAAAGCACTCGCTCAGGGCACTAAACTACCCAACTACTCGTAAGTGTCCACTAGTCACCTACGAGAACCTCATACTGCTAGGTCGTAGATTTATCGGCCTCCCCCGGCAGCCTCGAAGCCTGAGCCCACTAACCCACCCGGCCACTAGCTAGAAGCCACACCTAGCCCAGCCCTGGAAGGTCCCCCCAATCGCCCCCATCCCTCCCTCGCTCCACCCCTGGTCGATTTTCTCGAGGGCAGCAGGACTAGCCTAGGTGCCTAAGCTAATGAAGACAAGGGCCCAGGGTCCTCAGTGATGATCCCTGCTGAAGCCGCAGCTCCCACCCAATCACACTTCCGATCCCCATCGCCTTCTCCGTATCTTCTAGGGCGGAGTCTCAGTTAAGCTGATCCAGCACCCCAGCAATTATTTGCTGCATGGGCGTCTGCTAAGGTTTTCGGTTTCTCTTTTTGCGAGACGAAACCAAAAAAAAACAGGCGAGAATGGAAAAAAGCAAAGAGGAATGAATATGTAAAGCCACAACCTAAATTGTCCTGCGTGCCAAACTCCCGGAATCAGCTAGCGAAATGACCCTCCAGCGCCAACACCAGCACCAGCGCCAGCAGCATTACTACTACCACTACTACTACTACCACCACCACCACCACCACCAGCAACGGCAACGGCAGTACCAAGTTGCATTTCGATTCATACTTCCAACAAACCTCTCGCACCTAATTCGATTCGAATCTTCCATCAAACGTCTGGACCCGCGCCTTTTCTTTCTTTAATTGTCCACATGTCCGCTCCCCCCCACTACCACCATCGCTCACTCCACCACCGGCATAACCACCCCCAACTCCTATAGACAACACCTCGTCATATCTTGTTTCCTTAAAAAGGTGCCCTTCGTCGGCCTGTCCCGAGCTTCAAGTTTCCCTTTTGACCAAGCTGTTGCGCACTCAAGGTAAGTTCCATCTCATTTATCAAGAGTGAGGAAAGAGTGGAAGATGAAAAGAGTTACGGTGGGCTGGTCATGCGTGTCGTCATCGGTCGCAAAAGAGCCAGGACAAGAAGGCTGCGTCTGGAGGGAGGATGGGACGTGTGTATACAACCTGCGCCCCTCCCAGAACCCCGTGCGGTTTGCAGGCGACAGTCGTGGTCCTGCAAATCTCGGTCTACGCGAGTCTTGGTTTTCCATGTCGTGAACGTTTCATATACTGACTTCCCCGACCACACAGATCACTTCCACATTAGTCCACAGACTACCCTCCTACAATCAACACACAACCGTACTGTCGCTATACAACCCAATACCTGTCCTGACAACCACGAACACGAGTCCTGAACCTTCGAGAATCGGCATTCCCAGCCAGGCGCAACTCTGACCGACTCCGACTCTAGGCCATGTCCGCTGGACCAACGGTTCAAGCTGGCGAATAACTACCATTGTTCTCTTCTGCCCCGTGCGGCTCCAGGTCAATTCGAAGCCGCTGACCTCAGGTCTTTCACCGGCGTCTCCTACGCCGTGGCAAACCACGATCACCTGTCGTTACAGACATCGCGGTTATCTCCAGGCCCAGTCCCCGGGAAGACATTTTCCTCCGCGTACACCCTCCTGACCCCTCCCTATGCAAGCACAGATGTTACGGTTCACCATCAGTATTCCATGACCTCAGACTCGTCGACCAAATCGACCCCGTCCTCCCAGACCCTCCAGAACAGCCCTCGCTCCATGACGGAGCTCGAGGCTCCTCCACAACCCAAGTCGGACAACGTCCAATCAGCGAAACAGAAACGGGTGAGGACTGGGTGTTTGACGTGCCGCGAACGCCACCTCAAGTGCGATGAGGCCTTACCAAACTGTCAGAATTGCCTCAAATCCAATCGAAAATGCAAGCGCGGCGTGCGCCTAAACTTCATCGACATCCACTGCCAGCAGCCTCCGTATCTAGTCCCGCGTACGCGCGACTGGAAGGTCACTTTCCAAGATGACTCGCGCGACATTGCGTCTGAGTATCAAGGAGGCCTCGAGAAATATCACGCTCTTGAACCGGAGCCCAAGCGGCAAAAGTTGGACGTGTCGAGTGTGACCTACGACTACAGTCAGATTGCAGCTCAAACCATCTCTCACCAGCAGCTTTCAGCTCATCAATCCTTTTCTCATTCCTATCCCGAGACGGCACAGGCCATGTACTCCAACTCCACGGCACAAGCTTATGATGACACAGCGAATGCCATGGGAGCTTACACAGATGCAACTCAGGCAATGAGGCAGTCTTACCACCAACAGACCATGCTTACATCCATCGACCACGAACAAGGTTCCCCTCACCTGGAGGACCGGAACGAGGTTCTGTACATGCAAGTCTACGTGGAAGAAGTGGGCCTATGGATGGACTCGATGGACGCTGAGAAGCACTTCTCACGTCTCATTCCCTTCCAAGCACTGAAGGAACCCATGTTGAAGTATGCCTTGTTGGCTTGTGGGGTCCGACACCTCACGTTGGTCAACCCAATCTACCCAGAAGAGCATGCATTAAACTACTACAACAGTGCAACGCAGCTACTGCTGAAGGCACTACAGAATCCAGATCGAGATAGTGTGCTGTGCGCCACTACAGCCACCATTCTCAATGTCTACGAAGTGATGTCGGAGAAAGCTCTGCAGCGCATGAACCATATCGCCGGGGCCCGTGCCCTCATCAAGGAGTGTCGGTGGGACGCCACATCAACGGGCATCGGGGCGGCTTGTTTCTGGCTGAATGTCGGGCTGGAACTGTTTAGCTGCTTGCATTTCAACTGGGCCGTGGCGTGGGATCCCGACACTTGGGGTATTGACATTGCCATGACCCCTCAGCTTGGTCCCGGACACGAAGAAGATTGGGCACACAGGATGTTATGGATATTGTCCAAGATCACCAATTTCAGATCAGAGGCTCAGCGGCGGTACAACGACAGCAGCGTACATGCGGAACAGATGCGCTTGCACCAGCGAAACAAACAGTGGCTGGGCCTGAAGTTCTTCTGTGACCGCTGGCATGAGTGCGTGCCACCCACAATGCATGCCCTTGCATACGTTCCACCTCAGTTGACGGCATCCAAGAGTGCGTTCCCTGAAGTGTGGTTCATCAAGAGGGCAACCATCGTCGCGAGGTTATTCTATCATACGGCCATGGCGTTGCTTGGTTCAGTTCATCCTTTGGCCAGCATGCACCCACAAAAGGCAGAGGAGATGCAGGACATGAGGCTCCACCATTCACGACAAATCTGTGGCATTGTGGCCCATGTCAAGGACCGAGGGGTGGCATCAGCTTCTATTCGCTGTCTAGCCGTGGCCGGCGAGAACCTCACCATCCGGAGGGAACAGGAAGAGGTGCTGCAGATCTTCGACCGTATCAAAAAGGAAACAGGCTGGCGTGTCGACTCGATCCACGATGAACTGAGGGAGAAATGGGGCTGGACCAGTAATGCTCAAGACTATGATACCGTGAGCTCGGCCTCCACGTACTACGCACCCTCGAGACCTTCGGCCACTTCGGCCACGCCCAACGCAACACCCCCTCGTGCCAAATACCCCAGCGGCATTGTCAACCCATTGTACCAAAATGCCGATTTTTCAGCGCAGAATCCGCCGTACCAAGGAAATTATGTGCCTCCTGCTGCTGGGCATGTCATGCATAACAACACACAGATGTACGGTTATTCCGGTATTGCAGCCATTTGACCTTGCTGAGGTCTGTCGATGCAGGGTTTCGGGGCACCACAGTACCCAGCGAGAAGCGTTGTTATTTGATGCGTCACAAAAGAATCTCGGGCGTTGAGCGTCTGAATGTTTTATACCAGACAAACAGATAGAGTGGTGGAATCTCTCGATACTCGGACTGAACATCAAAGAGTTGGATCTAGGAGTTTGATGGTCGGACGACATAGATACGATCAGGATGGGCCAGAGGAGGGACCTTGGACAGAACCCACTGGTCCCTTGGGGGCACAAAACTTTGGATCTAATAACCGGCGTTCCTCTGGGCTGAGGAAAGAAGATGAGTCACTGACATGAAGCAGCTTAGTTAATACCTGGAAGCTGTAGGCGTGATTGGGAAGGTTGCATTGGTAGCGGTTCACAAATATCTTTAGGTGCGTGTGCTCAATGCGAATGGTCGCTGCCACTCGTAAAACGTATATATATCCGTCGGACGAAATGGCCACAAAACATTTAATATTGACCTAGCTATGGTATCTTGATGGAGCTGTTGACCTTTGCACGAACGGAGTACTGGAGCTTCACCCGTACCAGGTACGGGAACCGAGGATAAGCTACTCTGGCACCGGATAAACCCTCGGTGACCCTCCTGCTCTCCAAGCACAGGGCACCCACAGGGGACCTTGGAAGGATATTCCGAGTCCCGGACCATTGAATTCCGAGCCACCCCTGCACGGAATTCCCAAAATAGCTAGCGTCGATTCATCTCTGAGATTTGACCCCACACGCTTTTTGCCGCGAAGATTTGATCGGAGTAATTATTACGAGGTTCCTCGTATCTATCTGTTTCGAGGAGAAAGTCGTCCCAGAGAGATCTAATCAGTTAGTTGGCTACCTCCTGATCCGCCGAGTAGCATGCGTGAGTCGTGAGTCGTGAGTCGTGACCGCCGCCCTTCCGAAGCTGATTGATTGATTGATTCACAAGGCAGCAAATGCTGCTTTGTTTGTTTTGTGTTTGACCCAGGGACACTGTGTGTGTACTATAACTACCTACGCAGGTACATACCTATGCATGCCTATGTACCTACCTAGGTATCTCGATACCATCTTGGAGAAAGACCTTTTCGCAAACACATTTTACATTTCTGACATCTGCAGCCTCCCACATCTCAACGTGTCAATAGTGTGTGTGTTTTTTTAATCACGAAAGGTCTTTTTCTCTCGCTCTCTCACCTCGACAGACAGCTCGAGGATTCCATCCGGCTCTGCATATGGATGCTTGCGTTTCGTTTTCAGGTTCGATTTTACGAGCACCGTCGTGCGAAGAATGGAACTTAACGCTCTCGATCCTTCGTAGTGGTGGAGGTGGTGGCCTGGGAATCACGATGCATGGTTGCATGGCCGGTCGGCTAGCTAGGTAGCTAGCCAGGAAAGTCTGCAAAGATCATCAACCAAGTATGCAAGTATCTCAATGCCCTGAGTCGGTCGGTTGGTTCTGATATGGGAATTCTTCTTCATGTGGAAAGGAGACTCGGCTGGCGGCCTCGATCGCGGGTGGTATATTTGTCAGGGTCGACTTTGGGATCGATAGCCATGGCGCAGATCCGAGGAGTTGGCTATCGCTATGCATATGGTGGGAAATGTGCCATTCTTCCTGTCATTTAGTGCTTGGCTCTAGGGGATGCGCCGTCGAGCGAGACTCGGGAGGGCCAATACCACCTACCTTTCACAACGAATGCGCCTGGAACGGTGAACCTGTTCAAATGAACCCATACTGCCAGGACCACGCAGCATTTCTCCCGGCGACGCCTAGACTTTTGTCTGGTTGAAGACACCAAGAGCTTTGGATTTTGGGGACTGACCTCTTAGCAAGAAAGCAATGCCAAAGATGGCAAAACTCGATTCTTGGGGTAGCACAACAATTCAGTCCAAGTGCGTGTGTATTCAACCATGCTGATGAAAGAAAAGTGACGAAAGGGCGACGTGGGACCGGGGCGGAGGGACTTGAGATTGTGGTGGTGATCTACCGCAGAGTGCAAAGATAGGATGCCAACGCCGATCTCCAACCACATCATTCGGCATAATATCTTGGTCGCCGAATCACGGGGAAAAGTTGTGCTGGCCATATTTTCTGTCAAAAGACTACTCTTGATTCATGCGAACCTCCTTCAGTGAGGCATGTGCTTGAGCAAAGCTGCGCCATTCTGCTTGGGAGGAAGCGGCAGTGCCGCTAGGACACCGACAAAGATACCTGCTTTATCGGCAGACCCGAAAATTGGCGCAATCAATCGATCAACACTGGTATACGAATTCCTGTGTTTATCTCTTTGAATAGATTCGTCTCTGTCAACCGTCAAGGCTTCTGGCCAGATTGGTTCGAAGGGGATAGAAGTGTACATGAAAGACTTTCTCTGTCTCTCTCCTCCGAGTGCTTCACAGTCTTTAAAGGTCGCTGAGGGATGGTGCCCGGAGAATGACCGCATCTACGAGGACTTACCGACCTACCTAGCAATACTTGTAGATGCAAGCGAGCTGACGTTGTCCCTAGCTCAGACAAAGGCGCCTTGGCCTTCTCCACCACGACGTCTTTGTAAGGCTTCTTCATCTTTGGTTCCGAGGTTAAATACGAACATCCCGCTTAACCGCCTCCACTCTGCACCACGTGCTATTTGACACCGAATGAGGGGAATTATGCATATTTTGTACGTGTTTACGTCCTTTGATAAGCCTATCCCGACTCGTTCCAGGGATCTCGTTTGGTTAGAGTTTAGGCGCGCTGGTCGCCATTATCAACAGAAATGCGTGTGCCTCGGGGCCGCTCTCACAAAGACGGATTGGGCAGGAGAGAAGTAGCCCGAAGGAATAGTCCCAATTGGGGTTTGGGCGATACTGATATCTTTGAGACACAAGCGAACCTTCTCGTGCTTGGGCGATTTAAAGCATCAAGAACAGATACTCCTCAGCTCCCTCGTTAACTTTCTCATTTCGAAAAGACCTGTTTCCAACGTAAAGACTGACCCGGTACAACACTCGACATGGGGAAAAAGGTACTTTGTGGCTACGGTTTCGACGTGGATGCCGTCAGCGCCTGGATGATGCCTCGCGAGGGAGGCTGCTGCACGGATAGGACCAACATGTCTCGCGGTGTGTTTGGTGCCACGGTCGGCCTTGATCGTGTCTTGAAGCTCTTTGAAAAGTACAATATCAAGGCGACCTTTTTCACGCCGTGCCATACTCTCGAATCCTTTCCCGAGCAACTGGCCAAGGTCCGCGACGCTGGGCATGAAATGTAAGGATTTCCCAAGACACCTTGTCGTTTTACATCTCCAGGAAAGTCCTGACACGAAATAACAAAGTGGTATGCATGGTTACACCCATGAGTTTGTCTCGGATGTCTCCGAGGAACAAGAACGCGACATCCTGGCCAAATGCATCGATGTCATGACCAAGTTCACGGGCAAGAAACCCCGAGGATGGACGGCGCCAGCCTGGACGCCGTCGGCCAAGACGGTCGAGATCCTCGAGGAGGCTGGGATCCTCTACGACCATTCGCACATGCACCACGACTGTCAACCGTACTGGCTCCCGCACAAGAACAGCGTGACCGAGATCAACCTCAAGATGAAGGCCGAGCATTGGATGAAGCCCATGACGGCGCTTCAGCCGTCCAAGATCATCGAGATCCCCGCCAACTGGCATCTGGACGATTGGCCGCCCCTCAACGTGGGCCAGATTGTCGGGCAGGGCTTTGTTGATCCGGACGTCGTGCTGAAGCTGTGGAAGCGACAGTTTGACTTTTACTACCGTGAATACGACTCGTTCATCTTCCCCATCTCCTGCCATCCCCAAGTGACGGGCAAAGCACAGGTGATCCTGATGCAGGAGGAGCTGATTGAATACATCAACAGCCACGAGGGCGTGGAGTGGGTGACATTTGAGGAAATGGCAAGACAGTTCAGGGATGGCGAGCTCCCAGGGGTCACGGTGAATGGAGGCGTCGACTTGTGAAGCTGGACTTTGGGTGATCAATGCCGTCTGTCTACGTACGTATCTATTTGCCCACAAGATTCTTTCTTCGCATGTACATAACAGAGCCTTGAGACCCTCAGTAAAAGGGTATTTGGCCAGGGTGTGTCACGTGTTGGCACAGAGACTCAAACTTGGCCTCATCTCCGTTCATTCTCTTGTTCTTCATCCTCGCCACAACATCAGCTGCGATTATGCTTCCCAAGACTCACGACACTTTCCTCGAATTCCCGCGTCACGCGTGCCTCTATCACCATGGCTAGGGTTTTTCGCATGTCAAAGCCTTGAAACACTCGCACGCCGAGCCGGCGACTCCCCGGGAGGAGAATCGACAATCTCAACCACGAACTCGGATCTCTCTCCCACCCTGATACCTCGTGCGACGAGATGAAGCCTCCTGTTATCTCACAAGGCTCCTTCCAGCCGCTGTCCGCCAATCTAGTGCAACGGGCACAGATTTCGAGCCCAGATACGAGTAAAATGCAGATGCAGTGCAGATACGAGATGGGTGCTCAAACAAGCAAGCGAGAAGATAGTCGTCTGTCCCGAGGGCCAACACCACTATTCTCCTCATTCCTTCCTACTGGTCCGACAAATTAAGCTAATCAAGCCCATTTAAGCTAAACCTGCAGGGCTTGGGTTTCCCGACAGGCTCGGCTTCCCCCATACCAAGAAGTGGAACCCGGACAAAGAAACGCGGCTGGGGGTTGGAGGTGCTTTCACCGCGTGTCTCTTTCTCATATGCAGGATTTCCCTTTCAAGGATTCCATTGATAATCGCCCGCTCATTCGCAGAGAGCAAACCGATCAGGAAGGAGAGATAAGACTGGCCCTTTCCGGGTTCCCGATCAGACAGAAAACAAAACCGCCCTTGGCGAAATGGCCGCTTGTGGCAAGAGAGGCTCCCTGGGTCCCCGTTCCCTTTGGTCGATTCGATAGATTAGGTATACATCTGAGTGGCCGGCCATGGCAGGCGAATGTGAAATTCCCAGAGAAAATCGCCTCCCGGATCACGGCTCGTCGGTTCTATACGCATAACGCTTAACGTCTCTACCTCGACCGTCCTATCCCAGGCTCAATCTGGTTTCCTGGCCAGTCTCTATGCTTTTCTGCTAGACCTAGTCCGGGGTTCACGCCACGCAGGGACACTAGAATATCTGTCCCTGGCTTACCGGGTCCGCCTCGGACGTTAAGGGGACCCAGGTTGCTGGACGAAGGATCAACGTGAGCCATGTAGAGTGACTTGAACATAAAGCAGGGACTTCGCTGCACGATCGTCGCCGTCTGTTGGTCTTTCTTCCTCCATCTTCACTCAGCTGCAGAACTTCCCGACATCACAATCTCGCCACTTCTCCATAAACACCATGGCCTACGGTCTGGGTATTCCCAGGCTCAGGCTTAACAGCCCATACTGGTGAGTCCCCCCTGGTATCATATCACGTATTCAACGCTTGGTTCTGACGGACGCGCAGGCAAAACTTTATCGGCGGCATCCTCATCGGCCTGACTGGAGGGCTTTATGCCGCTCTCAACCTCCTGGGTGCCGGAGGTGGTAAACCCAACTCGTTCGAGGTCGTCCAAATCGCCAATGCCACTCTCTGCGCCGTCTACGCCGTCTCAGCCTGGTTCGGGGGGACTATTCTGAATACGATCGGCCCTGCCTTGACTGCCTTTGTACGTCGGCCATGATGGTTCGGTCGTCGAAAGAAGGACATGCTAATTGAACCTATATAGTTCGGTGTTATCGGATACATCCTCTACGTCGGGAGTCTGTGGTACTTTGACCAGCACGGCAAAGAGACTTTCCCCATTATCGCCGCTGTCTGCGTAAGTCTGCCTCTTACACTGGTGTTTGCTTTATGGGCACAATTGCTCGGCGCACCGTCTTGACCGGATTAAGCTAACAGGTATTCGCAGATTGGTGTAAGAAAACGAAACGAGGTGTTCGCGACTGTGGATCTTGCTAAGCGTTGCTCCAGATCTCTGCCGGTTTGATCTACGTGACGTCCGGATACCTGTCCATGTCGTATTCCGAGGAGAACGAACGTGGAAAGTTCGTGGCGATATCTATCAACCTCCAGGCCCTCGGCGCTGCAATTGGCGGGCTGATCCCTCTCATCATCAATCACAACAAGGTACTCACGACCGTGTCCCACCTTCGTTTGCTCTCACGATACTGACACGAGACTAGGCTACCAGTGACGGTGTCCCCCCAGCGGTCTACATCGTATTCATCGTCATGGACTTTGTCGGCTGCGCGTTGGCGTTTCTGTTGCGACCTCCGGAGAAGGTGGTGCGAGACGACGGGACCAACATTGCCGTGGTCAAAGCCCGGCCCTTCTGGGACGAATTCAAGGGCAATCTCGAAGCTTTCAAGGATTGGCGAATGCTCGTCATGGTACGTTGCGCGCGAGGTACTCTGTGAATGACGACTGATCTAGTGCAGATCCCTGCGTTTGCCGTCAGCGAATGCTTCCTCGTCTACGGCGGCAGTGCCAATGCCTTCCGCAACAGCCTCCGCGCCCGCAGTCTGCTGGGATTCTGCTCTGTGACGCTGCAGATCATCTGCGGTTGGCTGTTGACGTTGCTTCTTGACAACGAAAAGCGTAAGTGGAGCTCAATCCGTTCACCACCAGCCTTGTACCAGAAAACACCTGCTCCGCGCTTTTCCTTCTATTATCTGGTTGACTACTAACCGGTCTGAATCTTAAGTTCGTCGACGAACCCGAGCCCAGATTGGCCTTGCCATTACTGGCGTCCCCGTGATTGGCGCCTACATCTGGGAGATGGTGCGCACGCGCAACTACGACAGGAACAACCCACCGTCGCCACCCCTGGACTGGAACGACCCCGACTTTGGGGCCATCTTCGTACTGTTCATGCTGAACTGGGTGTCGTGCTCGCTGTTCCAATACATGATCCTCTACTTTTTGGGCTGTTTCACCAACAATCCCCGCGCGGCTGCCAACAACGCTGTGAGTGTCTCTCCCTCCCTCTGTCAAAGGTATCAAAGAGGTCCCCCAAACTAACACCGCTATGACTTAGGGTGTCTTCCGAGGATTCATGGCCGCCGGAGAAGCCATCGACTTTGGTGTCGACAGCATGGGCGTGCCGTTCTTGAAAGAATCTGGTGCTCTGTTTGCGTTCTACACCGCCGGCGTTATCGCGATGGGATACCTGGCGCTCTACCACATCGACGAGACAAAGTACTTTACCGAGGACGAGGTGACGATCCCCAAGCACGTCCTAGAGGAGCACGACCACACCATTGTGATAGATGGCGTGTCCAAGGGCAATTCACAGACGGACGAGGAGGCCACTGCCGGCGCCACCACGGGCAAGGAGGCCATTGGTGTGGCTGAGGAGGTCAAGGAGTGATTACAGGGGGAAGAGGAGAGCTGTGGAGGTGGAGGAGGAGGAGGTGGTGGTCCGTCATGGCAATAGACTCATGCATATACGTACACATAGATACATTTTGCAGATGCGTGCCATGCATGCATGCATGCACTGGCTAGTCTGGCACGGGACAAGGGATGGATCTGACTCTCTGGGCAAGAGGGTCAAGCCAGGGTCGAGGGTGGATCTGTGTGAGCTTGTTTGATGAGTGGGCAGATTACAGGTAGTCAGTTACTTCGTTCGACAGTCAGTCTTTTCTGGTATTTGTACGAGGTACCTAATCCAGGTGTTGACCTGCCCACTGCATTGTGTTCTGGACCGTCCGTCCGTCCTGTGGCCCCCTTTTTGCCTGGGTAACCTCGCAGCCTCGCAGCCTCGCTTGCCCTGTCGAGTCTGTCCAGCTGTCTTCGTTGTTGTTCGAGCAGACCGGCTCACAAGGGGTGGGTATCCGTGCCTCGCCTGTGCTTCTACCAGCCTCCTCTCTGATCAGGTGGCCCGATAACCCAGTACCTCAGCGGTGGAGAAGCGGGAAGAGACGAGTGTGGGTGCCTTTGATAGGATCCATCATCTCCAGCTATCCCTGTTCCGCTTCCTCTTCCTCTTCCTCTGCCTCTGTCTTGATCTTGATCTTTACAGCCATGTCGTCCTCGTCCTTGTCCTTGTCCTCGTCCATGCCCATGTCCGTTTCCTCTCGTTTTACCACTACCTCCCACTGCTTGTCCTCGTCGTCCTCCTCCTCCTTCTTGACCTCGATCTTGACCTCTTCCTTCTCGATCTGCTTCTCGACCTTCTCCTCCCATTCTTCCTGCTTAATCTCTCGCTTCAGACCATCCACGTCGCCGACGTCGCTCCCGGCGTGGTTCTCCACAGACCAAGTATCTGGCTCTGCACCTGGCTCGTCACCGAGAGTGTGATTGCGATTGCGGGCATTCGAGGACCAGAACATATCCCCAAAATTGCCTAACGATGGAGAAATACATGGTTTAGTAAAGGGGTATTTAAACCCAGCGGGAGATAGACAGTGTCCCTGTTTTCCGAGTCGCCAGATGCTGGATGATGGGATGCCGGAGTGTTCTGAAATACACACCGTTCTCGGCGATCATGGCCATGTAGCCCGCTCCTTGTCTTCGGTTTGGGACCCAAGGATTGAAGCCCATCTTGCTGGCGGGAATGGGGATAAAGGGGACAAAAAATGGGACAAAGAAAGATGCAAGGTTGCAAAGGTTGGGAGGGTTACAAGAAAGGGGCGCAAGGTTTGTTTGTCACGGCCATCATTGTGGCAGAAGAAGAAGAAGAAGAAGGGGCTTTGCGTATCTCAGTACCGTTCGTTGTGGTGTATGTGCCACGTAGATCCGCACAGGTTTCTCTAAGAGAAGCCGTGGTCTGTATGGTTGTGTAGAGAATGCACCAACCAAGAAGTGAGATTTTCATTCATTACAGAGGTAAACGCCCATCAGACCAGACAATACCAGGACCAGACGGGGATCAGACCAGGACAATAGACCGCCGGTGAGGGCGCGGGTGCGGGCGCGGTCTCTCTTGTCGAGACTGTCGTCTCCCGACGAATACTTCTTACAGAAATCACGATGCTGGACGGGACGGGACGGGACGGGACGGGACGTGTGAATGGGCATGACTACTCTAGTAGGGACAACATAATTGCAGGTATGGGTACAGGACCAGCTACAGGACCAGCTACAGATACATGTTGCAGGATACATGTAGCCAGGGAAGTAAGTAGCCTTGCTGAATGCCGAACCGAACGATGATCGACGAGCCACGAGCGATATACACACACGAGGCCGCGTTCACGTATGGTTCTTGCAAGGCTACAGCTACACATATATCCAGTGTAGAGCTCCACCGCGAGAATGCACCCCTATTACCGCCGGTATGTACGTTGTCTCCATTCTACTTCGAGGTACTAAACGTCCGTCGAGGGAACGTCGTACACAGTGGAAAGAGCCTGCCTGTTTGCCTGTTGGGGTCTCGCTAGGCGGGACCAGGTATGGGAGACGGGGTGGACCGAGAGTCAGTCAGAGAGACAACGACAACGACAACGACAACGACAACGACCATGAACATGAACATAGAATGTCCGCCTGTTTCAAGGGTAAAGGCGAAACCATGAACAGAGAATCACAGGTAAAAGGAACAGGGGGCGTGTCTACTGTCCACGACAAACGACAAATGGTCCAAACAGTCCAAATGTCAAGAAAAGGTAATTATATAACCGGAGAAATGCAGTGGGGTTAGCCGTGGACAGGTGCACGGTGCTGCATGGTGAGCCCTGCCTTGAAGAGAAGGGACAGTATGGATATAGGATGCGTTGATGAAAATCCAAAGCACTGAGCCGTGGCGTTCTTTCCAGTTCCAATTCGTCATGCAGTCAGTCTTCCACTGGCTGCAACGTGCAGTTGGGCCCTAGTAGAAAGTCTCGGTCTAGACCGATGGCGTTGGGGGGGGGAGGCAGAGAGACAAATTTTTCTAACGATACTGGTGGTCATCTAGATTACAATCGGCATAGTCAAAACTATCTCCACTCGCAAAGGTGGTTAGGAGCCCGCTAAGAAAGTCGTCGGAGCTCTCGTCCATGCCCGGGTCGCCGCCGAGTAGGAGAGTCTCGTCGAAGAGGTTCAACGCGGTGGTGGGCTCGACGGCACTGGGTAGGAGCTCCGGGGGTCCAACGTCGCCACCTGCATCCGTCATGTTCCGGTCGTCGCTGTCGACGGCCACGACCTTGTTGGCCGCGTCGATGAGGCGGCGGAGGCGCTGGAGGGTGCGGCGCGCCAGGGCAAACCCCTCGGAGATGTCGGTGAGGATGGCGAGGGCGATCTTGAACGACTCGGTCGCGGCGGCGCGGATGTGGACCGCGATGGTCTTGTTGATGATCAGGCAGATCAGCGGGACGATGGCCACGGTCAGATACACCACCGACGAGTACCGCTCGACGCCGCGGCGCCAGGGCGATTTGTGGTAGCCGTGGATGGCTTGGACGGAGCTGGCGGCCAGGGACAGCGACGTCTCGGCGACCTTCTGGCTGTATTGGAGACTGATCAACTCTTCCTGCCGTATGAGGATTCGCAAGTGATTGATGAACTAGGTACATCAGCATCAGATCGAGGTCAGGGGCTGCACAGACTATGTGATCGGGGTATGTGAAGCTATTTCTCACCAGATGGAGCACAATTCGCTGGCGCAAAAGGTACAGAGGATGGCGATCCGTGTCCCAAGAGGCCAGCACGTCAGGATTCCACTGCAGTCCGACCGGCAAGTGGGTGCTCAACGAGATGATCCGGGCGTCGGTCGTCGCAATAAAGTCCTGACTGACGGGCCGCGGTGCCTTTTTGGAAAACATATTGTCCCAAATCTCCGAAGAGAGCTTCCCCCACTCGATCATGTTGCGGAGGTACGGGATGGGCGAGCACTCGGAGTTCTCTGCCGGTGCTGGGCAGCTGGGGCTGAATTCGCGGTCGTCCAGACATCGCGGCAGGTCGACGACAACGTCGACGTCCTTGATCAGGTACGGCACCCCGCTCATTAACGAGACGCTTCGGTCGAGATAGAACAGAGACCAGAAGATCCGCCGGCGCATGGTGACGTCGAAGGTGGTGCGGTTATGCCACGTGTTCTGGTCATGCAGGTTGATCTGATAGCACAGTCGCACGGCGGTGCCGATGGTGTCGTACGCCGCGTTCAGCTTCTCGGCGTGTTGTAGATACGTACACTTGATCAGCAGGATCTGGATGGTCGCCAGGTTGCCGCGTCCTAGCCAGGTGACGTGTTGTAGGAGATAGTCTGCTCGAAGGAACTCTTGCCAGCCTGGAGGTGTCTCTTCGGTCGAGGCGCAATGTTCGTGGAGAATCTTGACTTCGGCGACGATGAGGTTGACCAGGGCCACAAACTGGAGCGTGTCCATGTTGTTGTGCCAGGTTGTGTCGCGATTGAGGTAAAACTCCATTTGCGCCAGAAACTGCGCTTCGTTGAGGCAGAGACATGTCAAATGCAATTATCAGCCTGCCCTGTCTCTTTGTATCTAACAGTAACCTTGCTCACAATGTGGATTCTGGCTGGAGAAAAAGATCTTGCACACTTGCAGCATGAGCTCCAAGCCTTGAGGCTTTCGTCGTGGATCCCACCGTTGAATGTGAGCTTTACAACAATCTGGAAAGCTCCCCGTGTCAGAAAAGGTACACCGTGCGAGTGCTGTTGCCATGGATCGAGGCGGTGTCTGTTGCGGCTCGTCCGCGAGAATGCGGTTCAGGGCGGCGATGTCTTCCAAAGAGCTCGAGCCGCCTCGACAAGAATCTTCGGTAACGGACGTGGCAAGGCTGTCTGGGTATGGCGTATCTTCGGATTCAGGGGGCAAGTCGACCCCAAACGAATGTCTGCTGGCGACGAGGTTGACTCTGTCTGGTTTGGGTGTCATATCCGACTCGGGGCTCTCCAACTCTGTGGCTCTTCGTTCGAGCATGGCGACACGATCCATGATGGCAGCAATCTCGGCCCTTATGGTTTCAGGGGACTGGTCTTCATGTGTGCCTGTTTGGGTCGTAGTCATGGTGGCCGGTTGTCCATTGGCAGGGTCATCAACCACGACCGGCGAGCGGACAGTAGCAGCGACAGCGGCAGCAGCGGCAGCATCAGGCCTGTGACGGCGAATAACTCGTCGCTTCCTGGTATCAGAATAGATAAATTCGACATTGGCGGCGTGGCAATGATGGCAAGGCTGTTCTTCACTACACTGATCAGGTCAGGTCAGGTGCACGTTGCACGTCGCAGTGCGATTTGATAGTAGATACCTTGACTTTGCGCCTAGAACAGTCGAGACTATACCGCGATGAGAACGTGGCTTGCAGATATACTTGGGCCCCTGGAGACTCTCCACGCACGCGAGACGTATTTTCGTCGTCGCGGAACTGTTGGATCTTGCCAATTGGTGGGTGAAGGGATGCTCTGGAAGGACTCCATATCTTGGTCACATTGAGAGGACGAGATAGAGCGATAATGCAGATACTGCCAAAGGGTTTCAAGAAGCGATCCGCAAAAGAGATGGGATCAGGATTGAGGATGAGGGATTCGGGGATGCGGGTTGAAGTCAGTCCCACAATCGCAGCCTCGTCGACCTCGGAATCATCGACGGGCTTTCGGGAATCGGGATGGACGAGGCTGCCCGACCGCCTTGTGGACTTGTCCTTCAGCTCACCAGCTACCAGCTCCCACTGTCTCGGAAACAAAGATTCCCCCGGGACTGCCGAAGAAGTCTTCTGTGTCGTGTACGGGTCTTGATTTTGTCAAAATGACCTTGGACAAAGAAAGACTCCAGTACCCGATACAAGACTTGGAAAAGGAGCCCTGACGATACCCTATGCAATCCATCCCTGATTTTGACTCCTTACCTCCCGTCCCAGGCCAGCCTCAAGGTAACGCCTGGGGTCTGTGGGGAGAAGACGACCAACTTGGAAGTATGTACAGTGCCTGTCTCCGTCTGGTATCCCTCGCTTCCACCCCTTTTCCGTCCCAGAGTCGAGATACTAAACAGTGAGGCGAACCCCAGCACTTAATCTACTCACGCCAGAGACCATCCTCGCAGCCAAACAAGAGATCCAGCTCGGAAAAAGCGTGTCGCTCGACTTGGCCCTGGACCACTTCCCGCCTCTTGCCGGACGCCAACAGCCCGAACACGAGGTGATATCTCTCAAACAGGGCGGGAGATACGACAAGTACGGGTTCGACGACGCCCTCCGGTTCAACACCCAGGCGAGTTCTCAGTGGGATGGACTGCGGCACATTGCGCTGCAGGAGAGCGCGCTGTACTACAACGGCGTGAGCCACGACGACATTGCAGCTGGACGGCACGACAGGAATGGCATCCACAGTAAGTCCTCCCGTTCTCGTTGCTACGCACAGAAAGTTCATCGCAACATCCTGGCGTCAACAGGCATCCATCCTCGATATGGCGGCGGATGACATGCTTACTGTCTTCTCACAGAATGGGTCGAGCGTGGCGGCATCGTCGGTCGCGCGGTCCTTCTAGACTATGCTCGCTGGCGACAGGAGACCGGGCAGCCCTGCGCACCACCCAGCACCTCCTTCGCCGTGACGGTGGCCGAGCTGGGCGCCGTGGCCGCGTACCAGAACGTGCAATTCCACACCGGCGACATTCTGATCATCCGCTTCGGCTTCATCGAGTGGCACGACCAGGCGACCCCCGAAGAGCGAGCCGCCACCTTCTTCGCCGGCACGTACATCGGCCTGGAGAGGTCCATGGAGACGGTGCGGTGGCTTTGGAACCACCATTTCGCCGCGCTGGCGGGGGACACGGTCGGGTTCGAATGCTGTCCGAGCCAGTGGAAGAAAGTGCCCGGTGTCCAGGGTAGCGTCAACCTGCACGAATGGATTCTCGCGCACTGGGGCTGTCCCCTGGGTGAGCTGTGGAACTTGGAACAGCTCGCCACTGTGTGTAACGGTGCGAAGAAATGGACTTTCTTCTTCACCAGTGCCCCGCTGTACGTGGTCGGAGGCGTGGCGTCGCCGCCCAATGCCATTGCAATACTGTGAATCGACCTCTTCGAAGAATCGGGTCTGCTGTACCGAGTATAGGAGGAAATGATATTGTCTGTCCCGCAGCGAGTTTGCTGGCTTTTCTACTCAAGGTACTTACCGCTTACCGGGGGGGATGGTATAGTGGTAGAATCTCAGTTTGCCATAGACACTCACATAGCCGAACATGGGGTCTTGGACCCTGTCCGTCGCCGTAGGTAGTTGCTAGATACCTAGTCCCCGTTAATCACATGGCAACATGTCGAGCTCAACTCCCAGCGTCGTTTGGCCATGCAAGATGCCCACATGCCACCTCCTAGTCCCAAGGACATGCTTCGTTTCAACGGCGACACACTGGTCCAATGTCCAGTTTCCCTCCATCATTATCAATTGGAGAACAATGTCCAAATCGAGAGTGTTTTTGAAGCTGATAGTGTCATGGCCCCTGTCCCACTTGTCACTCCACATCCTTGACCTGCTCTAGTTCGAGCGCGAGATGCCCTGCAGACTTGAACCCGCGAGTCCAGCATTTTTCAATAACGCTCCCCAGCCAGACATCATCTGTTGGAGGGAGGCTGTCCCGCGACGGCCAAGCCACGTCGCCGTTGTCGTCTTCCAGGTGGAATTGACAGGTCCGGCCCGTCCGGCCTGTCACGATCAGGAACATGACGGCGCCGAGCTGTCCGATGTCGCTGAGGATCGAGTAGCCGAGCGCGTCGGGGCCCTCGAGATCCCACTCAAGCGGCATCAGCGTCGATTCCGAAAAGTCGACCATCTTGACGTCCCAGTCGGCGTCGAGAACGATGTTGGACGGACGGACATCGCCCACGATCACGCGCCGAGAGTGGATAGTGGATGTGCGCGAGCGTGCCGGCCAGTCGCCTCAGCCACGCCAGCTGTGTTTTGCGGCCTGGTCTGTTCTGGGCCAGATGGCGGTGGAGGTCCTCTCCCATGAGCGGCATTTGGAGGGCAGCCGGCGTCGACGAGACGTTGTAGCAGGGCGTGACCCCTTCGTGCGGGCCGATTCTGCGATAAATGTCCTTTTCGTTTTGCAGGGCTCGAATCAACACGCCACGGTAGTCGAAATCGCCTTCTTGGGGGGGTCTGCTTTGGTCTATCGACACGGCGGTGTCTCCGACCTGTGTGATTCTCGACAGACGGGGGATCTTGATGGCGTATTCCCCTCGCTGGAGCACAATGTTGGTGCCGCCAATCCCTATGACTTTGTCGGTCACGGTGGTGCCGTCTAGATGGACGAATTCAGCACGTGCAATCGACTCCATGGGCCGGAGTTTGAGGAAGCAATAATGATGGGCTGTGTGTGTCTCACTCTCTCTGTCTAACAAAGTGATGCGGACAGCCTGAAGGACAGACTTTCAAGGAGCGACGTAGACACGAAAGGGTGAAGATGATTTGATAGCAAAAAGGCATTGAAAAGGCAATAGAATATCTATTTGGGATGCTTGTGTGCATGGTCCGTGGCACGCCAAGTTGGGGCTGAAATGCTGTGTAACATGAAGCCTAACCAGGATGTGAGGTGGAGGCAAGTGACCCAGGAGGAAAGAGTCTAGTGTGAGTGCGCGAAGACAGGCTTTTCAAGAGAGAAAGCACTGTTTGGGGCATTCATGATCAACATGTGTATACTCGGTACTACATACACTCAGGGTCGCAATGAAATGGATACTGGTAAAGTAGCCCTGTGGGAGGTCGCTCCCAAGTGCCTCCTCTGCGACGATATGGCCCGATGCTGAGGATTTGGTGGGAGGAGTCCAGTTGTCCTGCTCACGGGCACGGACCCCGTCGGCTTTGTCGTCTTCCATGGCGTCAGATCCGGGAAGCTTGTCTCTGTGATGGCGAAGAAGATGGAGATATTCTCCCACGAATGGTTGTGATCCGACATGAGACAAGAACGAGTATATAGCAGATGGACATCCTGCAAGGCTGGAACCCCGGACCCCAGACCCCGGATAAATCCAACGGAATTTCAACGAGTTCAAAGGTTCGGGATTCGGGTTTACATCGAGAGGAGGGACAAACAAGTCCAGCCATATCTTTAGTGCGAACAGGAAGTCCCAGGAAGTCCATTGAAACAATAGTACGGAATCAAGGGAGGTCGGTCAGTGGTGATCGACCAGTCACGGAATTCTGTATACAGCTCTCAGTCCCGGGTTCCATTCACTCTTCACCCACGGAGGGTATTGCCTGAGACTTTCTTGACTTGTCTTGGATGTCACTCAAGCTCGTAGACCACGGAACCTTCCTTCTGAGGTCTCTCATGGCACCAAAACACCACGGCAGACTCTTCACCCACATTCTTCAAAGCGTGGACAGCTCCGCCCGGCACCCAGAGGGCGTCGAGTCGTTTGAGCGTCGACGAGGGGCCGTGGTGGCCCTTGGCTTCGACAGAGACGCTACCCTGCAGGAAGACGTAGCACTGCGCCGCACCGGGGAGGCTGTGTCTCACCTGTCCGCTCCCGGACAGGATCACTTCGACTCCCAGCGCCACCTTTTCGCTCACGATGGCGTGGTCCCGGTCGTGGTTGATGAAGCCCTCCTTGCCGCCGACGAAGTTGATGACCCAGCGCAGAAAGGGGGACTGCTTGGCCTTGGGGGCCTCCCACGAGGGATGCATGTCGTTGAAGCGGAGCACGTCGATGCCCCCGACCTCGGGCACCGTCTCCGGGTCCCAGTAGTAGATGGACGTGCCTTTGATCTCGACCCCGTCGTGGATCCAGATCAGTTCGACGTCCTCGAGCGTCGTGGCCCGCACGGCGTGCGGCACGCCCACGGGGATGTAGGTCAGATCCATCGGCCCTGCCCGGTGGATGTGGCCCAGCCCGTCGTACCCTTCCAGCTCGCCGCGGAGGACGAGGTAGATCTCGACGATGCTGTGCGTGTGCAGGCCCTTTTGGCGATTGCCGGCCAGCAACTTCATGTACCCGACGCAGATGTTCTCGCTGATCAACGACTGGCCCAGACTCGGGTTCACGTACCCCTTGGGCCCGCCGACCCAGCTGATCAGCCAGCGCAGAAAGCCTCCCTCCGTGGCCCCCGGGGTCGTCCACTTGGGCTCGAGCCCGTCAAACGGGATGATCGTAGGCCCATCAGATCCGAGTTTCTTGGAAATCCCGTTGGTCGCCATTGCTTTCTCCGGGAGATGGTTGTAATCCCGTCGTATCTTTTGTCCAGAACCGCTTTTTGGTACTATACCTCACTCGGCCGGGTTGAGGAGGTGTCAAGATGTCTTTCCTTTTGGGGGTGAATATATCCTGGACCAAATTTTCCCGAAGTAGACAATGAGAAGCAAAACGGGGAAATTTTCCAGATGGTCTTCTCTTGGGTCCGATGAATCTTTTTGAATGGCTGTATGGTCTTTCCGAGCGGGCCAATGTCCATCCTCTTCGGACCTATGGCGGAATTCGGGCTCGTGTCGAAAGAAACTGTCAACTTTCTTCACCCAGTTCATGTGGATAATGCGTTCTGTCTGGGCACTTTCCGATCTCCTTGCTTAGTTTTCACGATGAGATTTTGGTATTGTTGACCGGGACACGTATATTTGCAGCTATTTCCTGGTACCTCGGCGATATAGACCAAGGTATGCTATGTATGTAGACACAACCCTTTTTTTAAGCTGCACTAGAGCATGATAGAATCTCCAATTTGGGGGTTGACCGTGTTGCCGTGTTGCCTTGTCCAAACGTTTCCTCGCTACTCATTCTCCAAGCGAACAGCTCGGTCATTGGATTTCTTCTTCTGTTCTACGTTCCTGGTGCACAGCGATGCGATGATTGCCGCACCCCCAAAGGCGATGGCTACCTTGTATGTCAAGCTGAATGCGTCCACATACGCATATTTGACGGCCAGCTGGCAAGCAGATATGATATTGGCGGTGATGCCGGGAACGGCTTCGTAAGCGGCCTCGGTGTTCTTGATAGCAGCTGCAAGGAGAGCGGATGTAGAGCCTTGGAACCCGGTCGAGGCTGCAACATCGGCAATGTGACCTGGGATTTCCTCTGAGAACTTGTTGGTGTAGATGGCCACATATATTGCACTGGCGACCGCGCCGCCGAGGAGGCGAGAGGTGCTCACGAGCCCAACTGCAACTCCGCTGTTATATAGTGTCAGCTTGGGGACGTGAAACAGAAGGAGCACAACTAAACCTACATGTCGGTTTGATGTTCGATACCAAGTGACACCATGCCAAAGGCTATCTGGTTCACGCTGGATGCCGCAGCACCGGCAATGAGAAGGAATGCAATCGCTTTGCCTTTCTCATGGATCTTCAAGCTGGAGAAGCCGCCGATAAACGCAGTCTGGAGGCAAGCAAGACCGATAAGTTGCCATTGTTCGTGACCAACCCAGGGCATCACGGCCATGCAGTAAATCGCGGCAACCATGACAGCAAAAGCCGACATGTTCGCATAAAGAACCCGAAGGATAAGGTCATCGGCCGGGACAAAGAGAAGTGTCGAGATCCGGGGCCAGAGACTGCACGAGTCTCAGCACAATCACAATTCGCATTTGGGAGGGGGTACTTACACAGCTTTGCTATAGATAGCATACCACCCACAAACACGACTGCAAGAACGGCAGTGAAGCTAGTTCCATAGTTACCATCTCAGCACATTTTAGTTCGGAGGGAGATTACTAACCTGCGCCATTGTCGAAATAGTTTCGGGGGCAATATGGGATACTTCAGGTCGGCATACACTTCCCAAAATCCGAGGGCGATGAGTGATGCTCCTCCGATCACAATGGGCGCGATACACGCGGCACTCTTCCATGGGTGCAAAGAGCCACCCTGTACTGGGAATTAGTATACAACGCGGTTTCTCATGGATGGATACGTACCCAGTTGATTCCCATGAGGATGATGGCACATCCGGCGGAGAACAAGACAAGGCCGACATAATCCAGCTCGGTCAGTAACTGGAACTTTGTCTTATGGTCGACCTGATGTTTCGTCTCAAAGGAAGGTGGGTGATAAAAGAGAAAGAGGAGGATGGCCGAAGAAACTTCCCAGGAAAAGCACCACCAGTAACAGGCGCGCCATCCAATGGAAGAATGCGCAACGAAAGCGTACGCGATGAGCGCACTGAACTGCGCTGGCATGTTGGAGACCTCCAAACAACCTAGGACTCTGTCAGACACAGTGGGCGATCAGGAACTAGATATAGGCACCCAGAAGGAAGAAGCGCTGACGATTGGGGACCAGCTCCTGCACCGCCGAGAAACACATCTCCTGGAAACCTCCTCCGATGCCAAAGAGGATACCGCTGGCGATCATGGTCGGGATGTTTTTGGCCGTGGCACCTACAATGGCACCAATAACGCCGATGCAAGCTCCTGTTATCAGAAACCATCGTCGGCCAAAGATGTCGGCAATGCGCCCACTCGTCGTGACGAGCACGGCAGCACAGAGGTTCCACCTAAGAGCGCAAGTCAACTTCCACAGACAGACCGAGACAGCATGGGTTCTTTGACATACGAGACTGTGATCCAGATGTAGTTTGAATCAGGGCCGAGGTCTGCATTGATGAAGGCAAGGATCGCCGGCGGCATGCTCAACGTGAAAAGATATGAATTGTATTGGAACATCAGTGTCTGTGGTTTTCTGCATTAGCCTTCCCATCTCACATCTCAGGCGCCATTTTCATTCCCCTCACAAGGATTGCCGCGTAAGTCTGCCACGAAAGCGGTTCCGGCTTTGTGTGGGTGGTGGTGTTGAGCTCGACATCTTCTACAGTGGAAGACTTCACCACATCCGAGACTTCGGTTTTCTCAGTTTCAAGAGCTGTAGATTCCATGTGAGCGACTTTGTTATTCTGGCTCAGGCCGAATGCCATTGTTGTTAACCAGTCTGGAGCAGCTGCGGGTAGGTAGCAATTGTAGGCAAACGAGAGCCTGTTGAACGATAGTCCCAGATCACAGCTTTTATCCCTAGCTGAAGGTTTGATGGGCCACGGACAGACGAAGGCTGTCGTATGTTTTGCAAAGGCACTGTCCCGAATTTATTGCCGAATCCCGAGCCCATGTTCCGTACCAAGCCCAGAATTGTTGCGTGCTCCCAGAACATTTGTCGCGCTTTCTAAAAGTCTGAGACTCCAAAAGGGACGAGTTGAAAGGTTCAATATACATTCTTTATAATGTTTAGCTGTATCGAGCAAAGCACAGCCTCGCAGGGAAATGCTGGCCCATTGTATGGACTTGGTATCTCAGTCGTTGCTGACTCGCAGTAGTGGTGGTTGGTGAACGACGTGGTGACGTAGCCCTGGTTAGCTACTTAACAGTGGGCCCTTGCACTCGAGGCTAGCCTATTCTAGCAAGTTACCATACTGGGAGGACTGAATCGTAGATTTCTCCGCAATCCTTCTCTAATATGGTGAATGACTATAGCTATGCGGTCTTTCGGGCTGGAACAGCTGTAGCGCAAGAAGGGTCGTGAGAAAACAGAGGATGATTTGATCAAGATCTTCATTCTCCTTACCCCCAAAAGGCTTGAGTATCCATGACAGCCTGCTCCATATTACTGCATGTCTCGCAGTTCTAGTCGGAACTAAACAGAACGAACATTCCCTCACTACTATCATTTCTACACAAGTTTTTAAGACTGTGAATCAACCTATAATACCTGTATCCCTGGGCTGTCAAGACTAGTGGCCGAATAGTCGCTGGGTGGAAATCTCAACCCACAAACAGCTCAAAGGACCCCCAAACCAAATCATTCTATCTACCACCCGGCTGGGGCAGTATGGTTGACCAGACGAATAAAGACTGCTTCCCTGGCGTGGTCGCCGTCGCAGCCAGCATAGCGGGTGACGTTGTCTCTTGAGACTTGGAACTCTGGCTGATGATAAGTGCTTCCAGTGACAAGGGTAGAAGTATGAGGCTGAGGTAAGTCCGCTGCGGTAACAATACTTTGCAGATACGCGCTCGCGCTTTCCCTCGCCTTTCGACGTGGCATCAGTGGACAGCAGTGAGATCGAGACAGACACGACAGAGTAACTCGCTCGCTCGATAGTTTGGTGCTTGACAATGAAGGCCCGAAGATTTTCCGATGAAATATTATTTTATTACCACACTTGGCATGGGTCGTTCGAGTCAAAGCGAGCGCCCGTGACTTGTTCACGAGTACTCGGTAGGTGATAACGTCTCGCGGAACTATCTTATAGTTTCAAGACGGAAAATGACTGACGGCCTTTAGGCAGTCTAAGAGTCAGTCGGGTGTCCCCCCAAGAGCTTCAGCCAGCAGCGGGGCGGTTGGCATTTCTCACCGACGAAGGGTTGGAGGCGTCCACACACATCATCATCATCATCATCATCATTTTCTCTCGCCCACACAGATGCATCTTTTCTAGACAAGCGAGTCTACGCACATATGAGCGGGGCCAGGCCGCCCGGTCATTTCACTTACACATCCTAAATTTCCCATACCAGCACATAATGACCTCCTCGCCGCGCTCTGGCACCGTGCCGCCACCACCTCCAAAACTCCACCCGGCGCACACACTGCTCTCGCGCGCGCACTCGCCCGACACGGCCTCGCGCATCTTCACCGACAAAGTCAAGAACAAGCCGCTCCTCCTACAGCCTACCTCGTCCGCGGACCGGGACAAGCGCGCCCTGCGCCGGCGCATCCGCCTCCGCAAGAAGGAATACTACCTGCGCAAGCGCAAGCCGAAGCCGCTGAGCGCGAGGGAGAAGAGGGAGCTCGGGCTCCTCACGCTGAAGAAGGAGGAGGTCAAATACGACATCTACAAGGGCCTGCACGAGCTGTGGACGGGGTATATGCTGGAGATCCTGGGGTTTGTCAAGGACGGCCAGACGGTGCAAAGGGGCGCGCTGGCGAACGTGGTGACGGCGCAGAGCCACGGCTCGCTCCTGGCGAGCGCCGACTTCCACGGCGCCGAACTCGAGGTGGTCGCGTGCTCGGACGCTGGAAAGGTGGGCATCAGGGGAATCGTGGTCAGAGACACAAAATACACCTTCGTGGTCGTCACGGTCAAGGACGAGGTCAAGACGCTGCCAAAGAGGGATACCGTCTTCCGGTACGAGATACCGCTGCCGGGACGTGAGAGTGACTCTCGGAACGACGGCCCTCGTGAAGAGGAAGTCAAAGACGAAGAAGACACCAAGGGGGCAAGAATGCTCGTGTTCGAACTACACGGGAACCAATTCGAGTTTCGCCCGGCCGAGCGAGCGAATCGCAAGTTCAAGTGGAAGGCCATGGATTACTTGTGAAAGATCTAGGTTGGCCCGTGACCAATGTCTATCATCGACAGACGCTGAATTGCGGGACGATACGGACCATACCACAGTCATTTTGGCGACAGAGCTGCATCTACATCGCCGCCCACTCGACGCTAAACGTCCTTACGTCTCCAGCTGGACTTGCTCCGCCCAGCAGAAACCCTTTCTTCACACCCGTGCCCAGTCTACCCCCTCCTACTATGTCCATGAGATCAATCTCATCGTCCCACTCCGTGCCTGTGGCGAGGAAGTGGGAATGGAACCGCAACGGGTCGCCGGGGTATACAGTGTATTGGCACCCGAACCGAAGACCAGGGGTCGTGTAGAAGCCTTTGTCATGGAGATGCCTGTAAAAAGGGTAAGATGACGGAAGATTCTCTATTGTCGACTTTGATGTTGCCGAAGGTGGTGGCAGCAGCAGTCGAGATGTGGCCGGCGTGACAATATATGTGTTTGACGCGGCACTGGCAGGCAAAACCTTGACAGGAGAGTCATCTTCAAAGAGTGGTTGATCCTCCAGAATGGTATCTTGAGCAGCTTGCGCTGTCTCGCTGTTGCCTAAATCGGCTGGCTCTGCGCTAGATCCGTCTTGCGTGTCACAAGATGGTGGGATTGAGGCTTTCGCATTTTTGCCCAACGCTCGCTTCCGGGCCTGCTCCTTCTCCTCGTCCTTGGCATGCTTGAATTGCTTGGACTGCCTCTGTATTCTGGCCAGATAGTCAGCGCGTCGAGCCGGATCTGTCGACTGAACAGCTTGATTGTGAGCTCGAGCATCGTCAACAATGGTGCCGACTCCTCGTTCAACTAGTAACTGAGCTTCTTCAGGCATGATCTCAATAGGCACACCAAGAAATAGGTTCTGAGACGGAAACAGTGGTAGCGTGCCGATTGTGATGCCACAGATGTGATGCTCCCGGCGCAGGTAGGTCGCGATTTTGATATCGAAAAGTAGATATCGACCACCAACGAGGGAGATCGGAACTGGGAGATCGGGCGTGTGGTCGAAACCCAGATCCGCCGGCGAGTCCATCGTGAAGTATGTCTGCCACTAAGTCCATCATGAATGTCAGCCAAGTAGTCGCCAAGAGGTTTCATGCCAGATGGAGGTAAATGGAAAACAAGCGGTCATATTTCAACAACGATTTTTCGCTTCAATCACATGGCTTCGTGAGAAGCTTCTCAGTGGATTGACAGATTATATAAGTGGTCTAATCATGCAAGGGCTTGGTATGGTAGATAGCGCAGGAAACACTCACACGTTGATTTCTTGAAGAAAACTGATGACCACTGACTCCTCAGGGCGTAGAGAGAGGACGTGCAATCTCACCAGCCGCGGCCAGAAGCTTTTGGAATTCCGAGGGTTTTCAGAAAAGAACAAATGGAGGGCTTGAAGACCAGCCTTCAAGCAACCTGAGATGAACTACATGACTTGGTGGAGTTGTGTGAAAGCGAGAGGACGAATGTTTCTCTCAGGAAAGAAATTTAAGAGATTGAAAATAGGTCCAAGGAAAGTTGGGCTCTCCGCGAAAGAATTTATTTCATGTGCTAGACTGATTTTGTAGTGGTCGACCGTAGTCATGATTCTGTCAGACCAAAATATTTAATCATGACAACCTCGCGCCTCATTCCTCGCCATCAACTTGCGTCTTTGGTCATCGTAACGCCTTTCTGCTTGTCGTAAAGGTGCTGCCGCCATCAAGCCCTCAACGAGAAACTACTTTCAATAATGGGTATCATAGTGTTGCTGTCCTTGCTGTTCTTTATTCCGCTTCTTTTCTTCCTAGGTGTGTTCTGAACCATTCCTGCTTACAGCCCGTGCTGAAGGAAGGCGGAAACAGCTTTCCTCGCTCTCTCGTCGTGCTTGGGCGACCGGTTTCGTGCGCGGCTGTCCGGATTCACCGTCAATCCACGGCATGGTACTTACGACGGTACCTATTTTCGAAGCATGACGAATCCAGGTCCTTCGTCTTCGGAGCATATTGAGTTGGAAACCATGCTCAATTCACAGGGACTGCCTCCTGAAGACGATGACGTGTGAAGCGTCATCCTCAGGGAGAAATCTAGAATTCCATATCGGCCTTCTTCCCTGTCTGCTCCTGGCCCGCTGCCTGTTGAGCGCCTGTATCACCCTCGACAGGGGGCAGGTTGAACGGCTTGATTGTGAACTTTCTCCGGCTCAACGTAAAGGTCCAGTCGCTCTCAAACGTGCCAAGTCCGCTCCCACGGTCATGGAGCATCGGAAGCCGATGTACTTGCAACAAACCCTGAGGGGGCTCTTCAGCTACACCAGAGGGACCTCGAGCAGGTGTCGCATCTCCCTCCGCCGAATGCGGAAACGGGGACAGTTCAAAGACGCCGTCGTTCAACAGCTCGATCCAACGAACGAGCCCGGAAGAACGTGGATATAGTGACAGTGGAAGTGACATGACCGCCGTCAGCCGGCCAGGATGTGCCGCGAAGAGAGCACGAAGACTATGCAGGAATTGGAGGATGTTCTGTGGTTGACTCGACCAAGGGGGATAAAGCGCTGGTGAAAGAAGGGATGGAATGACGATGCGGTGGACTGTTTCCGGTGCGGAATTCATGACAGAGGCATTCAGCCGGTCGAGAACAGGTGCGAAGGGCGAGTGTGTCGGGTTACTGCCCAATTGAATGAAATCCAACTTGGACGAGGCAGGATGAACAAGTCTCTTCGTCAAGTCGAATGTATGGCAAAAAGAAGCAGGTGGTCCCTGGGCTGATAGCCCGTCTAGACCTGGTTGTCCTGCAGTTGGCTGAAGACGTTCTGTTGGGGGGAAGAAAGAAGATGTCAGTGCCAATGCGAAGCAGAGAAACTGAACAGGAATCTCAGAGAAAATAGCATTGATTCTAGCTAGGCTACGGGGATGAACATGCCCACCTCTTGCGGGTGCGCCTGCACCAAATTGCCCCAGGCTCTCGTATCTCCACGCAATCTTCATCTTCTCTGTTTCAGCGGGTGTCTCTTTTTTCTCGCTCTCGCCGACAGCGCCTGGAAGTTCGCGACCCCACTGCTCAGGGAGCGCCACGACGTGGACATGGTGACCCTGGAGAAGACCCTCTGCGGCGTAGAATCTTAAGAGAGCACCCGCGTAGTCGGTCGTTCCACTTTCTTCGATCAGGATCGTGCTCCCGAGAGCGAGGCCAGAATGTCCTGCGAGGAGGGCGTCAAGGCTGGCGGTGCCAGTAGAAGTTGTCGGCCGTCCGTCCACTGGTGAAGGCCGTACGCCAGGCAGATGAACTCGGTCTTTCGCGCTGGATTGTACTGCAGATCCTTCGGATCTCGTAGAGCCTGAGAGGCCTACATTGCGCTTGCGGAAGGACATCGATACAAGAGACAACAGAATCCACAGAAAGTTGGTTGAGTTTGCATGTGGCATGCAGCGTGGGAAGTTATTGCGAAAAGTGATGTTGCGCTAGATGCCGCAAAGGCTACCGGAGAGATACTCCGCCGTACAATACATTTCCCTCCGAAACGCAAAAAAACAATTTCTTGCGGGCCGGAGAGCGACTTTGATTTCCCATATATCGTCCCTTTTTTTGCGCCCAAAAAGCTGCAAGCGTCTTCTCGATCATCTTCGCAAAAACACTGCGCTCACCACCCAAAATGTCCGAGAATATCCTCTTCGAGAATAGCTTCAAGATCACCGACCTCAACGACACCAAGTATGACAGAGTCTCCCGCATCAAAGCCTACAGCGAGGGCGAGCAGGAAGTCCTTCTGACCCTCGACGTCAACACGGAACTGTACCCCCTCAACGTCGACGACCGCATGACGGTCGCGCTGGCCCTCTCCCTCAACCTAGACGGGAGCAAAGACGACGGGAAGGGGTGGAGAGAAATCGGGAGGGGAGAGCAGACGCTCGCCGACGAGTTCGACTATGTCTGCCACGGAAAGATCTACAGATTCGAGGAAGGTAGCGGAGACAACATGTAGGTTTGTGCAAGGGAAGATCTGGGTGGCGATTGGGCTAACAATTGTGCATAGCAAGCTATACGTCTCCTTCGGCGGCCTGCTTCTCTACATGGACGGCCCGTACGCACTGCTCAACGCCCTGAGAATCGACTACGTGTACCTTTTGATGAAGAAATGAGCTCTGGTCCGTGACTTTTACGGTGGCATTATGTTCTTTGAGGGAAACGGAACAAGTCTATCTAGCGAGGCGTTGGTGGGTGGGCTCTGCAAGGCTGCGCTCGTCGTGACCGGCTCTCACGAAGTCGGGAACTCCAACCGCCTATGGAGTCTTGCGACTATTTCAATATAATTCGGTTCGTTCTCGGCCGTCACGAAGCCATGCCTGACGAGGAACTCCAAGAGCAAATGTGCACAATTCGGCTTGAATCTACCCTCGGCCATAGCTCGCCGCACCTCCTCGACAGTCAAAAGCTGGAAATCGATGGCTTCATCGTCGCCTGGCTTGGGTATGACATCGGGAGACATCCTGAGGTCATAGATGTATTGGCACTCGGGCTGACAGAGTCCCGTCTCTCCTCCGGCTCGGGCATCGCGGACGTGGAAATATGTCAGTGTGCCACAAGCCTGAGCCGTGCGGCGCACCAAGTCTGCTGGTAACGAGGCTTCCTCTTCGCATTCTCTGACCAGGCAATCAAAGGGCTTTTCTCCTGTGCTCAGCCCTCCAGCGACCGTGTTGTCCATCATTCCGGGATACGTTGGCTTTGTCAAGGAGCGTCGTGGTGTCCATATCTTCATCCCCTCGTCAGTCATGACATAGCCGGTCAGATGCACACCATAGGTGACAATTCCAAAGAGAGGGGACGCTGATCGTTCCATGTTTAACACAAGCTCTTTTTGCGGCCCGTATATGGGGTAGCGCTCGTTCCGCCAACCGTCGAGGACGGCAAAGATGCGTCTCTCGCGCACCTCCTGGAGGTAGTCCCCCAAGATGTCGCTGCGCTTGCCGAGATCGACGACCGGGGTTCCCCGCTCATCTCGAGGTTGGAATGTTAGGCGCCTATTGACTTGGTCCAACTTCCAGTGTTGGGTGAGAGGCATTCGCTCCGCGACGGAAGAGGTCATGTATCCCAAACACGCGCCGCAACCTTCTAGGTAGAACTGGTAGTAGCCTTCCCACAAAGCCTTGAACTTGTCCGGGTCGTCCGTGTAGTAAGGGAAGCTTTTTGTGTCCACACCCCAGTCAGTATTCACCATCAGTGCCATCAATCACTTCACGTAAGCTTGGCGGTAGGAGGTGTAGTGGTGGAAGAGGAGGGGTGTCGAAGAGGGGAATGTGCTTGCTGAGCGCCTTGAGGATGGGACAGCAGGCATGTAGGTATGTACATACTTGTCGCATTCATTGACCAAGTCCAGATTTGACAGGAGGCCCATGTTTTCGGTCTTTTTCTGTCTCTATTTCTCTCTCGTTTTCTCTCTCGTTTTCTCTCTCGTTTTCTCTCTCGTTTTCTCTCTCGTTTTCTCTCTTTTATGTACGTTCTCCAGGTTATTCGTGTATACCTCACAGGATCTGGTCTATTGGTATCAGAAAATTCGAAGCGGGGGTCCTTTGTGAGAATCGGCACAGACTTCGGTCCCAAATAGCGAGGGGAGAAGGAACGTATGAGTCTCACACAGAGAGACAGAGATAGTCTTAGCAACTTTGATAAAGTGACAAACTAGGAAACCGATTCGTTGTGTGGGTAGTTCATCCAATAATGCTCTGGTGCCCGGGGTTTTATTGATACCTTTGCTCGGAGCTCCCTTAGTCACCCGACCTGTGCCGCTTTTAAAACCATCATCACCTTGCGACCCACCATTTACCTACCGATACAATTCTGACGTTGGTCAATTCGACCCTCGTAATTTTCTGGTGTTAGAGTGAGTTTCCATTATGTAGGTCAATTAAGAGACTGTGCCTTGAGCGATGTGGTAACTTGTGGGGAATCCATGGTGGACAACTGGGCAGTCGTGGCAGCCCTGGATCCTCTCGATCAGTGGGTGGCAGCTAAACGCGCCTCGACGCGTTACGCACGACCACGTGACTACCCTTGGCGACATACTCGTCCCTTGCCATGAACTCGTCACTTCGCAACTGCGCTTTGGATTCTCACCTCTCGTGCCTCTGTCTACACCGCCCTTCCTCCTGGACGTGCCTATGAAGGTAGCCCCTGGTGATATTTCTCCTTCTGAAAATCACGCTCACTCATGCGCACCACGGTCCCTCTCTCCCGTGAAGCACCAAGCCCTCGGTCACCCATCTCGACGAGCTGTTCCTGGTCTCCCTCCCTTCTTCTGCTTCGCTGTGGTAACTCGAACTCCGAGACGTACACGGAGACAAGATCAAGTCTACAGCTTTAAATTGTGCATTTAACACTTAAGGCACCTCCGTTGGCCTGAGACACCTTTAGCAAGCGTGGCAAGACTTTGTTGATGTTGGAGACTGAAAGATCAATGGCAGTGGGCGATTCTTCCCAGCTGGATACTTGCGATACTTTGTTGGATCTCGATCTCGGGCCCGAAGACTGCTTCCATCGGCTTCGACGCGAGAGCCATGACGAGACGAGAGTTATTTATGTTCAGCATCTTACCAGAGGACGCAGTAACGTCAAACGATGAGCTTATCCGTGCATTATCAAAGCTTAGTGGATGGTACGACAAATGGACTACGTTCACAGTATCAAGGCGCGGTGGAGAGGTCCATTGCCGTCAGGATCATTTCAAAGCGCATGCGATACCTCGGGAGAAAGTTCTCATAGGATACCCACACTTTGATATTGTCAAACTTCGTGCTCTATCTTACCCGAAATCTAGAGTCACTTATGTGGATATAGGGTCGCAGAAATGTTATATGAAGATTGCAAGATTCGAATTCGAGATTCCATGGATACTGCAGGAATTGGCGGCCTACCACTTGCTGGCAAGAATCAATTCAACACTAGGACCTGAGCTTTTGGGATATGTCTTTGAAGGATCACATCGAGTGATCGGATTCCTGATGACAGCTTTAACCTGGCCGACCAGCATCACCAGCGGACGTGGGGGCCTGACAGAACGCAGTCCGACAACTGCACAGTCTTGGTATCCTCCACGGGGATCTGGTTCGGTACAGCATTCTGATCACAGGGGATGGGCCAAAGTTTATTGATTTTGAGAACTCATCTATCCGATCAGACCATGACAACGACCGTTGGGATGACATGACGGCGCAAGAACTTGACAGCCTAGAATCAACTCTTCTGGATCCCTCTGACAAAGGTCGACCCTGGGAAATAGCGATCGCAAATATCCCTGAGACTGAGTTAATAGCCGCAAATTCTGCGTAAGCGATGGTTGATCAATATCTCACATGCTCGTTGAGCAGGGTCGACACTTGTGAGTTGACGTCTTGTCTTCATCGTCCTCCCAGATGCCTGGCCCGCCCCCAGCGTCCCCAAAGTAACCCACTACGGAAGAAGTAGGTGAGGAAGTCCAGCAGATATGCATGACCTGATTGACATTGAGGAAAACTTGCTAGATTGTCCGCTCTATACCTGCCTATAAGGATATGGTCTGGTGGCTGTAAGACCTGGGGGCTCCCTGGTTAGTTTCGAGGCGAATCAAGACCACTGCCCCTTCTCCTGGAATCCCCTGATAGATGAACTTCAGATTATACTGGGCCCTCCCCTTGATCAAGAATTGATGGGAACGGCTTGAAGCGATTCGGATCAGCAGAAAGTAGGCTCATCGATGTTGTTTGTAAATGTTTGTGGGAAATGTAATGGCAAGTTACTACACCCAGTCCTGCCTTGACGAAGCTGGTTTTACGGCGAGAGGTCAGTGGCTCTCCACTTGTAGTACATACTGCAAATAGACATTGATCAACCAGCCTCAAAGGAGAAACTACAAGGCCGCTTTTGCAGTCAGTTCCGCCAACCTCATTAATCATGACGTCATCACCCATCAAGCACAAGAGCGGCGTCAACATCGTCCCAAAAGAGGGTGAGCCGCGGGCAGTTGAGTTTGTCCCACACTTTAACAGCCACAGCCCACGGCAGCGGGCCTGGTCAAGCTGCCTGATATAAATTTCCCCATGTTTCCATGTACTTGTACTTGTACGTCCTGAGTGACAACGCTACCTAATCTTTTCTCTTCCTCCCTCCCCACAGTTAAGAACCACACCACCGTCAGACATGTTTGGAGTCTTCATCCCCACGCGGCCCATCATCCCCGAGATGGCGACCGTCTCGCCGAACCAGTTTGCCGTCTCGTTCCCGGCCTCGCCAGCATTCCACAACGTCGGCGTCTTCTTACACCCGACAAATCTCCTCCCACCGGGCACAGCCGCGGGAGTCTACATGCAACTGCCGGGGGAGCAGGGCTTTAAATTTCTCGGCGCCATCGGCAACGAGAAGCCCTCTGCGCTGTTCCGCGTGAACCTGCCCGACTCTGGCGTCGCCAACAACCCTTCTGCGGGACAAGTCAACCTGGGCATCTCGGTCGAACCGGCCGAGAACATCCAGGCGCAGATGCTCCAGCTCCAGCAGCAACAACAACAACAATCACCGATGTCGCCGACATCGTCATCGAATTCTTCAGCCCTCGTCAAGAGACCGCCCGACACGAGGGTGCTGGCCCAGCGCATCATCCGCAACGCGTTCAACTTCCTGGCCAGTTTTGCCGGCAACACGGCCAACGGGGTCGAGGTCGTGCCGCTCAAAAGCTTCCAGGACTGGTGGACAAAATTTGAGCGGAGGGTGCAGAATGATCCCGGGTTTTTGGAGAGGGACGAGGTTTGAATGGGCCCCAAAGAACATCGTGGATTCTCTCTCTTGCACCCCAAAACACTACAAGCAGAGTGAATGTGAATGTGAGAGTGAGGGTGCAAGTGCAAGTCATCATGGACGATGGACGGTATCAGGTCGATTTGACCAGGCTCACTGATTGAGCTTCGACGGTGGTCAAGTTCTATTCTACTTCCAGAGGACCACCGGGAGATCGAATATTACGTCAAACTTGATACACATCCTGTTGTGAGAGGGGGGATGGTGTCAGCTAACAGTTCTACCAAACCGCCCAAAGCCGCCACCGTCTATCGCTCGACATGCAATGCCCCGAAACACCATCTAAAGCGACATTGGACATTACTTTACCACTGCATGGCCATAATCTCCTCCTTGGTCCAGAACCGGCGCATATTCTCCGCGCCCAGCATCCTCACCTCGTCGTCCAAGTGGGCCCACAACACACCTCCAAAAGAGTCCATGATCTCCTTCAACTCGGACAGGCGCAGCTCCTTCTCCCCGCCCCGGCACGCGTCGAGGTACGCCTCCAACTTGTCGAGCCCTTCGTGGATCTGTCCGTGCTGGGTGATGAGGTGGTCGTGGGCGCCGAACGCGGGCATGCGCTCGGCCAGTTCGGGGAAGACGTGTTGCTCCTCGATCGTGTGGTGGATCGTCAGCGAGTGGCACAGGTGCAGGCCCTGCGAGATGAAGCTGCGGATGGACATGCCCGCGGGTCGCGACCCCGACGTGCACGCCTTGTACAGGAGATTCCACGTGTACCGGAAATGGTTGTGCTGGGCGTGTTTGTTAGTCGGACGTTGTTTTCGGGAGAAGGGATGTGCTGGGGGATTGGACAGTCCTCCGTTCCAAGGAACAAGTTGCTTGGGAACAAAACAGACTGTGGGGGGAAAGTCCTAGAAGGGGATTTTAGTAAAGGAAATGTCGTCTCGACATACATAGGCATTCATCATGACAGCCAGGCGATTATACTCGCGGAAATCCTGGGCAGACAGTTTCGGTAGCTCTGGCTCTGGTTCAGCTGCGGCTGCATCTGTTTTTGCGTCTGTATCTGCATTTTTATTGTTCGACGCCGGTGACAGATCCGCTTGAACCCCGGCTTTCTGTCCCGGCGTGCACTGTTCGGGACCAATGCCACACTCTTGCGAAGCCATGCTGGTTGTGGTCGGGTTTGTCGGGATCGAGGAGATGTATCTCGAAAACGTCGGTGCGTGCGAAACAGTGCCTGGCAATGCCGTCTGAGACAGTCCTGTGCCGCCAATCCAGAGGGGGACTTTTGCCCTCAGGGTCTGGAAGTTGTTCGCGGCGTTGACTCGTAGGATCTGTATCGGTGTTGATGGTCGGAGAAATCGAGTTGACGTTTGTTGCAGTAGAGCGATGAGGATCGCTAGCATCAAGACACAGACACTGAGGTAGACAGAGACGCTGAGCCGTAGATGTGGACGTGGACGTTGACGTGAGGATATCCAGCCTCTCATCCGCCCCTCTCTCTCTTTCGCTCTCTCTCCTCCGCTGTAGAGAGAACTCCAATTCGCGAACAAGACACCACCGACCGGCCAGGTGGACAGATAGTCGAATTGAACGAGGTATCCAAACCCTCTAAAACACCAGGTCCCTTGCGCCGACAATATATATAATATATATAATCCCCGAACAGTCGTCCCACCCACGTCCTGCGCGCCTCTGTGGCTGACTAATCTCCCGCCGCTTTGCTCTCCGCTAACAACTATTTAGTCCACTCGCTCCCTTGTACGCTACTCTCCCCTCCCTAACGGCTCTGGCCCGCTTCTACCGTACTTCCTCACGTGCCAGTGAGGCTCCCTTTCGGGCTCCAGTCTTATAGGCGTGAACGTTGCGTACGTCTAGCCTGATTAAAACTTTACTCGATCACATCTATGATGGCCCGTTTCGGCCCTGATGAAAAGGTGGGGTCTCTGAGAGGAGAGGATGCCTGTCAGGAACGGCCTATATAGATAGGCAGAGAGTAGCGACAGGTGATAGGAAGGTATAGTATATCTTAACTAAGACTCAAAGCATGGGGGAAGGAAAAGGGAAGCTTCCCTCAGGCGGTGAGCATACGGTGCTTAAATAATAAAGGGGTTGTCACGTGCGTGGTGTACTTACTTGGGGGTTCGTGACACTAGGGAAGGCTTAGTAGACCGTGATATTGAGACTACTGTGAAAGCTCTTGTATAAAAAGGTAAAGAATTCGGCCATGACCATCTAGATGGAAGATTGGAGGGAGTACATTCTTCTCTAGCCTTCTGACTCGCAGTGTTGATAATACAAATGTGTGAATAACCTCGGCAACCATAAACGTGTGGGTGAAGGATAAGAGATCTCCGGCTATTCGATGGTCCACAGCCCTGTGTGCTTGGCGAAATACGTCTGTTACTTCCCTTAGTGAATTGGTCACTTTCTTGGCCAATTCATGCTATGCTGAAGAGCTGTGATATTATCAGGAAGAAGCAGAGATTAGAGGTGTTATCAGGGATGCCTTATTGAAGATAGGCAGTACTCAGCGATAGATAGATTCCGTGGTAAGAAATATCCCTTTACGTACAGTAGTGACAAGACTTGAAGCATGGGGAAGGATGCTTCTCGGCTGCGAGAAGTATACTTTTCTCCTTCGGTGTGCGGACGGCGGAAAGTAGCTTGGGGCCGTCCGGCTGAAAACCATCCCGAATGGCCTTTCTACTCTACCTTCTCCTTAGGCTTAAGGCGGCGTAGGAGGATGCTTCTCCCCTGTGAGTAGCATGCTCCTCCCTCGCGGTTCGCTTTGGCTTCCTGCTCTGTTTGTGATAGGTGTTTGGTTTTGACGCGTAAGTGTTAACAGCCCGTACTTGTATATATTTTACGATGCAGCAGCGTTGTTTATGACTTTGATACTAGCTAGATGCTCCTTAAACCATGTGTAGCAGTTGTTAATGACGCCCTAAGTATTTAGCCGTTTGTGAGCGCTTAATGGCAATGTCGCCCTCATGATGACCGTTTGTCCTTTTGGCCAGGCTTATCGGCTATTCTATTGCCGAGGTCTGAGCTGAGGTAGCCGAATTGGAAGTTTTAGGACATCTACTCAGGAGCGAATGAATGTGTCTTCATACGCATCTTAACACTCGCTTGATCTTGAGCCAGACTCACGCGAGTGACAAGATAGACTGATTGAACACACAATCACAACCACGACCACGACCACGACCGCGACCACGACCGCAACTGCGACCACACTCATAATGACGGGCCACGCTGACCGTGGCATCAGGCTCTTTCACTATGAGGCTTCCCCGTACGCTCAAAAGATTGTCTTGTACCTAGCTCTGCGTCAGCTGCCCTATGCAGAAGTCAAACAGCCCATGATCATGCCCCGACCGGACTTGGCTGCAATTGGGGTCGCGTATCGACGAATCCCTGTTATGGCAATCGGAAGAGATGTCTATTGTGACACGCGAATCATACTGCGTAAGCTCGAAGAATTTTTCCCCGAGGGCAAGCTAGGCACATCAACACCCGAAACAATCGCTATTCAGAAGCTATTGGAGATCTGGCATGTAGAGGGACCACTATTCTCTCATGGCGTGGGGTCGATGCCATCATCACATTTCAGCCATCCAAAATTTGTAAAAGACCGTGAACAACTGCTGGGAAAGCCATTTGATTTACAAGGACGCGAGTCAAGGCGGCCCGAGTCACACGCATATATCCAGGGCGCTTTCGAATTATTCGAAGATCTGCTTGCCGACGGTCGACAGTGGCTTGTTGGCACGCAACGGCCATCGTGGACAGATCTTGAGGGTAAGTACCTACTGGGACCAGGTGCCCTTGGTTTCCTGGGCGAGGAACACTTAACTAATTAATCGTATGAACAGCCGTTTTCATGGTGTCTTGGCTCCTCAATTCCAAGAAGGCTCTCCCGGAGGATTTGTTCTCTCCAGCCAGATACCCAAACACCCGAGCATGGATTTCCCGCTTCGACAATGTCGTAGCGGTATCCAAAGCCCAGGGACCCAGACCGATCAAGCTAGATGGCGCGACTTCAACCAAGGAAATCTTGGCCTCTGACTATGCCGAGCCAGCTCCTGGGATACAGGAGTCGGAACCATTGAAGTGGTTGAGCGTGGGAGACCAAGTCGAAGTCTTTCCCACCGATAATGGGATGTTCAACAAGGACAAAGGGAGACTTGTAGGGTTGACCTATAATGAGATTGTGATTGAGTTGAACAACCATGTTAGGGTGCATTACCCAAGAGCTGGATATCGAGTTCGGGTAGTAGGCTCAAATATGTGAAGGAACTTGGTGAAATGTTATTCTAGTACCGGGGGCTAACGCGTGGATATCCGAGAGATGTCTGTGATTGATTGGGAGATTAGTAGCCGGTATGCTCAATACTGGGAGTTCGTCGCACGTATATATGTCATGTTACTCGGTATGTAGATAAGCCAACAATATTCATCGGATTTCCGATATGCCGGGCGAGCCTCGTCATGTGATCACCCATGGCTTCTCGGTCGAGATGCTGCGATCCAGCGATCCAGCGGATTATGTATCGGGCATGTCACGGGGTTGGTGGACACGCGAGTTAGAGTAACAGCGAAAAGCGAGAAGCTAGAGTAATCTTTACAGGAAAGAGGGGGAGATTGTATCTGTGGGTCGGATGATATCTCTTGATACCTATTTATCTACATATCTATCCATCTATCCACTTCTCCGTGCACAGACTGACAGCATGCTTCTACCATATCAAGAGTTGATGCAATGCGACGATATATAGACGAGACACATGGGACCGACACGACAAAAACGACATCACTCATCCATATTCATAACACTTCATTATCCATTGTACATCCACTGAGGACTACTTTACCTACATAGCTAGCTAGCAAGCAGCAGAACTTTACAAGACTTTGAACCGGCAGCGCCAGCCCCATGCACAGGTAAACTAGCCCCCGAGGTGTGTGCTCGTGCTCGTGCTCGTGCTGGTGTGTGTTTGTGTGTGATGTATAATGAAAGAAGCCAGGCCAAATGTTTTCCCCCCGGCTCTGACATTTCTCATTTGCATGCCTTTTTGGTTTTCGCGGGACAAAAGTTGGAATGAATCATTTTCGTTCTCTCGTAATTACTCCATGGACTTATCATTTTTCACTTTAGGAGATACGTTGACCCTTTTAACCAAAGAGAGCACCGCCAAGTCGGACTCTCACAGACTTGACTTGAGTGTAGTTGGACAGAGCATACTTGCCGAGCTCACGGCCGATACCAGACTCCTTGAAGCCACCGAAGGGCACCTGGTAGCTGAGCATGTTGTAGTTGTTGACCCAGACGGTGCCGGCCTTGAGGGCGTTGGCAACGCGGATGGCAGTGTTGAGGTTAGTGGTGTGCACGGCAGCGGCGAGGCCGTAGGTGGTCTCGTTGCCGAGTCGGATCACCTCTTCCTCAGTTTCGAACTTGCTGATGGCGCAGACAGGACCAAAGATCTCTTCTTGCATGATCTTCATGTCCTCGCTGACATTGGAGAAGATGGTCGGCTGGATGAAGTAGCCCTCCTCGCCGTGGCGCTCACCGCCAGTCTCAACCTTGGCACCAGCCTCCTTACCGGACTGGATGTAGTTCATGATCCGGTCGAATTGGAGCTTGCTAACCTGAGGGCCCTGGAAGGTGTCGGCCTTGAATGGGTCGCCGACGACGTTCTTGGCCGTCCGCTCCTTGAATGCCTGGATGAACTTGTCATAGACACCCGATTGGACGTAGACACGCGAGCCGGCGCAGCAGCACTGGCCGTGGTTGAAGAAGATACCAAAGTTGACCCACGAGATGGCGTCTTCGATGTTGGCGTCGTTGAACACAATGTTGGGCGACTTGCCGCCCAGCTCGAGAGTGACCTTCTTCAGGTTCGACTTGGCAGCGGCTTGTAGGATGGTGCGGCCGACGACGGTCGAGCCAGTGAAGGCGACCTTGTCAATGTCCATGTGGGAGGCGATGGCGGCACCAGCCGTCTTGCCGAAGCCGGAGAGGATATTGATAACACCGGCGGGAATACCGGCCTTCTCGCAGAGAGTGGCGGCAAACAGGCCAGAGAGAGGGGTCTGCTCAGCAGTCTTCAGGACAACAGTGTTACCGGTGGCGATCGCAGGGCCAATCTTCCAGGACCACATGAGAAGAGGAAAGTTCCATGGGATGATCTGACCGCAGACACCGATGGCTTCATGTCTGGTGTAGTTGAATGTCTCTGGGTCTGTGTCGATGGTCTTGCCGTGGATCTTGTCTGCCCATCCACCGTAGTATCTCAAGCAGCCCGAAGACAGCTGAACGTCGACCTTGGCCATGGACAAGGCCTTGCCGTTGTCCAAAGCTTCAATCGCAGCGAGGGTATCCGAGTACTCGTCGAAGAGGTCGGCCAATTTGCACAGCATCTGGCCCCGCACACTGGGGAGCGTCTGGGCCCAAACGCCATTGAAAGCCTTGCGGGCGGCCTTGACGGCAAGGTCGACATCTACACGAGAAAAACGTGGTCAGCAGGCTCCCCACCTCCAAGATCTCTAGGTCACTCACCCTCGGGACCGGCCTCGTGGACGGCGACAATGGGCTTCTCGTTCGAGGGGTTGATGGTCTCAAAGGTCTTGCCCTCAACGCCCTTCACCCACTTGCCATCGATGTACAAGCCCAGCGGCTGCTCGTACGTGATGCTAGGGGTCTCGATCTTTGCTGTCAGAGACATGGTTGCTTGAAATGTCGATTTGTACAAAAAATAACTGGGATGGGTATCACAACAGGCAAGGGATAAAGTCGCAGACTTTTTGTAATAGAACAAGAAGAGGAGAAGAGAGAGATCAGACGAGCACCGAGGGCAGAGAGTGAGCTTTATTTCAAATACTTCATGCGCGGGGAAGCGCCAACTCTCATGGACGCAATGATGTCCACAAGCACAAATCTTCTTTCGCTTTCCTATTGACCGAGCCAGTAGGTAGACGGCGAGCAACGAGTAGGGTAGACACGAGAATGGATCCCAGAGGTCGAGCGGACAAATGTAGTAGGCTGACGCTGGAATTCCGTCCCTCCAAGGGCAGGGGGGGTGATTGGGAGTCGCATCTCAACTGCGGGGTCGAGAGGCAGCGAGAGAGTCGTAAGTGGATCAAGGGAGATCAGAATTGTCACAGCTTGGAAGCCTCAAGTGATTCAAGGGTGGAAGAGGGTTTCGATGTTCTGTGAGATTGAGTGAGGGGATTGGACGAGGTCGCGGAGACTGCGACTAGGATGGTGGGGGGGCGCAGGGAGGGACAATGTGGCAAAGAGGACAAAGAGGGGAACTGACTAAACAACCACGACAAGTAGCAGTACAACATGGACTTTTGCCCGGTGAGCCGTTCTGGCTGGCCCAAAGGATGACCGGACGAAGATTCCTCTGGACCTTTTTTGGCCAGATCTTGCCTTGACCCCGAAGCTAGCCGAAACCAAGTCCTGGAGGAAGATACTCTAGCTATACGATGCACTGGTAGCTATACATGTTGCAGAGGTCGGGACTTCCATCACATCGGATCTGAGGACCAAGCCCGCGTCATCCATGTCTGAATCTGGCCCAGACGGCCAAGCCCCTGTAGACCTGATGGGTTCGGAAGAAGGGTTGAAGGGTTGTACGGACGGAAAGTGTGTGGCTACAAGCCGGCTACAAGGAGAAACGCCTGGAGGACTTTTTTCCGTACGAGAATGATTGTTGGACGGAGAGTCATTGTCCCGTCACCAGATGACCCAGCTGTATGGCATTATGGCCGAGAACAAGCAATAAGTCTGTGATGTCTCCGCCGCCACCCCCTCCCATCTAAGCTCCTTTGCCATATGGGGGATGCCGTAGATAGAGGGGCACAGGGGTTTGGAGGGGCAGGGGGCACAGGCACAGATACTGAGTACACCATAGAGGAGAGTTCTCCGTCGGCGCGGGGCAGATGTGGCGCCGCTGGTATGTATTGCCAGTCTTTGTTCGCATCAACACGGTCGAGTCGACTTTTGTCCCTCGGTATCCAAGTGCCAGGCCACCAGGCTTATAGTTCGCTCTCTGTTTCCCAATCTGGACAAACTGGCGCGTCTGCGGAACCGTTTCCACGAATGATAGCAAATCCAGAATTATTGTAACGTCGAGCTTTGTCCTCTGTCTTATTGCCGACCCATGTAGCCAGCCCCTCTCAAGTAAAACATGGGGAGAATACGATGAGGCCCAGGATCATCTAATCGAATATTTTGAAACATTGGCCTGGTCTGTGCTTCCATCGGCCCGGATGTAGACGTCCAATGTGTGTCTTAACATACTAGCGAAAGAGCTGCTTGTACAATCTTGATCACCTCCCCATCGACCTTATATTGCCGAGCTAATATCTGTGCATCAATTCGCCGACGGGCAGGGTCAATTGTTGGCATTTGGGCCTCGTTATAGCCGTGTTCGACTAGGATCGGTTCGATCTCGGTCTGCTGCAAGCTATTCGTAATGGACTCTACCAGGTATAGACAAAAATGTCAGTCAGTTTTGCATGCTGACGGCGCCGATCGACAACTGATTCGTTCATAACACGACGTAGCTGTAGCGGCGGCGGACCGAAGCACCAGAAGCTTTTGGCCTGGTTGGGAAGGGCGAAAGGGGGGTTGCTGCATTGCTTACGGCGATCGACTAATCCTTGTCCAGGGAGGCTGATTATTGGTAGTGACACTGGCGACACTGGCGAAGTTTGAGGGGAAATGAAACAGCAGACAAGCTGCACGTCGGTGACACTCGGCCCGAACACAGGCAACTATGCCGAAAGACCCCCACCTAGAGTCACGTGTATACCCACTAGAATAATTCATCAGGATATATGTTATTGTCCCAGAATCCGTCTCTTGGCTGTCATGGTCAAAAAGTTAGGAGATCACCTTGAGCCTGTTGGGCGTCGCTTCACACACCCACTTGTTCAGTCGTGCCTTGCTCGGAATTTCGGGTCGTTCATCGTACTCGTGTGTGCAGACCACGATCGCTACGGAACGTTAAGTCATTGGAAGTGACACTTGAGGGAAGCGATTCTGCAGAGGCTCTTCCACCCGGAGTTGGCGATGTGAGATTACACACTGGCAAGATATGCGAAGTCCCAGGTTCGATGTGGGTGATCAACTTTTTTGTAGTCCACTAGTAGTTTTTGTCTTTGGTTTTTGTCCTTTTTTTGTCCTCGTATGTGCGGAGACAACACCCAAGAGGATCGATGCCAAGACATTTACCTCCTGCTATTGCTGCGACTGGTAACTAGGTACTCACTCAGGAGATAGACAAAGATGATTGTTACTCTATTCTCTAAATATGCATGCATGCACACGCACGTACACACACAAATATGAATGCTAAGAACAATGCCCGTTTGCCGTCACCAGCACGCTCTGGTTGCGTTCCTGCGTCGATGGCGCGACATCCATTGCGGGATTCCTGGTGAAGAAGTTGACGGGTTTCAGCCCAACGACCATCTTCTCACACGGCATCACCGGCCAATCCTCCACGCGCGGGTTGTGCGTGGATCCAAAGGTATGCCAGACGACAATGTCTTGATTCTTGACGTCAGAAGGAGGAGCATTGTGCGCTGCCGCCGAAGACTCCTGCTGCTGCAGCTTGCGCTTCGCGATCCAGCTGGCAATCCCTTCACCGCCGAGAGATTGCATGGTGTGGTCGCCCGCTGCGAACAGCTCTCCGTCGTGGTACCTCGTCACCCAGACTGCATGGGCGCCGAACTCGGATCTCTTCGCATGATACGAGGACGGGTGTGCGAGGGTGAGTTGACTATAGCACGGGACGAGTTTATATCCAACAGGACCTCCCGTGACGGGGTTCGTCACGCCCTCGTTGACGATCTTGAAAACCCGATTGACCGTGTGGTCGAGATCCAAACCGCATTCTTCCTTGACCGTCTCAGCTTTGGTCGTGTATCCAATCCCAAAAGGGTTGTGGATACTGGGGTCTTGACTCTCGAGCGGCATCGCGTGTGATTCCTCGACGACGAGGGAATTCTTCCACCCCGCCACAGCCGGGTCAACCCTCAGACAGAACAGGTGCTGATGGTATGGAGCCATGACACCCGGTGCGACCGTTGTGCCAAACGGCACTTTATCCCCGACGTTGATCGGGACAGTCGACACGATCCCCGTCGCGCGCACTTCATAATGCAACGACGCGTCCTGCCCAAAGTAGAAGGCAAAAATGTACTCGTAGTTGCTCACGGTGATGATGGTTTGCAGCACCAGGACCCTCGAGCGGGCGACCACGGCGTTGTTGGTGCGGAAGTTGGTGTGCTTCCACAGGATCCCGTCGTCGATCTCGTGACAGCACACCGCGTTGGGCAGTTTTATGGGGTCGCCGGAGCTGGTGGCGTGCCAGCCGTCAAAGTACTTGATGTGGCCCAGACAGTCGCACCCCAGCTGCAGGTTATTGGCGTTGCAGCCTGCGCCGTCGTTGCCCAGATCAAACGCGGCTTTCCGAGCATACGGCGTCCGCGGATCACCGTAGGGGACAAACATCTCCGAAAGCGAGAGGCGGTAGAACAACGACCGACCGTCATACCGCACGTCATGGAGCGTAAGTCCTTCCCTGTAGTTGAACCCGACGCGTAGATGCCACTTTTCCCAGCGTACGAGGTTGCCATCGGTGGTGAACGACGGGCCATCCGGCTGCACGACCCGGTATGGCTTTGTGGACGTGCGATGCTGGGGCACCAGGTCTGGGTGGTACTCGATGCTGTCGTCGAAGATTTTTCGCCGGTCGTACGGTTTCGCCGTCGTGCTGATGTCGTTGGACGTGCCGTTGGGGAGGTGATAGATCTTCAAGACGCGCGCGTCGCCTGACATCTCCACACAGAGGTCCAGCGGGTAGGCGTAGTGGTTCGCGTCCGGATGACTGATTAATTTCATGTAGAAATAGCACTGCACAGAAAGTCAAGTCATCAGCTATCCATCCCATAAGGTCCGCGACAATTCAATGGTTTCAAAATAAGGCCATAACGTTTTCGTTTCGCTCCCGGGCGGAACCATCAACTTACCATGGTGATCTTCTGGTTCATATCGTTCATCCCGTCTGTCGCATACGTCCAAGGTTCGATCTTGACCACGGCCCCCTCGGGGAGTTGCATCTCCTTGATCGCGGCCTGCACCCGGCTGTCACCGAGGCAGGCCGCTTCGGTCTTCTGCATATCGTTGGCGTCGACGTGAGGATGCCGGCCGAGAAGTTGCTCCTTGCCCACGACCTCTCCGGTGTCCACGTTCACCTTGAGTTCGTAAAAGTGCGCGCTGTCGCGTGGCTGCCCAAGAAACACCTGAACCGTGGCGAGACGAGGCGGCCTTTTCAACGTCTGCGACTCGACACCACCACCCTTGCTGTGCTCATGCTCGAGAAAAGTCACCATCTCGGCCTTCACAGGCTCTGCGAGGGTGATGACCCGGAAATATGCTTCGCCATCGGGAAACGCTGCGCGGACATGCTTCGCGGTCTGGAACCGGGTCAATTCGTGATCGCTTGCAGGAATACTTCGAGAGCCATCCTTACTTGAGAGATCTCTTGAGGCGTGAGGGGATCCAAGGGGTGTGGACCCATGACTGCCATTTCTTCTAGATTGATTCCTTGTGGTAGCTTGCCAGCATCCGCTCCAAATTATTTGTGCCAAAGTCGACCTCGTTCCTGATGTAAAGGGAGTACAGACTGGTAACTTACTGGCAATGAAAATGTTTACATGCTGGTAAAACAACAAGTCGAACCTAATGTGGATCTACGCCCTCTGACAAGACGTGAACTGCCAAGGGCAGTAGGAGTAGGACGCATCTAAATCCATACCTCCAAAGGTTGAGGCTCGGTGGTCCAATGCTTTTGTGAAAGACACGGAGGAATCCGCTGGCGATGAAAGCAGTCAAGTATGTAACTGTCGGATATTGGCGGTTCTTGGGCCGTCTCTAGGCTAACTGACTTGGGCATCTGAAAGCACGCTGTCTATGGGCAGCAGACTAATACGCAAAAACAAATTGCTTGTACCCGGTATACCATAGGAGATCATGGACAGAATGATGGTTGAAGGGAAAGACTGCTACTCCTTTCGGTGTTGAGACTGTTTCGGCCGTAGACGAGCAGATGTTCTAGGGGTCCGAAGTTGCTTCCTCACACGCCAACAAGGTCCAGACGCACTCGAGGCGTGCTGATGCAGTCTCGATATGAGTAACGCAAGCAGTGATTAGCGGCGAGTCGACAAGCTGTCCATCAGAAGGGAAATATCAATGTTCCTGCCAGGGGTTTCACGTGCGGTTCGTCGCTCAATCACATCAGCCTGCGCAGTGCAACAACAAAATGTTTGGGACCTCTGAGAAACAGCACACGCACACAAGTCGATGCGCAATTGTGAGTAGCCAGCACTTATCAAGCCGTAAAAGTCTTTTCATTGAGATGATCGGCCAAGGGGCGCGATGATTGAAATTATGTCCAAGTCAGAACGCTTGTTGGAGCAAACCCATTCCCTCAACCGGCGCAGGGTATAGAGCCTTTCTTTAGTACAGGGAGGCGAGATTCGTCAGAATAAGTCTGAATAAGAGTGGCTCCATCCAGGCATAGGCCACAAAAAGGGACTAAAAATCTTTTGTTGGTACACTTTTCGTCGCTCTTCGTCGCGTTGCAGCGGGCGGTGGGTTTATTCGACGCCCGGGCCACTGTCGGATCCTTCGCTACCAGCGCCAAAGGAGCCAACCTTCAGGTTCTTGTCTTGCGCAACCATTATTGCGAGGATCTCGAGGATCTCCTTGGGGACGGTATTATCGTAGATGCCGATGAGTGATTGAGGTTCGGGGTAGACCTTGAGTCCCTTGTAGAAGCAAAGCGCGGCACCGATAGGATCAGAACCTGAAAAGTAGAGTCAGTCCATACTGTTTACAGGCCATGGTGATGGTTGTACAGACCGTCACTGGCCATAGCCTCCCCCTGTGCGATTTGTTGCATGAAGAAAGCCTCCTTCTCTTCAATGTCTGTCGGGAAGCCCTCTTCAATTGCCTCCTGAACAGTCCGTTTGATCTCCTCCTGTTTCTGTTTGCCTTGGAACTCGGCCTCCTCTTTGGCTAATCGGGCTTGCCTGCGCGACTCCTTCTTCAGGGCTTTCCGGAACTCAGGGTCGTTTCTCCGCCTGTAATCGAAGTACGCGGCATATGCTGATAGAAAGTCAGTTGCCAAAAGTCCAGCTGAGAATGTTTTCCCTTCGTGAGGCATCGACGCACCAATCAGGCCTGTGACTACCGTCCCGACAGATATTGACACGATCGTCGAGGTCTTCATGATGAGGATACGGAGAGGCAGGCCCTGGAGAGATGTGGCGGCACTCTGTGTATGACGACAAGAAGTAAAGAATGCAGAGTATAAGAAGCAGAAATGCAAACGGAAATGGAAATGGATTCTAAGAAAGTAGTCGTATCGAGATGAATGATTTTCCGGATAGACCTGGAATGATACTTGGTGTACTGCAGCTTTGGGGAAATTTCGCAGCTTTGCAAACGAAAAAGGCCATCAACGACTTTGGCAAGCCGCAAGTTGAGCGACTTCACTTTGTGGCGTTAATGATCCGCACTAATTATACTGTGGATCATTTGGACCACCTGAGACAAGCTCAGCCTCGCCCCTGACCCAGACTTGTACTCAACACCCACTCATCGACTGTAGCAAAGAACTCCATATGCACTGGGTATCCTCTGTTTACCTCGGTATCCCCTAACTTACAGAAAGGTCATCATGCACGGTAGTCAGTGACGCCGGAATTCCCATCCTTAAACCGCCGCCATTCAGCCGTAACACCTTCCCCAGAGTCTCATGCCCACGTTGGTACAATTTGGGTTCAGACGAATTTTGTACAGACCTCCTGGCATCCGGCGGACTGGAAGCAGACGCAGCTATTGAAGTCCTTTTGGATTGAGGACATTGGACAGACGCAACAGCCTGAATCTCACACGCTCAAACCCTTGTGTCGTGTGTTACCCAGAGTATGTTGGCTGCCCCGAATGTTGACTTCGCAGTTTCAATCAACAACGCGAGCAGACTCTTCCGCCGCTGGGGATACATCACTACTCGTACACATACATATGTCTCTCTGGCGTATACATACACCTACCGACTCACAGTGTTTAGTCAGGCACAAACTCGACCCACTGCAACTGTGACACGTGCGTGTGCCCTCGCATCCGCACCCCAGCAAGCTCGAAAGCCAACAGCAAGCGACGCCTCGCAGGAATAGGCTTCTTCTGACGACGAATAAAATGGTCTCTTCGCTATACCAGTTCCGAAATCTCGCAGAGATACCTGAAAAACTGTGGATAATCCTGTGGGGGAAGGTTCACGCGGAAGGAGTCAATCCTTCGGGTAACAAGGGGATTCACGACCCTCCTGTCCGCAGGAATGCATGCACCGACAAGACGCTTGTTTTCTACCTTCGTTCCCTCAGATCAGACACTTGTCCGGTGCTTCGGTGGTGGCTGGCAGAAACGGAATGGATTCGCTGTTCGCGTATCCGTCACTTCGCAGCACTCGCTTTGATGTCCCGAAAGCGCAATGCGTTGAATTTCCCAAGATGGGACTGCCACATGGAATCTCGTTCACTGCTTCCCTGGACCTTGCGAGCGTTCTAGGACCAAAGCAAGGCATTCAAGTAAGGCTTAACACAGACCTGCAAGCCAATTACAAAGCGCCCCAACACTGTCTCCAGCTTGGTGAGGGATAGCTCTTGGTCACCTCACCAATGACTTACTCATCCGCCGACTTCCAGTGTCCTTTTGTCGCCAAGATGACGCAGGGTACATCTCCCGTGGTACATTAATCAGCAGAAAGAAGGTCACTGGCATCGTGTCCGTCCATCCCCAGGAGAGCTCAATATCCTCGAGATAGCTGGCTGAAGTGTCCGGAAATCGCGATCACAAGTCGACATCTGCTGCCTGGGTCGTTCGGGATGGGCATCTATGATCTTGCAAATCATTTGCTGTGACGTCTCGAGCCATGGGGGACTTATAACATGATTCTGCATCCACTGTCAAATCGATCAGCCGAGGCTATCATTGGATGTTGTGGTGCGGTTCGCGTGGCACATGCCAGGGGGGGGGGAACAGCTGAGGTGAGTATGCAAATCTGCTCAGCAGAGACGCATATTCCTGTCCATGCTCACCTTGTTACCCTATCCTAAACGAGTCCATGGTCAAATACCTAGAAGGAGAAAGGCAAAGCTCGGAGCCGCACCTTCATTGACCTATAAAGGTGGCTCCCAGCTCCGGCAAGACGGAACAGGCCGAGCAAGCCTCTCCAGTCAAACTGACAACGAGAAGGGTGGCATGAATTGTGCGAGATCCGTCCAATAGCATGGGAAGCAGCTTCGACTCTAGTGAAGAAAAGGTACGTATCCCGAACCCTGTGATTGGTGGGCACAAAATAGATCCTGAGTTAAGCGCTATGTAAGCAGACATCTGACGGCACCAACGGCAGCCAGCAACGAACTTCAACCAATCTAGACTGATGTAGACGAGCAAGTGGCTACAAAGACCTTCTCAATTGGATGACCTGAACCGATCCTCGACCAAATGCTCGATCCGCGGGAAACTGGTAGGGATTTGAGCACCATGATTGGTGTCTTGTCGTTCAGTGCCAGAGTTGCCCGGCTCCGCATGTATGCAGGGTCAATGCGCAGTACCGAGTACGAAATACATTTATCGAGGAGTCCCCAGAGATTGCGGATTTCTTCATCAGAGCCGGACTCCAGCGAACATGGGCAGTTGTACAGCTCTTCAACAACGGGGCCTGAAACGGCGGGGAACTCACTCTGTAAGATCGCCCTGTCACTCTTTTGTGGGAAAAGCCCTCCTCATGTGTGTATCGTGATAGAATAGTCGGGGACGGCCGCCTGTGTGCGACTTACGTCAGTCGGAGGTCGACGACAACATCAGAAGGCTTCAAAACCAGGTTGTCAAACTCAAGTTTGAGTGTAAAATCCTGCAGCAAGCAAGAGATGACTCAGTCATGGTAGCCGCACAGATGATCAGGGAGATTGAACGATTGCAGGGAATCCTCAACTCCATGCTCCAGCAAAAAAAGGAAATCTCCAAGGATGATTCGCCTTGATCAATAAACAACAAACAAGTTTGGTTTGGGGTCGAATTTTCACGTGATGAAGAGATATCCCATGAGCTTTGGGCGTGCGGAACCGAGAAAGCCAAACCGACCATTCATTTGAGCGCCCCATTCTATTGATGCCGTTATCGCATGCAATGGGATAGTCACTCCTTCGAAATGAAGCGCCCCTTACTGTCGACTGTGGAACCCAAAAGCAATCCCCAAGATGGACTGGGAGGTCTTCTGTCGGGTTGCATGGTGCAGGACTGGGTCAAAGGCGAGCCCGGGGGATTCCACCACAACGGCGCGGTAATATGGCATTTGGAGCTTCCAATGTTAATGGAGCTCGTCGAGAGAGTGAAGAGACGAGACCATGGGTTCATTTTCCTCTAGCAGAATGGCGACGCTTCAGCAGTGTTGCAAAGAGAAGAAGATCGTCCGAACCATTCATCGATCAATGATGCAAGTGGGCCTTCCAGATCGAAGTACCTGTCGGCGAAACTAATGCTAGACGAGCCCATTGATCCATAGGCTAGGGTTCCCCGAGATCGATCTGCCAGGAAGGTGGTACTGGCAAGTCCAAGAGAAGTTCTGCTCTTGAACACAATACTGTATTCGAGTCAGTGGCTAATGTTCCACCCCCCAATGGAAGGGATTGAGACGATAAGATCACCTGTGAAGTCTTCCAAATCCTGGGATACAAGCAGGCTTCGAAGAGTACTTGAACCGTTACCAGTAACATATTCCTAACCTCATCACTGGTGCTGGCGGGCGATATTGTTCTCCAGAGATTGTAATGACAGAGACACTTCAGCTGCTGTGAAGTCGATAAACAATCGTGTCCGATCTCCTTCGTTCGGCTGAGAGCATGACAACGAAGTAATGCCTGACTCGAAGCAAGGGTAACGTGTGTCACTAAGTCCCAATGCGACTTGCATGCTATCAAAATATCATTTTGGCAGCCGAACACCTGGACAGTTTCAGTGTCTTCTGTGGTATTAGCATGCTCATGGTCGGGCAGACTGGTCGTACGGATTTTGTCGGGAAACAGCACCAACCAGATCCCTTTGCAATGGATTTTCGATTCTCCATTCGGATATATTCCGTCAGCCTCGAATCAAAACTGGTGGTGGTATGATCGCTGTGTAGCAGCGGTGTCGCGTAGACATCACACCGCTCAACCTGGTGGCGTTGAGCTGGAGTAGCAAGCCACACGAATACTCGACTTTTCTGTCGAGGCGACACGATCTTCCTAGGTGTTACACACGGACGCAACTCCCATACTCTTGCCCCTCGTGGCGTAAGATTGGAAAATGGAAGGAGTTGGTCTACAAGATCCCTGCTTATTGAGGTAAAGGGTGGCTGGGAGAGAGAGGCTACCGAAGCACAGCGTCATATTACGCAGGCGTCCGGGAGAGGAGCATCCATTAGTTGCAGGTCCAGCGGAGTAGATGAGACAACGAACGACTTGGTATCATCTTGACGCAACAGGAGCTGACTTCGACCCAAGCCAGGTAAATACCCAGGTGCGCCTTGCAGAAAACGAAAGACCGGCCGAAAACAGACAGGACCTTGCGTTGTAGGAGTGGTACCTAACTTCAGCAACGACTGAGACTCACTAGCTTTGCGCTGAGAGCCTTGTCCTCCCTCGACCTAGTACGAGTAGACCTGAGAGGGCGGAAAATTCTTGCAGCAGCGTCACCCTCAGGCACGTGCAGACAGCTATTACTCCTTGAAGCTGCATTGAGTCGTGTTGGTACTTGGTCACAACATATGACGGCTGGGACACACAACAACTGATCTCTTGGTATGCTCTCGTCTGCAGTACCTCGTACGTGCCTCGTCATCCTCACACTGAGCCGGGAGTGGAGAACGTGATTTTTGGCCGGAAACGTCGAAAATTCACACAGGCAGCTTGGGATACGGCCGCCTGCCGATTGGCTCTGAGGATGGCCATCCTTTAGCGTGGGCGCTTAGATGCAGAAGCGTGCTGGGCCGCCTCAAGCCTAATGACTCTGGCCGAGTACCCAGCAACTCCCCCGTATGAAATTGTTCCACACTCTTCATCGACCCAGTGCTTTAGCTTTGGGGGTGGGCCAAGTCCAGGGCTTGGATTGTCTGCTGAAGACAGGTGACGAACGTGACAGACGTCTCGCAGACAGCATGAGGAGCCTGGAAGAACGTTGATGGAAACAACTCGGCTGTCTTTGGCTTGTAGGTCATCACCTGTGGGAAAACGGTTGGAAACATTCACAACGCCACCACAGAAAGGGCAGCATGGGGGTCGGACTCTCGAGTCTTGGAGCTGGCTCGCCCCGTGGCTTGCGGCGCGTCTCCATGCGACCGATCGACGTCAATTCTCCGATTCATTGATCGTATCTGCTCTTCTTCTGTGAATATCAGTCGTTGCACATTGCGACTCTGAACATTCCATTATAACTGCACTTGTAAAGGAAATCAATTGCATTGTACAAGGGAGGTAGCGATTGGCAGCGCAACGAGAAGTGGCACTTCCGTCGCCCGCTCGTCGCGGGAACCACGGGCACCACTGCAGGTCATAGGCCTTGCTCGCGCCGGTCTTGTTGGAAAGTCAGAAACCCTCTGGGCTTGGGGTCCCTTTCGCGACAACGGGAGAGGCTCATATAGCTATCGAAGACCTAGGGGAGAGAACTGGCCCTAAACTTAGATCTTCGTGCAGCTTGTGGAGGGGCAGACTCGGTATACAAGGTCGAATAGCCGAACTGAAGATTGTCCGCGTACGCAGGTAAGGCAGGTTAGCTAGCAGATTAGTACGCTGCCAACCTGCGCAGAACCGTTTCTTTCATTATTTCCCCACGAAAAAATTCCTGTGCTGGTCTCTTGTCAGGTTCGTGTCATTCTGTGAAAGGTGCAACAGATCGAACAACGGTCAACTTGTCCCAACACGATAAAGTCTAGCTGTGACACTTCTGGCGCTCGAGGGCTATCTTCTTAGAATTTGTGCGATTCCGACCTGGACTTGCGATGTCAAGGTCAGCAAGCGAGAGACAGTCCACGGTAGCGATATATAAGACCTTCCAATGTACACAGTTGTATAACCGCTGAGGCAATTTGTGAGGAGATTAGGCGGTGCGAATTGGTATTGGGGACAACTGGAGTCGATGGGGGCCCTCTGCCCGCTGCATCACAGTGGGGTGCAATGGTCAAAGTGATGAAAGTTAGACAGGGAACAGTGCGGTCGAGTCTTGAGTGTGCTTGTTATTGTGATTGGAAAGAGATGCATGGGTCGGTTGAAGTTGGGCGTGTGACGGCGACCAGGTGGCAGCCAATCGTGCTGCTGTAAGCGCCCAAGCCTGGCCCGAGCATCATCTCGTGCCTGTCCATCCACCTCTCATCCCACCCTCCTTCTGAATCCTCACTCTTGTCTTCCATCCCAGATCAACCTGCATTCGAGCTAGAAGCAGGATTTGCCATGATTCGACCATGCCGCCCAATTAATGCAGGCTCACATGCCGCTCGCTGCGGGGCCGCAATCAAGCGCCCGCGGGCCAGTAAAGCTTCACAGCTGTGTTTCCATCATGTCGTTGGTACCTCGATAGCCATGACTACCTACTTCTCGAATGGCTACAGTTCCTGTCAATTGCCTTTGTCTGCTTTCGCTGCGCTGCGCCTCATTCTTCACTTTCGAGTGGAACTTGACGGTCCCTTGGGCCTGTGATCCCGTAACCTGGGAGAGATTTCTGTTTCAGCAGTTCATTTCCTCTGGAACCACCTCTCTCGTACTATCTGGTTAACGGTCTCCGGTACCTACGCCCGCTGGGCAATATTTCCCCGAATCTTATTTCCTCTCCTGATCTAACCACGATATCGCCCGATCTGTCTTGTACCCTATAAGCTCGTCTGCAGGACCGAGAGCCCTCCGCGGTTACGTTGGCGCCCATCGATTTGTACGTCCTTGGGCTTCAACAAGTCAATCGCGGAGGAGAAAAAGAGAGGAGGAACATATCCTGTCGCTAGCCACTCCCTGGTTCCACGGCCGAAAGTCCAGTCGAGATCCCAATAACCGATACTTTGGAAATACCCAGGTGAATCTTCGTCGAGGCCATGCCATCGTCATAAGCCGGGACTGTACAGCGAAAGAGGTACTCAGAAGCCATATCGTCCTACAAACTACCGTTCATAAAGGTGCTGATACCCGCCGTCGCAGTTCCCCTTCGCTGTGGACTCGATTCAACATGTCTGCAGGTCCAGGTCTGTCCAGACAGAGATCTATCTCGGGCAAATCCAAGGGAGTAATACTCCCACCTGTCCCCCAGACGAATCTGTCTTCCCAAGATGCCGCCTTCGAACCATGCGCATCAACTGCCGCGCTTCTCCTGTTCGCCCACGGTTCGACAGTCATATGTCTGCATCATGATACATTAGCTGTTGAGCGTCGGTTTGAAAAGCACTCCAAGGATATTCGACTGATATCTGCCGATAATGTCAGCGAAACTGGGGCTGGAAGGCTGGTTATCACCTACGATGTTGGACGGACGGCCATCGTCTGGGACTTATTCACTGGCGAGCAGCTCTCCCGCTTTGTGTCATATGAAGATTTGACAGTTGCGCATTGGATGAGAAACGGGAATGTCGCCTTTGGTAAGTTGATATGGCCCCGGCGCCCAATTGCCGCCCTCTGCTAATACCCTACAAGGTAACGCAAAGGGGGAGGTTATTTTGTTCGAGCCAGCAACAAGTGAGCATATTTCGGCGCGGACGATATTCGACCCCATTACCGCGATAGCCCCGTCTTCGGATTGTAAAACATATGCCATCGGGTGGGTAACTTGCATAGTCCAAGAGTGACGAAACTATACTTACAATCAGCAGATATAGGAATGGGTCCATATTGTTGGCGGCATTACAACCAGCATTCACGATTCTGCATACTCTGACAACACCCCGCGCGCCGTCGCCAATCGTTTCTTTGACATGGCACGCTTCATCGTCGAAACAGAAGTCCGACATGCTTGCCACTCAAACAGCTGACGGCGACCTGCGAGTCTGGAGCGTGTCCAAGCCACCCACAGCCGAGGCGCCCCGCGTTATTCGCGTCTTGAAGCGTACCGACACCTATGTCCCGGGTCGAAATTGGATTTCGTGGTCTAAAAATGGACGAATCGTTCAATTCATCGAAGGTAAAACCTGGTCTTGGGACGTGCGAACCAAGCATGTCACATTCGAGCCCATTCCGACAGTGGACGGTGTCCGAGCCATCGCTTGTCACGGACCGACAGGAACCCTGTTCACTTTGGGTCCAGACTATACAGTGCAACAATACGATGTCGAGAGGGCGCTTTTGGTCGCAAATATACGGCATTTGCCATTAACTGTCCCGCCGACCCCGCCAGAGGATACAAGAGGGCCATTATGGACGACGTCTGAAAGCGAAGAAGAGCTTGCATCTCCTCTTGTTCGGGCCCGGCGTGAACTACGTGCCTCTGAGGCAGCGAGGCATGAACGGAACAACATTCCTAGCCCTCGATCAGCTCTGAGTTCTCAGAAAGGTAGTTTGAAGAACGGGGCTAACGACATCATCTCACCTGCCGGGAAAACAGATTATACAACTACATCAATTGACACTGGCATTCAGTCACAACCAACTATGAACCAGCACTCCATGCAGCTGCTCAGTCTGCCTCACCAACCCCAGTCGCCTGCAAGTTCAAGGACAGCTAGGAAAGGATCCCGCTTGAGGCAAGAAGTCATTATGAGTCCTGAGGAGGCGCTGGTTGCAGAGCTCTTCCCTTACACTAGGGCCCGGCTACATGATGTGCCGTATCGACCCCCTAGGTCCCTTGATGAAAGCCACATGACCCCTGACGATTTGCGAAGGCAGATGCTGAGTGTTGTGTTCGGCTGGGAAGAAGACATCCAAGACCTTATTCGCGATGAGTTGAGCCGCCATCCCAGTGAAAGCCAGAACGCCATCTTCCTCGCCAAATGGCTAGATGAGGATCCCGACTACCTGGCGGAGATTATGGGCTCAACGGGAATTGTCTCCAGTCTGGACTGGATGCTGTTGGCTTTGGGAACAATTAGCAACCAGGTGGGGGCGAAGAAGATCACTCAAGTCTTCATCGAGAAGCTGCTGGCAAGGGGCGATGTCCATGCTGCAGCTACTCTTCTGCTCGCACTGGGTGACCGGAGTGATGCGATCGAAGTCTATGTGTCAAGGAATCAATACATGGAGGCCGTCCTACTGACCTGTCTTGTCACGCCAGATGACTGGCAGAGGCAGTCGTATCTGGTGCGTCGATGGGGTGAACACGTTGTCGAGAACTCACAGCAATCACTTGCTATCCGATGCTTCTCGTGTACTGGTGTCGAAGTTTCCGATCCTTGGACTTCACCAAATGCTCAACTTGCCACAAGAACGATAATGGAACCAGTCTCAAGTCCACAGTCAGCCCACCTGCAGCCGTTGGAACCGATGGAGTATCCTGCCATCTTCCAGAAGACTTTGGAGAGACGGCGGACACTCGACGCTCCAACACCAGTAGCCATGCCTCCGCCTCATATTCTGTCGGCTATCCATCAACCACCCACACCATTCAGGACTGCCGCTGCTCAAGGGACAAGGATAACGCCTCAAACCTCGGCTTTGAAACTCATCACTTCCTTCGGAACCCAACCAAATAACAATTTTAAATTCCCTGGACTTAAGCCTGAAGACCGGACACCAACCGTCGCCCCTGCTGTGACACCGATTGCGGAATCCGCCATTGATAGATCTGCTGTATCACCTGGTGGTCTAGGTTCCTACCGGCTGAACAACATTCGCAGCATCAATAGCGCCCTCTCGGCCAAGACCGCGACACCGGGGGGTTTCCAGCCAAGTCGATTAACGGTAATTGGGGAAACACCTGTCGACGTCGAGGCACCTCAATTCTCAAGTCCTTTGCCGCAGAGATCTGTGTCTGTTCCTGCTGAGATGACATCGTCCAAGGCGGCAGATGTTGAGCAACAAGCTTCTGCCGTGAATGAACCACAACGAGGAAAGCAGTCTTTGACATTGCTGACATCCGCACGATATGAACCACTTACCACCCCAGTGAAGGAAACGCCCCAGACAGCCGTTGGACCACAAACCGCTATCAAATTTCCGGGGCACAGCACGCAATTCGATGTCGGATTAAGGCAAGATGAATGGCATATGGACACGACACGAGCAAGAACCGGGTCGAAGAGTCGAAAGCCTGATGGACTTTCGATACAAACTCTTCATGTTTCGAACCAAGAATACCTGCCCTCTGCCAGTTATGGAGACGCAATCAGCCGGCCTGCCACCATGGGATCGTACTCAAATACCCAACTCGATACTTCAGGTGACCTGACAAGCCCCCCAACCACTGATCTCAGTTACCGGAGCGTCAAGAGTCCCATTGTTACCGGTCGGAGCATCGATCAGTATATCAGTAGTCTTGAACAAGCTCAGTATTATACAAAGCATTCTCGAGCTCGTGGTTATAGCGGCACTAGCAAGCAGTCGAGGGACGACCAATCAGAGCGGAAAAAGAGCAGGGCCAATAACGTGGAGGATAGTGGTGAGAGAGAACCCCGACGAACCATTCCAGCAGGCAAACGCTCGCCCTCTTCCCCAGTCCCGATGTCACCAGAGGATCTACGCATGTACAGCACCAGCGTCGAAAGCTTTGACTCGATGTATAGTTCTAATTTCTCCGGGGTTGATCGATCGGGGACTCCTGGAAGTATGTCGAAACTGAGTCGTCGTGGATCTCAATCAACTGCAAAAGGGGGGAAAGCTCGCAAGCGATCACATTCTAGACACACTGGTCCAAGAAGCAAGACGGGCAGCCGCGGCGCAAGTCGGCAGCAAAGCCCAGACCCTGCAATCTTTTCACCTAGAGGTCGAAGCTCCTCTCGCAAAGAGAATCTAGGGCACCGTTCTCCATCATCGCCCCGACCAATGATTCCGTCTGAAGAAGACCGACAAAGCCGTTTCGACCAAGATTCCGCGCTGAGGCTAGTCTCCAAAGACCGACACCGCCTCCACCGAAGCACAAGTCGTCAACCGCATCGTGACACGAGTGCAAAGAGGGATAAATCACCCGATCGACGAAGACTACGTACCAGATCCCGCAGCCGTCAAGCCGAAGAGGTTACTACACTGAGTCGAAAGGCAAGCCGCAGTGAGCATCACCGCCGACATCGCCGCCCCAGTGACGCGACCTACGACCGAAGCGCCCATCCTGACGATCCTGAGGACATGAGCACACTGAACAGCATACTCGCTGCGCAGGACCTGATGCCAAGGTCTGCTAGCCAGCCTCAATTTACATCAGAACGAGAAAGGAGAGAGTTGCGGGCAGAGCAGCCTCAAGCTTCGAGGGACCCTCTAACCCGGCGACCTTCTGTGCCCAACGTCCCTCTTACAAGCGAGCTCTCTGCACACAACAAATCAGCTTCGACAAGCAACCTCTTGCCACCGCTCACAAGGGCCTATACCCACGAGGGGCCGATCACTACGCCTTCGTTCGAAGATGGTAGTCTGGGTAGACAACCATCCGGTCTCGGGCTCGTTGACGCGAGGCCAGGAACGCCCCGGGCTATGCAGATCGATGTCCCAGTGGGCGAGGCTCAAGAAGCCCAACCGGATCCTGGCGCCGACGGTACGGAGCTGTTAACGAGCGACATTTACCAGCCGCCGATCCGTGAAGACATCAGCAGACCTGGCTCCGCCCGTGCACCAGTTTCCTTGGAATTCCTTTCTCAGATACCCAAGCATCCCGCCTACGACCGTCGCATCGCGGGTAGTAGATCAAGCAGCAAAGGAGCCGAAGCTCGCGCGAACTCTCGGAGTCGAGGTACATCTCGCGACCGCACTGCGCGTGTATCTCCGCGTGAGGTGCCCCCAGGCACAATGGCAACTCCACCCTTAGGGACTCTTGAGACAGCAGGCGCAGCAAACATTACATCCTCCCCGCCGCAGAACCCACCTATTCTTCCAGAGTTGCAACACCTCGCTCAACCACCACCGCCACCTCCTCCGCCTCCGCTTCTGGCGAAAGCGTCCTCTTACGCTGGAGGCAGTCCTAACCTCTCCAAGTCACGCGGCTTTGAGCCATTGGATACCACAGCTGCGGCGCTACCCATGTCTGCCTTCCCCACCCACACTACGTTCTACGATGCCGCTTCGAATGCTGGCAACACATTGCCTTTGTCTGCCGGAGTTCTACCCTCAAGCACAGGTCACAAACGAGGACGGTCCGGAAACGACAACCAAAGTGGCGGCTCGGGGGGTCAGTTGTTGAACAAATTAAGAAGTTTCACGGGTCGAGCGAGGTCTCCTAGTCGCGGCAGGAGAGGTGGTGATGACAACCAAGCCATGAGCCCGAGAATGGTTCAAGCTGGCGAGAATGTACAACCGGCACCATATGAAAGCATTCCGAGCGCCATGATTGGCAGTGTTGGGACTTGAGACGAGTTCAGTGTGACGAAAATTGCTATTGCACCTGGGGGAGTTATTCACTCAGGGGCGACTTCCAGGAAGAGAACGAGTCGGAAATGGTGAGTTGACTTGTTATGAAGGAAGCGTTGAGAACCAAGAAAGTCTTGGAATGACTGTTTGAGGCTGTTTCCTCATGTTTTGAAAAGCGCGAGTCAAGAGATTGTTACCAGTGGCTCTCGCGGGCTCCAAAAGCAACTACCGCTATTGAGCGAAGCATTCAATTCTCGACGATCCTTGCTCATGAGCGATTGCAGTTTTGGGGAGAATTTGGTCGTTGTACGGGATTGGGACATGGAATATGGCCCAGGTCAAAGTAATACAGTGATGGATTGGAAAACCAGGACAGTGGCAACGAGCCAACAGCAGATTTCCATATTCCAGGTTATGGGATGGGGAGTGGATGGGTTATGCGGATATACATGGGATACCGATCTCGACTATCTATCTAGTGTAGATACCTAGGTACCTACCTAGGTAGGTATCTTGTCAATGAGATGGCCCGTATTACCGTGTATTCCATTGAACATATCAGGCCCTCATCTCCCGTCCCGTTCTTTCATCTATTTGTCTCGGTTGTTCCGGCCTCCATGGCTCTTGCCTGGGGCGTAAAATGTCCGTAGTAGAGGGTAGTGAAGGGGCTGGGAACTCATGGCCAAGGAAGCTCACATGGACGCGTTCGTCGTCGGATCGTCTCAAGTGATGATGTCGACAAAGAGAGAAGCGATCATGCGTAGAAAAGGAGAGGTCTGGGAAGATCTGGCTGGGCAGGGCAGGGCAGACAAACCACTCAAGTTCTCTTATGGGAGTTTATCCCGCGGTTTGCTGGGTATAAATAATCTATCGACGGGGCTGACGAACGGATGGTGTGAGAAGTCGAGTCAGGTCTCCTGTTTCATTCCTTTCCGGTGCTATCACATGCAAGGGACATGAAGCTGCATGCGCCTAGGGAGCCTTCGTTCTTCGCGTGTTGTTATTGTTGTTATAGAAAGGCACTAGGGTTGATCTCTCCGTCATACAGCCTTGGTCGACAGGAGATCAAGTCCCTTTTGTAATTCCCCGTTTGCCCTGGCCTCGATATTTTGTCGGCCGGGCTGCAAGTGGTCTGGTGGATCGAATGGAGTGATGGGGATGACGATTCGGGATGTGGCAGATGGAGCCCAAGGGGAATGTGAAGCATGTGTGCTCCCCGTCGGAGGATTTTCTCCTTTAGAGGAGGTCATGTCGTTGCTGAACCCGCCAAGTCTTCCTTCCTGCTCAGCGAGGAGCCGCATGTCGGTAAATCCTGTGTCTGGAAGTGTTCGGTCCTGGAGGTCCTGTACCTTAGGCTAGATAGCTAACATGGCGCTTTCAGCCGCTGTCTCTGGTTTCTGGTGCTGTGCACACATCTGGCGTGCTCTTGAGTATTGGAAACGTCCTCAGCGTTCCACGTGGGTTTGGCCATGTTCGTTTCCGGCCGATGTGGTCTCGTCCGAAGAGGGGATGTAGACACCAGCACCATCAGTCGTTATTGACCCCAACTCAACCAGACCCTGGGTAGAAAACCGAGAGCTCATCAAACCCTCAAGCTCTCTTTTTGTTCCCCTTTTCATCCGCCATCTTTTTCACCCGGCATCTGCATACTGCGATCACGATCACAACTCAGACTCCCCCACCACTCCTCCCCACCGCGACGCTCAGGTCCCGGTCCTTCCTACTCGCTAGATACCGCTGTTTTTCCTTCTCGGCCTGGATCCAATTCCGCCGGCCCTCCTCCTCGAGGAGTCTCGTGCGTTCGCGGGACTGCGATTCGAGACGGCGCAGCCACAGGTAAGAGGTCACGGGGATGAAGACGACGGCGGCGAGGAAGAATTTCTTGGAGCGCCTGTTTTATTTTCTTTTAGTCACCCAAATTATGCACAGCCAGGCCAAGGGGGGATACGTTTTGTAAGAAAGGTGTGATGGTGATGATGGTGAGGAGGAGGAGGAGCAGCGTAGTGGAAGATGTAAGGCAAGGTGTGTCGAGGCGTTCGTTACTTACGTGAGGTAGGGACCGGGACGGTATCCTGGGATGGAGCTGTGCGGTTGGGAATTGGACGCGGGAGAAGGGGGAGGCATCGTGACGAGCGTGGTGGTCGAGGCAGGAAGCTTTGAACGTATGTATCGACCGGACGATCCGAACACAGAGTTTAAAAACGCTGGTGATCTCGCCGTTACAACCTCGAAAGTACCTGGCTAGTGAAAGACGTGTTCTTGCTTGCTCTAAGCAAACCACGTAGACGACGACGACGGCATGCACCGGCGGAATGCTGGTTGGAAAAAGGTCGGGATTGCCCGCAGGAGGAACAAAGTCACTCAATACTTCATAAATTGATACGAGGTAGATCATTCGTCTCCGCACACAAGCTGGACTGCGCCGCAAGCTCTTTTTTGCTTTGTTAAGCCGTTCAATGGAGCTTTGGTGCGCGAAGCGATTGGCGCGGGTCACAGTTGGCGGGGGCGCGACAAGCGGAGAAGGAACCGAGTTTGGCGGGGGATCGCAGGCATGTACGAGGTATTGAGCTGACATTATTTCATACACCACAATGGTCCCATGTCCATGATATTCGTCTTTCACGGCAGCATATTCACCCCATAGTTGGATTGGTGTGAATTGACTTCCCCGTAGTATATGTCCCATCGAAATCCATGAGCTTCTGTAAGTCCAGTGGTCGCTGTCAAAAGCAGTGCCAATCAATACCCGAATGCTACTTTGAAAGTATCTGCGTTAAATCGTTTTGTCCGCATGATTAACGCCTGCAGGAGACCAGAGACGCTGTATCACTGTGTATCCCCGTCGCAATAGAAAATGCATCAGTTCCAGCTCAGGGAGAGCAGATGTGATCCGAACGAGAGCCCAGCTCACTATTCAACCTTTTGTGCCGCTGCTCTCCCCATTCGTCTCGGGAAGATCCCCGTGGCTCTCATCATCGCTACCACTTCCGCCATCGTCATCATCGTCGTTACCCCCTTCTTGACTCTCTGCCGCGTTGCTCTCGGTATCATCGTTTCGATCTGATATAGGTTCACCGTTCGTTTTCGCTAATCGCTCCTCTTCTTTGAGCATCCGGAGTCTTTCAGTTTCTTTGCGCATAGCCTCAAGGTTCCATGCACCGTCACCACTATCGTCGTCGTCGTCGTCCTCTTCGTCGTCGTCACTATCTTCATCTTCCGAGTCTTTCCAGTTTCCACTTTCAAACATGGCGCGACCCGTAGCATCCTTCGCTTTCATGGCTTCTGCTTCGGCAGCCTTCTTGTCCATTCGTTCTTTCTTCCATTTGGCGAACGACTCTGGTGTCACGGGCGTCAGGGTACCAGTCAGTTTATGTCGTTCGGATTCGAGGAAATCCTCCAGTGTCAGTGTGTTCATCGGAGATTTGTCCATCAATGCCTTCTCGGCCCGCCGCTGTTCCTTGGTTTTTAAGACAAATCTGGTATAGAAAGTTAGCAAGTCTCAGAAGAGCAGAAGATGGCAATCCTCATACCCGGGTGGCAAGCTGTGCTTGTACATGCACTTGTCCCCTCCATTGGGACAAGTCCAAAACCAACCATATTTCCCATCTTCTACTGCTTGGGTGAAGTATTTGCAGACTTTATCCGTAGTCGTCCGAGGGTTTCCATGTTTACTGAGCACCACCTTTCGTAGCTTCTCTTCATCCCAATCCTCCATGTTGTCTTTCTCTTTCTCCTCTTTCTCCTGTTCTCGGGTATCTTGATACAGATCTCTCTTGGCCACTTTCTTTACCACTTCCAGGTCATGACTGAATTTGCATTTCTTTCCCTTGTCACAGTGGCCCTGCTTGAAAAACTGACATAGCACCGTCTTCGGGTCCACGCCAAAGGGGACTTTCTGGACCTGGACGGGCTTGAAGAGTTCAGCGGCCTCGGCTTTTGCCTTTTCGGCTGCTTCCTTCTCTTTCTTTCTCTGTTCTTTTTCCGCTTCTTTTCTCTTCTCTTCAGGGGACTTGTTCGACTTTGCTTGGGCCTGTAGCTGAGCGATCTGTCTCTTTGCGGTGCCGCCCTTCTTGTTTTTCATTCCAAAAGTCTTGTCCTCGACCGAAGCCTTGGACTTTTTCGGCTGTTCGCCGCCTTTGGCCTTGGGGGGCATGTTGGCGAAGATCGGACACGGTCAAAAGGCTGTCGAAGCGTATGGCAAATTTGTTCAAGAGATAGTGGTTTTCTTCAAGGCCAAGGCTGCGCTTCCCTCAACGGTCAGATGTAGCGAAGTCCGGGTGGCCGACGGTCTTGAAAGGGTCGTAAATTGCCAGAAGGATGGGATGGAGGCCAAAGGGTGTGGGTTGGGCAAAGAGTGCAGGCCAGATTCGCTGAAGAGGATCGGATGAGTGGGCGCTGGTGGGCTGTGGATGTTTTCAGTAGGTGGCCACCTGCGTGTTGGTGAGTGTGTGAGTGTGGGGGGACAAATCGCCGACGTCAGTGTAAAGCGTCGCATGAGACAAATCCACAGCTTCCTGCAGGACCTGTAGAGCTGCAGTTGTCCACCGTACCTATACTGCTCGCTCTCGCTCCTCAAATGTTCCATCATTTTTCCCAATGAGGTTCTTACTGTCCTTCCACTGTCAATAATCTCGAGCTGCACGCCCATAGTCGCCGCCGCACATTATGGCGACCGATGGCTCTCCTCCCTCCAGGTATCCCCCATCAATGGGGCCTGGGGCTCGACCCGTCAATAAGCCTGGAGAATCAGAAACAAGATCGAAGTTGCTGGAAGTCATACAGGCACGGTCCAAATACCAGGTGTCTGTCGAATCGGATACGCTGTCTCTAAGCTACGAACTCAACAATACACCACGCCTCTACCGCCTCTCATTTGACAATATGCCTCTGCATGGTCTTTCAAGATGGTGGGTATATGGTGGATCTATGAGGGCGCGGAGGGCAGGTGTCCTAGCTATCGACCTCATACGTGGCTCCGAAAACGTGGTACAGAGACCTGTCACCCAACAAGAGGCGGAAGCTCTGACATATTGGACTTCGCGAAGGCTCCTTTACGGTTCCGTGGCCACGTTCGCTTCCTCGGCCTTTGGTTTCTACCTGGCTTACAGAGGTCGCGCCAAGATGAAGTTCCCTTTCGTCTCAGCAAAGCCTTTGGAGCGGTACAACAAGTTCCCTCTTCAACAGATGCCTCTTATAACCGGTCAATTGGCTCAAACAGCCTGGCAAGTGACAAGGTATATCATCTGGATAGAGCTGTGTTTCCTGGTCGGCACCCCCGTCGTTGGAGCTTTAGGTAGTTTCAGTGCAGCCACAGGGATGGCTACCGATCCGCGGACCCAAGGGCTCATCCAGGCAATGCGAGAAAGAGGACGTGGCGACATGAATCGAACACTCTCAAATATCCCGATGGAATGGCCTCAGCAGCCTCAAGGGCAAGATGATGGCCGAGACGCACAACCCGATCCCCAGGCATATTACAGAGATATGGAAAGCGGCAGTCATCCAGATGGCTCCGTCATCGATCGCAACTTCGATGGTGACGGCAGCGGAGCGAGCGACACTGGTATGCTGGATGACTCTAGAGTAACGGATCGTGAGAGAAAACAGCAGCAAGGATATCAAACACCGCAGCCATCACGGCAGATGCAGGACAATACATCCGCCACCTCCTCAGCCGACGGCGATCCCTTCTTCTTTGACGATGCATCCCCTACCGCCGGAAACGACCCGGATATGGCCACGCCGTCATCTTACAAGCGGTCCGGAGGCGGGAGCGTCTGGGAGCGCATTCGAAGGGGCAATTCTCCTTCGTCCGCCAACTCGTCAACAGCGCCCTCCGACGCCGAACTTCGCCGTCAAAGACTCGAAACCGAACGAGCTCGTGAAGCCCGTGCGAATCCGATGGCAGAACGCGACTGGGAAAGCGATGAAAGCGTCCCGTCCAACAATGAGACAAGGTTTGGTAGGGACGGGCGTGCCAGAGAACAAGCGCAACGGGAATTTGACGAGATGCTGGAAAGGGAAAGGAGACAGAGCGGGAGCGCCGAGTACGACAAGGGAATGGCAGCTGTAGAGTCAGGCGAGGAAAGAAGGTCAGGGGAAGGGATGAGTGCGTGGGAGAGAAGGCGGAGGGGCGATTGAATACGGTCCGCTCAAAGCAAAAACGTACTTTCTGGAAAGGGACATCGAAAAGTATTCCGGTTCATTATGGCCTTCAATATTTTGTGGCTATGTACTCTGTACGATATCATGGGCATGGGGTTCAAGGAAGTGTCATATCTTGGGGGGCCACAATCGCCTCTCTTTTTGTCAGGGCCATTGACGAACTATCCTATATCATATTTTGCCCTATATAACCATAGCATAACATTTAGCATACCAAGGAGGTGCAGAGAAAAGTATCAAAAGCATACATGTGTGAATGAGTGTTATCGAGGTTGTGGACACCAGATTATCAACCAAAAAGTCTCTTTCCCACAGTTTTTGGGGGGCGGATCACTTCCAGCTGAGCACGCTGGTCCGTGGATAGATGGCCACAGATCGGGATTGCGCATCATATACGAGGTATACATATATTCTACCGCAGGTGCAAGCAGGGGTAGCAGTGGTCTGGGCTAGCGTTTTGTCTACACTACCCCGGCTATATACGGGGGACCGAGGAGGAAACCCAGAAGGTCTCACTGACCGGTCCAGCATGGACATGGCACATATATAATAATACAGACTTTCAGTCGCTGCGCGGGTTCCTCGCTTCCCATTTCTCGTACACTTTCGATCCCTTCCTCAATCCGCCCACGGTCTCCCAGACGGTGACGAAGACGATCAGACCCGTGACGGTGCTCAGCAGCTGCACGGGGTCGAAGTGGTCGTGGTGGACCAGGGGTAGGAGGACCAGGATGACGGCGACGACGAGTCTCATGGCGACGCGGGCCGTCTTGGGCAGAATCAGCTCGCAGGACGAGTCTTCCACGCGGAACAGCATCGCAAGGAGCCACAGGCAGAACATGCCCACGCCCAGTCCGCCACCTAGCAGCCAGCGCTCGCCTGAGTCGAGCTCAGCCTGCCCCGCGCTCACGGCGCATATGTGACCGCCGACCAGGAGTGACGCGGCCAGCGGCATGTGCAGACTAAAGAAGGCGAACGCTGTGGTAACGGAGCGCCGAATCGGGTGCACGCTGCTGAGACTTCCGTCGCCGTTCACGTACAGCCAATTAAGGCAGAAGGCGATAATCAGCGTCCACACGGCCTTCAACAGACCCATATTCAGTCCGATCGCGGCAGGATCGCCCACGACGATGCTGTACAGATACTCGCCGAGGATGATGATGTAAAAGGCCGCGAGTCGATCGATTTCATGATTGATGTCCACGGCGGTGCTGTACTCAAGGTTCAGGCGTCTCTTGATCCAGGTCCCGAATGTGATGACCCAGGCGACTTCGTGGTAGACGATGCCCACGACGGCAACAGCGATCTTAGCCCGCAAGCTCACATGTTCAAAATATAGAGGGATCCAGATGAGCACGCCCACCGTGATGAATGCAGCCATGACTCTGGCTTGTGTGCGGTGCTGGAAGCTGGCGAACGAGGAGATGAGGTAGACCGCCGCTACCGTCAGCCGGGCTACCATGAAGGCGCCCACCACCGTCCTCATGGCGCCAATGTCGTCTGCAACAAGCCGGGCGTTGTTTCCGTAGAGTACCATCAGGGCCATGACCCACAGGATCACGCCGCGCTGAACCAGGTCGTCGTTGTAGTACGAGTTCATGATCTCGCGCAGGTCGCTCCAGATGTGCCACGCTGGCGCAAAGATCAACAAATACTTGACCAGTCCGGCGCCAGACGGGTGCTCAGCCAGGTCTTCTGCGAAGTTCGCCACGAGCGCGACGTACAGTAGGTCGAGGAACAGCTCGAAGCGCCCGGCCTGACGCTCCTCCTCGGATTCCCGCTCTAGCCTGCCGTTGTGGAACCATTGTAGCGCTTTGGGCCGTTTGATCAGGTATCGAGACGCGACTGCTTCGTTGTCTGCTGAAACAGGTCGAGGTTCAAAAGAAGGCGGAGAAGGGGACGAGAACGGGTCTGCCGCCCTCGTCGAAGGCGATGGCGGCTTCTCCCCAAGATCGGCATTGGAATCTGACATGTTACTAGGTTGGAGGTACTCGTAAAGAGAAGGGCGACCTTTTGATTCTAGGGAACTAGCAAGCCGCGACCGAGAGCCCAATCGACGTGAGTGTGTGACATGTTTTGGTTTGTCGCGCGTAAATGATACCGGAATGGGGACTCGGAGGAATTGCTGTGCTCGAAGTATTTAAAGAATTGGTTCGTGTTTGTGCTGTAGATCAGTGGCTGGTCCAACTGCGCCCAACAAGCCCAGCAAGCCTCATTGTACGTAAAACTCACAAAGTCTAAACCAAGCCAATCGTGCAGAGAGGCCAATGAAGTGATGGGAATTTCTCCATCGCAACCCTGAAATGTCCCCTTTTAGGCAGGAAGGAATATTGCTTCTGCATATAAGAGTTGGTGCTTGTTTTTCTTCGCCCGACCTTGCTTAAAAGCTGTGCTTCTGCTTCTGCTTCTTCAGACAACTGTTGTCTTCATCTTTCCACCCAGCGATAAGGCAACGAGAGCGCAGTGGAACGGGTTCACGGATCGCCTATCGGGGAAACATGCTGGTTCTGCCAGACGATCGAAGCCTTGCATTTGTGTTCGATATGGTGTTTACAACCAACGAACGGGTAATTGAGATGGCTCTTTCATCATTGGGTTCTTGGGGTCGACAGGGTTTGCAGGCGTAGTCCTTGCTGATGTCGTCGCACTCATTGTCGGCTTGGAGGAGCTGAGACCAAGGAAAAGCAGTTCTGGCACTTACAGTGGAACAGATTGTTGTGGTGCGCACTTGGGGCAAGTACCTGACCACCTGGTAGTGACTGTTACTGGCACCTCTACCGTGAGAGGGTAGAGTGACGGAAGAACATTGTTCCGTTCCGAAAAAAGAATGCACGTGCTACCAACTGGTGCCGGTTGCGGCGTCGTTATGTAAGCACCAAAAGGCCAGACCGCCAGCAAAACTCACACTACCTACAAGTAGGTATTGACGATATTGATGGCGATAGCCGTCTTGGTTGGTGTCGACTAAGGATGCACTGGCGAGGTAACTTACGCTCTCTGACTCATCAACCCGCCTTGCCGCCTGCTTATAACTGCAGCGCTGTGTTGGTATTGGATACCTTCACCGCACTCCATATTCCGTGGCTAGGGCATGTCTGCACCTCGGAAGCCCAGGTTGCCTGAAAAGAGATGCGGTGTGCCATGTGTCAATGCATTATTTTCATATGGTGTGGCAGCTGTACCTCTCAACATGCACGAGTACTCATTTCTAAGACCTTTGTGGCGTTTCAGCGACTCATCTTACGTGGGACTGTGTGGGGGATCTCAATCAATTCTTTCGAGATAGACGGGTTTAGTGGCATGATTGATTGAATGATTATTGAGAAGCACTCCTTTCCATTCGTTGCCGTCTCTCCCAGAACCCATCTCCCCATAACAGTTCCTCCCCGAAATTCCTGGGGTGCCACTGCAACTGGACGAAAGAAAGTGTTATAATATTGTCGCGCCGATAGAACAGCAGAGCCCCTTAGCTTTCGTTGCCTAATAGTAGAACCGCGCTCCAGCCTTGGTGTCGAGGTAGGAAAGACGCAAGTGGCCAAGATACTCTAAGAGGATGTGGTGACAATACAGGAACGCTCGCACATATATTGACGGGTCGGGTGAGAGGGAAAAGGTAAACCTGATGGTGGAATTTTCGTAGAGTTGGATGTATGCAGCATTGACTCGAGGACCTGGCATTAACGAGCAAGAATGGCTGGGTCTGAACTCCATTCTGATCGGCTTGCTTCGACGCCGCGCATGGAGGTACCGTACCGTCTGATGTCCTAACGTGCGACTCATGCCGCCTCCTTGCCTTTGCCCTTGCCTTTAGCGTCACCTTCGGCCTCATCATCTTCGAGATCAGGCATCTCGTCGTCATCATCATCCTCCTCTTCGTTGTCGTCGCCACCCTCAGCACCTGCTCCTTCTGCTCCCAAGCCAGCGCCCCCGCCGAGTTTGGAGAAGTCAATACCACCAAAGCCACCGTCTTCTCCGAGACCTCCACCAAACTGGTTCATGTAGTCATCCTCGGGTGCTTCGTTCTGTTCGTCCTCATCGACCCACTAAACGGAGACAGGTCAGTAAACGGGGGAGGTCAAGGACTCAGAGCGTTCGGGGCGTACCTTGTCAAAGTCTGTGCGCAGATAGTGTACTTTTGCGGGGTCCTTGAGCAGGCGTGGCCAATACTCTTCCTTGAGTTCCTTCTTCCTAAGAATCATCTGGATGTTGGCACCAGTGTGATGCGTCTTGGAGTTCTCGACGTCAATCTCGGAGAAAAACTCCATTTCAAGGTGGTATGTGGTCTTCTTGCTCTCTGACGTGCCAGTGAAGGTGAGCCCGGTGGGCTTAAGGTCGAGTTTGAGAGATTTGGGGGGGACATCAGGCACGCTGATTGTTAGGTAGATGTAGTTCTTTTCTGGCTCCGTAGCGGATGAGCGCTGCGCCCATAAGACTGTCGACAATCCAAGTCAGTATTCTGATCGGCTCCAAGTCAAGGATTTATTTCTGAGCGTAATGGCATATTGCTGTTATACCGAGATCTTTGCGGTAGGGGTCGATTTACCTTCTGGAGTAACTTGGCTAGACATAGTTGAGGTAGGCGAGTCAGAGGGGCTTCTGCACGAAGGGATGGAAACGTGGTGAGGAACGGGAGGAAGAGTGTCGTCAAGATGTAGACGTAAAACCGGATTGTGAGAAGAATGGAAGATTGAAAAGTCTGCTTGCTGCCTTGCTTTGACTCAAGTCTGCTGCAAGAGGTTCTACTATTTGTGTGTGGGCGATCAGTCTAAGGTGAAAGGGACGAGGCTGTTCGAAGTGCAACGAATAACATCGAAAGCGCCCCCGGGGGCTGCTGGGCTGCGCACTCAGTGCCTGTTCCGCCGCCCACTCAGCTCTTCAGGTACCGTAGCCGCACAACTGGTACATAGTGACTGCCCTCGTACGTTTTGTGCTCTTCCCCCCACTTTCGCCTCCCCCTCGACGTAGGCACCCGTGGGCCGTGACATCTTCCAAGCGCTTCATCCTCCAAAGGTCACCCTTCCAGCCAAGTAACAGAGTCTCTGACTGGGCCTACCCACCACTGTCAACCTTCCTCCACTGACACTTGCAGGTGACGAAGTATTCGCTACAAACTGCTCTTGTTGATCTCCGTTCATCAGCCCTACAACTTACTTTAGACAGCAACCAGACGTTCCGCTTCTCTCACTCTATTCCCTATCCGCATGATCGAGTCCTAGTCCTACCGCAGACATCACCCTCCATTTTCACTTCAAGCCTGCCGCTGGCGGCATCTGGCTCAATCCCCAGCATGGCCCTGTAGTTCACCACAAGAAGCTCCTATCCGCTCGAGCACAGATAGCCAGGCCACTGAGTAAATAAAGTACTACTTCCAAAACATCGTCACAATGCAATCGTTCAAGGCAGTCTTCTTCAAGCCGGATCCCCAGGAACAAGTTCGTCTGGAATCTCTTACAAGATTGGTAACAGGCTAACCTTTCCTCAGAAACGAAAATGCGACAGTATCATCCGGAAAAACGTGCGTGCCTTAGACCGGGATATCACCAACCTCAAAGTCACAGAACAGAAGACGAGGACTCTAATACTGAATGCTGCGAAGCGTGGACAAAAAAACCCTTCGCAGGCGAAACAAGGCGCCGACGAAGCACGAATCTTTGCCAGAGAGTTGATCAAGGTACGGAAGCAATCGGCAAGGCTACACACCAGTAAAGCACAACTGCAAAGCGTGCAAATGCAAGTGAACGAGGCATTTTCGGTCCGGAAGATCGAAGGCAGTTTAAAAGCGAGCACTCGCATAATGAAAGATGTGAATACATTGATCAGGTTACCGGAGTTGACCGGCACCATGCAAGAGCTGAGCCAGGAGTTAATGAAGGCCGGCATTATTGAAGAGATGGTTGGCGATGCTCTTCCCAACGATGAGCTGCTAGAGGGAGAGGACGAAGAAGCAGAGACAGAAGTTGACAAGGTACTAGGTGAGGTGTTGAAGGGAAAGTTGAGCACACCAGAACAGCAAGTACCGCAACTCCCGGTAGAAGCAGAGGAGGAAGAACCGGAGGAGGACAGAGAGGCAGAGTTGGAGCAGATGCGAGGGAGACTCGAGGCCTTGAAGAGCTGACCTGGCCGCGGATCCCCTGCAGCTTCAAAGTTATACTGCTATGTTTTGAGACGATGGCACATGAATGGCGTTATTTGGGGTCAGGTACCAAGTAGAGTATTCCGACATCATCGGCTTCGAGGAAAGCTGTCCACTTGTAAACCCGTAGCCTTGAGACACAGGGCGCATCGGAGGGCGCAGGCATCGCTATGACTAGGTCACGTGACATTGATACACGACATTGCCGAATCGGGACTAGCATTTGCTTGGCTGCATCCCGACTCTCTCCTTGTGCCTGCCTGTTGCTCTGCTTGCGTCTCACCTTAACTTTAGCCGCATTCATCATTTTGGCGTGACTCCCCTTCATTCTCCTTCTGTCTCGCCTTCTCCTTCACCATCGTCGCTGCTCTCAGTCCATATCACCACCATCCAGGCGCATCTTTAATTTTCGCCGCGCGCGCGTCTTCCTCGTCATATTTCCTTGTCATACTTCTATCTCTCCTTCAAACTCTTCAAACCTCGCCGCAGACGGACAGACCTCAACGATTAGTGGTCAATTTGTCCCGCAAGTGAACCCAACTTGACAGCTTTCGCTTGACGCCTACAAAAGCGCGCACCGTCCACTCCTTCCGCCTTTGCACTCTACACCCTTGAAAATCACCTCCTTCTATTCATTCAAGATGTCTGGCAGGCTAGATCAATCTCTCGACTCCATTATTGATAGCCAGAAGAAGGCGAAGCGCGAAGTTCGTCGCCGCAAGGCTTCAAAGTCCACTGGCCCAACTGCTCCGGTCGGTGGTGTCAAAAAGGCGACGAAACCGGCAAAGTCCGCCATCAAGCCATCTGCCGGCGCGGCATCTCAATCCCGCCCAAGTAAGATCGTTGTCAGTGGATTGGTACGTTCTGCCTTGGCTGCCTCATGACCTCTGGCGCTCTGCTGACCTTTTCTACAGCCATTCGACGTCAACGAAGCCCAGATCAAGGTATGTTGATAAAGAGGCTTTCGACCTTGGATTCCATCGCCGCTTGCCACCGCCTGTTATTCTTTGGCTCTTTATGCGAACCGTGTCCGATAAGAGGAAGTCGAATGTTGCGGGAAAGATGCGGGAAGATGTCAAGACGAGAGAGACCATACTCAAGGACAGTATTGCCACGCTGAAATGCTGGCTTTATCCGGGGCAGGCAACAATCTCATCACCTTTGGCTCGCATTTTTTTCTGCGAAGCAATCGGGTGAAAATTGCTGTTCGCTATGGTCTTGCAGGTTCTCGCCGGCTAGCCACCGTGTGAGATACCAATGCAGATCTGCCCGGAGGAGTTCTCAATATGCTGAGATGCTTTGAGACCCTCTCACCTTGTTCGTCTGGGGCATCAGCGAGGTTGCACCCAATCATTCCAGAAGCAGAGCAGAGCAGCGCAGCACAGTACGATCTATCGCGTTTTACCATTGTCCCCTGGGTTTCTGGTCCATCCTGTACCCGACAACATTGCACGAACACACGTTCACCGATGTCAAGGGCCAGGACCTTGCACGGGGCAGTCCTGTTCTCTATCCCTGCATTGAGACATATTTAAACGAGGATCCTGTCGCCCTGCATTGCCTACCACCCAAATCCCAACAACGATCCTCAATTCTGCGGCATATCGTCTGATGGAAAACCGGATACGTTATTATCGTCACCCCGAAGCGTTTCCAACAGTTGGTGTCAGAATGCATACCCATTCCTACCATCCGTTTACCTGGACGACTTCCTCGGATGCCGACGGTGATACACGATTCGACTGCTGGTCTGCTGCTGCTTTTGATACTTTGGCACTCGCTGGTGCTCCAGCGCAAGGATATGCACCCGGACTATACTCTACTGTGGAAACATCTCTTGCTGCATTCTTACCTGGGGACGAACGATGCGGAAGAAATGCTATTCCCACTTCTCTCCAGCAGTTTACTGATCACACGCGGACGAACAGGAATACTTCGGCAAGTCCGTAGGCAACGTCAAAAAGGTCTCCTTGCAGTACAACCAGAATGGACAGAGCCGTGGCATTGCCGACATCATCTTTTCGAGGCCCGACTCTGCCGCCAAAGCGGCCAAAGACCTCAACGGAATGCTGGTGGACAAGCGACCAATGAAGGCAAGCACGGCCACCATCCACACCGTACATGGACCTCTCCTGACCTCGACTAGATTGAAGTTGTGATGGACGCTAGCAGTGTTCCGGAGCCGGCTCGTGCCAAGTCACTCGCGGAACGTGTAGCGTACGCAAACCCATCGAAACGCTCGGGAAAGTCAGAGCCACTGACAAAGACCAGCGCCAACCCCAAAGCTCAACCGAAGTCCGCCACAGCAACAAAGGTGACCGGAAAGGACGGCGTCAAGGGCAGATCGGCTGGCAAACCCGGAAAGCCCAAGCGCGGACGCAATCCTCGAGCCAAACCCAAGACTGCTGAAGAACTCGACGCCGAGATGACTGACTACTGGGGCGGCAACAACCCCTCGGCAGTGGGCACGACTACCGAACCTGCGGCCACTAACGGTACTGCTCCCGCAGCCAATGCCGGCGATGACATGGGCATGGAAGAGATTTCAGTGAGCGACATCGATTTAATCTGCTGAACCCGTCCAGGACTGACACCCGTATCAGTGAATGCCCGTAATTGGATATCGTGAAGGAGGACAGAATCCCAGGAGGAAGATCCGCGCCCACACCCGCACAACCCCTTACGACCGTCAACTTCCCTGCTTTCTCTTTTCACCGCACGACTGTACTGAATAGCCATCTAACATTTTTGGCCACTCTACACCATTCCTTAAACAAACTACTCGATTCATAAACACTGTGTTGCTATCTTTGCAAGGGAAGTAGGGGTTTATGGCGCGGCGTGGTACGTGCAGGTTGGTCGGTAGGAATCGACAGCAATGGCTGTTTCGGCACTGGAGAGTATCAGATTGACATGGGATCGAGAGGCATCAGTGATAATAGAGTAGTACGCCGGACCATTAGCTCGATAATGCAGCATGCAGAATCCTGATCAGAAATATGTTTGCAAATACGGGCTCGAATGCTCAAAGATCACGTCCTCTTGTCAGGTGGTTGTTGGAAAACCATTAGCATTCTTTGCTATGTATCATGTTTCACACCTTTTGTCCTTTTTTGTGGTCATGATCAGTCGTATATTTCGCCGTCAGCTTCGATGAACCCTGCACTGTTACTGTCGTTGAAGTTGTTTCTGTTTGCTAACCCACCGCTTTTCCTTGACTCCCTGAAAGTATCCAATAAGATAAGTACCTGGTTTCGCCCAGTTGGCCGGATTCGTCGGCCCGCGCTGTAATATTCTTGAAAAGAATCTTTTGAGAAGAAAGAGAAAGAAAAAAAGGACGAGAGAGAGAGAGAAAAGGCCAGCCAGCGCGCGAGAGTTTCGAGGTCGGGCTGGCCGATCGTTAGTTTCAGATGAGTTCAAAATCGTCGTCGTCGTCCTCTTCCATATGATGGTGGCCGTCGTCCCTCTCGATCAAGACGACTGAGTTGGAGCTCGAACTTGAGGCGTTGTGGTTGTGGTTGTGGTCGTGGTTGTGGTTGTGGTCGTGGTTGTGGTTGTGGTCGTGGTTGTGGTCGTGGTCGTGATGAGGATGGGAAAGGGGATACGGACCAGGACGACGGACGTAGTGGAATGCGTGAGAGTGAGGATTGAGACGCGGGCGAGGACGAGGACGTTCGTGATACTGGTGGTGGCGAAGAAGAGGGGAGGTCACTCGCTCCATCTCCGTGTCGGTGGCCTGGTTGTAGGTCGGCAGATCTGGGAGGACGAATCCGTGCGGGAAGTTTTGTACTTTGGCTTTGCCTTTTCCGCTGTCCTTGAGCTCGTCCACGTCCTTGTCCTCATCCGCGTCCTCGTCTATTGATATTGCTCTTGCCCTTGGGATTGTCTCAAAGTCCGAGCTGCCGTCATCGGTCTGACATTCATCGTTGCCGACAGTCTCTGCACGACGACGCGATTGACCTCGTCCAGCTCCATCTCTGGCCGTGTCCTTGTTGGTGTTCGCAGAGATGTCGGGTAGCGGGACCAGTCCTTCTGCTCGCTCGCCCTCCCAGTTGTCATCGCCAACGAATGAGTCTCCATCATCGAATGCGTCATCATTATCGTCATGGGCGCCGTCCTCGTCGTTGTCGAGTTCGTCAAAGCTCAGCATATCCGTATCACTCGCAACGTCCGGCCCGATGGCAACTTTGCTAACATCAAAGACATTGCGGTCCACGACTTCAAGATCATCTAGATCCGTAAGCGCCATTTCTCTGCTGACCGTGATGGTGCCGGCACTCGACACGCTCTTCACCGTCCGAGTGCCGTCCGTGGCGAGTTTACTGGCCTTGCCGACCGTGCTTATCGCTTGGGAACTCGTGATCTCTTCGATTTCGCTGCCCGCCTCAGTGTCCGCTTGATCGAATCCTCGCTTGATCCGTCCCGGTCCAAAACTCTGGATGCTTGTTTGGAGAGGATCGAGATTCGGCACGGGTACTTCCTCAAACACACCTCCTGTTCCGTCGTCATTGCCATCAGGGACCCAGAGCGGTAGATAGCGGAATTCATTGGCGTTGAGGCAAAGAAGGTTGTCAAAGAGGTCCGTAGGTAACAAGCCAGTCTGGTGGAAGAGATGCGGTGGATGAAGATTCCTTGAACAGATTGTTTCAATCGCCCTGCTGACCTCATTAAGTAAGGCTCCTGGATCGATGGGGTAGGAATAGCTGCGAGGTAACGGCATGGTGGCTTCATTGTCAGTGTTGCTATTGGAGAAGGATTGTTTGACGCGATTGCCGGTTCGAGGAGTAGACATGGCAGGCTGATTATGATGCATTTGTCCCGTGTCTCCAGCGATATTCAATCCTTCATACTTGCTGGCCGTACTGTCGAAGAACATATTTGAAGATGAGGAAGACGCATCTGCGGCTGCTATTGGCGCCGCCGGCGCTGAATGATTTTCGGGCACGGCTACCTGCTCGTATTGAGATCCGGTAACACCACTGGTGCCTTCATGGTTCAGTAGTCTTTGCCTCGGATATAGAGACATGTCCTCCAGCGTCCAACAGGCGTTGTAGGCTATGTTGTTATTGGTCTGTTGTGAGGGGTTTCCCGTACTTGTCGCCTTGGGTCTCAGTGCGAAAACAGGATGCTCGGTGGCAGGCGCAGATATGGTTGGTCCTGGCGGTGTTGGAGCAGTCATCCATGAAGGATTAACGGGTGCTTGTTCATTTGGGAGGAATATCGGGTTGTCGATATTCCATGGATTGTGGCTAGGGTCGTCGAACTCGATAGTCTTCCGACGCTTGGGATAGCGTGTCCCACGGATGATCTCTTGACTGCACAACATTTGGTTGATGACCATGATCTTGCGGTTGAGTGTGGACCGCGGAACTCGCACAATGCCATTAAGAGGATCGATCTTATAGAGCCCTTTAAGGGCTTTGAGGTGCTCCGTGTCATTTTTCCAGCCAATCGTGCCATCACTGGACGTGTTGTGAATGCCCTCCACGAATTGAGTGTGCTGCAATGCGAACCAGAATGTCTTTGTGAAATGTCTCATTGGTTGGTTCAAAGACCGATAGATTGTGCCGTAATCCTCAACAGAAGCCGATCGAAATGGGAGAGTTGACTTTGGATCCGACTCCAGGTTGCTGAGATCTCCCTGATCCTGCCATAGAACGTAATAGATTCTAGACCTGATATAGTCCTTGACGGTGCTCTTGGCTGATTTCAGCGCTTCAACTGCACGCGGAGTCTGTCCCACAGCATTGTCAAGCATATTATAGGTCGCGCTCTCGTGAAGAAAGTCCATGTCTTGACACAAACCGCAAACCATGCCACGGATTCGCGTGACGAAAGATGAAGCAGCATGGTCAATTCGATTGCGTTCATCGTCGTCCAGAAGCTCCAGCTTTCGACCGTGTACGCTTTGACTGCGGAGGGTCAAAATCTCGGGATTGAACTCGCCACAGGCTTCAATAAGCGCTCTTTCGCCGACAAGGATGGAGAACGCATCTTTAATGAGGTCTGGGGACGCAATGCCCATTGCGATACGATATGCCACTTCCGGGTTATTTTGGATGAAGTTGCTGTTACTCCCTGTATACAGCCAAGTCATGATCCACCCTGAGATACGCTCATGACTAGCACAGCCAAGGTAGCGAGCAACGGCGAAGAAGGTCCAGACTTTAGGGGCAGAGTCGAGCTTCGGGTCGTTCCCTTGGATGGCTTGGAGTACTCGTTCAATCGCAGACCAATGCCGCAGCAAAGAATATTCTGGAGCAATTTGAGGTGCTGAGACTGTAGACGCAGGTTTGTCACCCGAGGATTGACTCTTCGATCTTGTCTCCGTCGTGTTGGAAGCACTAGGAGGGGTAGGGCCTGTAGCTTCAGTGTTCTGGGAAGAAGCCACCGGCTTTACCAACGCGTCGACATAAGGCTGAACACCAAATTCGTCGTGGCCGAGTACAGCAAGAGGAGACAAGTCGTACTTGTCCAACGCCAGGTGCCAGGTGAGCACACCGCGCGTACAGGTCAGGTCAGTAATGAGAACGACAGCCTCGTCATCCTCTTTGGGTGGGCGTAGGTCGATGTAGTACTTGAACTTTCCCCCACGTGCAGCCTCAGCAGTATTCAAGACTCCGAGCTTCCTCAGCCTTCTCTCAGCGCGGAATGACTTGGTGGGATTCAGGAGATCTCTTTCGGTAAACCTGGACTCGTCGCCCATGAGCCGAAGATTCGTGCTCTGAACGATATGGACGCGATCGAAATGGTGCTTGATATAGTCATAGTCCTTGTCGCTTTGCTCTGGCATTTGTGGGGGATAGCCGAAATAGATGGCTGTATCACCCGAATTGTCGTTAAGGGGTGTGAACTCATTGTTGAGACTCAAGACAAGGTCCACTGATGGTTCACACCATGGCCGCAACCGATAGTGACCTGAGCCCAGTCGGGGATCTGATCGTTTCCTTGCTTGGGCCTGTTCTTGAAGAGATAGTTCGATAGCTCGGTCAAAATCCCGGTCCTCACGGTTCTTCACAAGTGCTACTGGTGGGTTGTCAAAGGTCACGGCAGCAGAGGTTTCTTGAGAGACAGGTTGGTGCGAGGATGTGGGAGAAGTTCCTTGCCCATTCCCATCAGTGACATTGTTTCCAGGAATCGGTACTGCTCTGAATGTAGAGAAAGCCATTATTTTGGAGTCAAAGTGGCATGCCTGGAAATTCGTCGTGACGCACAGGCTCAAGCGCGGCTGCGAGAATTTGTATTCGGAGTTGTAGACTGGTAGATACTTTCGAGGTCATTCACAAGGCTGTGATATATTGTTCATCTGTCGACCACGTCCTGCAGATGTCTCGACCGAGATTTTCGGTCAGATACTAACAAAGTCGGTGCAAGGTTGGGGTGAAGAAGGGCTGGAACGCGATGAGTTGGTCGTACAGGGTTCGTCATGCAGCTGTCGTAAGCCTTGTATACCTCAAGACGAGAGTCGCCAGGAGCAGCAAGGTGTGCTATACAGTGAGGGGGAAGAAGAGGCAGAAGAAGAAGGACGGACAAAGAAGAAAGAGGCTGTAGAGGGGTAAAGGGAAAGAAACAATG